TATTGCACAGACTGCTGTTGTGCATGGTATGGAGTTCATACCATGACATATACAAAAAGAAGTATAGCAGGAGATGATTAGGAGAGTGTATGAGGATATACATATTTCTCACTCATAAGCTTAGTCATCTATTTCCCTTTATTTATTTACTTGTATTTATAGTTTCAGCCACTTGATTACATCAGTGAACCACTTAGATATGTTTGTGAGTATGTCATGTGACTGGTAATATTCTGATTTGTAAGGATTTTTCCATGACTTATCATGTTTTATCATGATTTGTCATGCTTTGTAATATTTTACTCATGTACTTTAGTAAGCAGCTGATTCAGCACACCAAAAGGCTTGGTTTGTAAGCATATTCTTACCAATCCAGTGATGAGTCATTGCTTAGTAAGGATGGTTTCTAAAATGTATATAAGGACTCCATTCTCACATAATCAACAAGTTTTTCCCTCTTCTTTCTTGTCTCAAACCATGAGATTCATAAGATTTGAAGTGCAGGAGTTTTCCCTCTTTCTGTCTCAATAGTACTAGCTTCACACCCATTGTGCCTTCAGCACAGGAAGCAAATGGAGTACTTCATGCTCCTTTTTGGCTTCCTGGCCTTGGCTGCATCCTAGCATGTGCAATAAATAATTGATGAAAAATTGAATGAGAGAACAGGGGAATGGGGGAATGGGCCAAAGGTGCTCACTCTGCTCACACCTTTGGCCCATTCCCCCATTCCCCTGTTCTCTCATTCAATTTTTCATCAATTATTTATTGACATGTGCTGCACTCAAATGGGCAATGGTATTGAGTTGGAGCTCAAAACCCTGTGACCAGGCCACACGAGATACCATACCATTCCAAAAAGAGGTTTAAGTGAGCTAAGCAAAAACACATGGCATTTAGTGAAAACCACATGGCCCTACATGAAAGCCATGTGAGCTAGTGAGACAATTCCCACCCATTGCATCCTACTTTATAGATAAGATTATGAAGAAAGTGAAGGCCTCAAGATTGCCCCTGAAAACTACCATACTTCTAGTCTAGATTGATTGTATACTATCTTACAGGGATCGCCTATACAATAATCTATTGTTTTATCTATCATTTCACAAACTCAAGTCTTTTACAGGAAGGGAGACACAAGTTATCTAGCCAGCACAATACATCAGAAAGGTTCATATTACCTACTAGGTTTCTGTTAACCTGACAAAATATACTACTCCTTTACTATCAAGAAGTGATCAAGCAGAGAAGTAATTTATTGCCCTTTGGTCACCCACAAACAACATGTTATCAACCGAGAAGTAGAAATCTGTTGACTGTGAACTTGAAGAGCTGGCATCTTAGTCTTATTGAAGTACAATCATGATAGTCATTGTATTTCACCTCAACTTATATACAGTGGCTCAAAAAAGTGTCTCAATGTTTGTGACTTTTCATGTAATTGCTGTATTATGAGCCAGGGTGTGAGAATATGACTAAGCCATAGGGAGGTGTGGGAAAGCTCTGCTTCTAAGCTTCACGTTTGATTCCTATAGCGTGGGAATATTATGTCATCAAGTGAAGATATGGTTAATTTAATCTGGTGACTCATTGAGACACTTTTTTGACTTTTAGTTTGGCCAACACAATCTCTATAATTCTAGTACTTGGTGCTTCCTTCTGTTGCTCTAACTACTTCCACCACTCTTTTATGCATACTATCTATCAATTTGAGGCATTCCTCATCAACAATCTTGCCCCACTCTGCTGCAACTCTCTCCCACAGCTAAAATAACCCCTATTGAGGATCTTGATAGACTGCAAGTGATATCTTGAGTAATTACCAGAGCTGTTCAATAGGGTTGATGTCTGAGGACCAGACTTACTATGATATCACACTGATACCATAGTTTTCAAACCATTTTATGGTCAACTTGAAGTATGCTCAGGGACATTGTCTTGATAGAAGGTAACATCTTATTCAATAATTCTTGATTCTTGCATGCTTCTGAGCAGATAGTTTTCCAAAATTGAAATGTGCTACTCTGCATTCATCCTCCCCCCCCACCTCACAGAGAATTCCTACTCCATTCCACCTCATACAACACCATACCATCAAGTCTCCTACTTTACATACTTTAGTGTTTTCTTGACTTTTTTTGTTCTGGTAGTTTTTCTGCCTTTCATCATATATATCCCTAGCCATCTGACCCCATCCTATTGATTGTGGTCTCATCTGACCAGGTAGCCCTATTCCAGTCCTCAACAATCCAATATTGAGGCTTTAAAGCCAAGGCTGGTCTTCTTCTCCTATAGGCTGAAGACAGGAAAGGTTTTTTCTGCCTGTTTACAGCTTTAAGATTGGCTGCCTTAGGAGTATTCTTGACTATTTGAGTGGAGAGAGCAGTGTAGATGATGTAATTAATAAATTTGGTGACTTGAGCAGCATTGGCAGCCTGCCTAGTTGGAATATTATAAACAAGAGATTTTTTGTTATATGGTATAAGCTTGAAAGGACAATCTAGTTTGATATTTTTCTTATCTGGCATGACTTTTTTATGATCCTAATGATAGCAACCCTGCTCAGACCAGTTTTGGTAGCAATCTGCCTGGTGTACAGATTAGAAGAGCTGCGGATAATAATAGGGGCTATTTCAGCTGTAGGAGAGAGTTGCAGCAGAGTGGGGCAAGATTGTTGATGAGGAATGCCTCAAATTGATAGATAGTATGCATAGAAGAGTGGTGGAAGTAGTTAGAGCAACAGAAGGAAGCACCAAGTACTAGAATTATAGAGATTGTGTTGGCCAAACTAAAAGTCAAAAAAGTGTCTCAATGAGTCACCAGATTAAATTAACCATATCTTCACTTGATGACATAATATTCCCACGCTATAGGAATCAAACGTGAAGCTTAGAAGCAGAGCTTTCCCACACCTCCCTATGGCTTAGTCATATTCTCACACCCTGGCTCATAATACAGCAATTACATGAAAAGTCACAAACATTGAGACACTTTTTTGAGCCACTGTAAGACCCTCAAGTAAGAAGACACCACATCACTGAACATCCTACAGACAGAGGCCAGTGCAGTGCAGTCTCAGATTGTTATGAACTAGGATAGTTCTAATGACAGACGACTCAATAAGAGTCAGAACCTCTGCCAAGAATCTACATAAGGTGATAAGCCAAACATTCAAGGTAAGCTAAAACAGAGGGAGTGCCTCTGATTTAAAGTATGATTCAGACGACTTAGGATTGGTGGTCCTAAGCGAAGGATGTTCCAGGTAAAACCTAGTAAGATTAAAGTGAAGAACTACACAGTACAAAGTCATGTATTTATAGGGAATGACTATGGAAGGTTTAGGGCAGGTGTGAGTAAGTAAGAATACAAGCATCTGCCTAATATGGATGAAAGTGACGAGCCAGAGATACCAGAAAGGAAATGTACATGTAGACAGTGTCTAATGGTGGCAATAGCGGCACACAATGTAATACAGTAAATGTAAGATGAGTCAGACAGAAACAATAGATGACATGAAAGAGAAAAAGTACAGCAGGGCAGGGCATATTGTAACACAGATAACAAATCATAGAATAGGGCTAGGGTCTGTACCAGGACAGATTTCCATATATAGTAGAAATGTGACAGGGTTAGGGTCTGATTGGTCAGAGCACAATCATGGCTGAATAAACTTACAGCCATGTCCCCCACACCTGTGAGACAGTTAGCAGGAGACCATCTTCAAGCCATATGCTAACCAACAAAAATTACACAGGAGATAATGTCAAGTGGATAAAGATGGGAAAGAGGCAATACATGGCATATCAGGAAGTGCCATGTCAAAATTAGAAACTCCAAAGCTCCTCATCACCTGCAACAGAGCATAGTCATCATTGCAAGAATAAAATAAAATAAACTCCACACAGTCACAAGTCAGCACCCTAGTATGAAAATTTAGAAGTGAAATCAAAACTTACCTTACCTTGCTGCTAAATGTAAGTACATGTATGGACTAAACACAGAATCAATCAGAGCAAGGTAAATAGTCAGCAATGCCAACCCCTAGTGTAAAATTGGTAAGCACAAAGGTGCGAGAATGTGCAGTCTCATGTGATTGTGAGTGGCTTGCAGTTTGGTGGATGCACACACACCATGCGGTGACCACAGTACTTGCTGGATGCTGAGTGAGCAAAAAGATTTCCACAATGGGTGAAGAGGGCTGAGTTATAAAGATGTATTCGAAGGAAATTAACATACACTATGACAAGTAGACCAGAACATGCAGTATAGAGAAATGCAGTGCATTGGACACTGAAAAAAATAATCAGTACTTGTGGCACTGGCCAAGTGAACACCATCAGTGTCACAAGTACTGATGGGTGTGACCCTCACGTGAATGCTGAAAATAACGGGTTCTTTTTTCAGTGACTACGTCACTGGGACTTGTCATTCAGGGTTTCTCACGTTTACTTTCAGGGTATTTACTTCCCACAGTGTCTTTCTGCCACCACGTGCACGGCCCATCAGCCATCCTTTTCCAAGCTAGTTCTCACTCAGGACTGTCCTGTGTACAGGTACATTCTGTCATCTTCTGTCATTCAGTCGGATCAATCCTAAAGAATCGGAGCAAACACTCGTTACACTTTGAACAACGTGTTCCTTATATCTAGCACGAGTCACGCTGCTGCGCCCACGTTGGATGAGGTTCAACGTGTAATTTAGAACGTTGGTGTGTCATGACTTTATAGCTATCGTGAGTGGTTCAAATCCAAGAACTTGGTGGACTTAGAGGCGGTCTATCAACTGATCAGCACAGTATCTATCGATGCCTATCGCATGTTAGACGTCGATTTTAGTCTCTAGTACATGTTCAAATTGAACATAAATGATCGGCACTTCGGCCCGCCCGCCCGACGTCTACTTATGTGACTCTTGTGTGATCAAATTGTCACTCCGACTCACCGAACGTGGGTCCGAATTTGCATATCCGGCAGAAGCTGATGGGAGTCACTACGGGTCACTATTTCACTACGCACAATATCCGAAGGATCGGTCAGTGGTCAGATATCCTCTACTTAGGTCTACTACAAGTTGTTATCAATCTTGTACTAACACTTCTCTCCCCCTCAGTGGCTATAACTTATTCCTCATCTGCAACAGGACTATCCTCTAGAATCTAGATATCCGACATTGAAACAGCCTAATTTATCCGGAGTCACCGTCTGTGCCGCCTTATCATCGGCATCGACATACAACACAGCCGACACGATCTTGAGGAGGAGTGATTTCATCACCCCCAGCGATCGTTCAGTCTGATAAACCCAGCGCATGACCTTGCTCCATGTCTACTTTGCACTACGCAAGCAGCAATCCTTTCACCGCCTGCTCAATGGTGGTCCTGGACAACCTCCCATCTCCGCCAGCACCAGCAGCGGAAAATCATGGAAGCGCGCGGGGGTACTGAACTCAGGAATAGCCCTCGAGATAAATGCTCTCGATACCCTTGGCAGGTCGGTCCTGCATCTGGCATGTACCTCCACCGAGGCTTCAAGCCTGGAGTACGTTCGAATGCTCCTCGCCCACCCAGCTATCAACGTGAACGTACTGGACAAGGAGAGTCACTGGACGCCATTACATAGGGCGCTATATGCGGGAAACATTTCTGCTGCGTACGTCTCTATTTTCGCATGCGCAACCAGTGCAGTCTTGTCTTACTGAGTTCAAGGATCCTCCTTTTGAAGCGCCTGGATATCGATACGTCCATCAAGGATTTAGAAGGGTATACTGCTCACGACCTCTACAACTCAACCGTGAGATCTGCAAAGCCTACCGAGGAAGAAGAGACTTTTGCTGAGCTGTTTACCTGGGGCACGAACAGGTAGGTCGACGCACTGGTGGAATTGAGTGATCACGCCTCAAGGGAGTTTTGACATCAGAAACGCAGCATTGGGGCTGGGTGATGGCAATGATAGGGCATATCCGGATCGGGTCGTCATTCCCCGGAAGGACGATGTAGCACATCAACACAACAGGTCCCTCGACGACCGTTTCGCCCCAATTCATGTCCGGCAAGTGTCAATGTCCAAGCTTCATACAGGCGCGTTTTTTTCAGGGTAAATACGTGCCGAGCTTACCATTCCGTAGTTGTACTCACCTCTGAGCCTCGGGATAACATCCGTGTGTGCGGCTTTGGTGGTGGAGGACGGTAGGCGCAGATATATACTCGATCATACGTTGCGTTGCTAATTTTTCTGCAGTTTAGGTCCAAGTCAACACACACAACATGCCCTCATACCCCTTCCCGACATCAAACACACCATTGAGTCCGTTGCGCTTGGCCAAGACCACACCCTCGCACTCACTTCGGCTGGAGAAGTTCTCACCTGGGGACTCAATCGCTTTTCTCAGCTTGGATACGTCATTGAGGTCTCATCCTCCAACAAACAAGATGAGCATATCCAAGCTACTCCACGGAAAGTCGGCTCCTTGAGGAGAGAATTTGTCAAAGGTGTTGCAGCGTGCAAGACCGCTTCTGGTTGTTGGACAGATACAGAAGTATGGACGTGGGGCACGAACGGCGGGCAACTTGGTGAGTTATTTTCTCCTGGGTTGTTAATATGCACTCACATTGAAATTCATTAGGGTACGACAAGGCATTGGTTCCCATCCAAGTGCTCCCTCGTAAAGTCTCCAGCATAGTGCAGCCTGTCCGCGCAATAGTAATGACAGTTCGTTGGAATTTTTATATGATTCTAGAATGAGAGTGACTCCGGATTCAGGAAACCCTCATGGCGTGTCTATTTCTCACGGGCGAAGTCGTGTGTGTTTGGTCTGGAGGGGTTTCCAAGATTAGGTCGGGCTTTTCCTGAGCTTAGTTTATTTTCTTTCTGACTTTCGATGCCTAGTTTCCCCACCCAGAGATTTTCTTCAGAGATCTCTGTCTACCGACCACCGCAAGCAATCAAGGGTCAGAACATCACAAAGCTCAGGAGCTGTGATGATACCATCGCGGCCCTCTCGTCGAATGGGGAAGTATTCACGTTCACTTCACAACCTATTGGAGAAAGCGATTCCGCAAAGAGTTCCCCTGCTCTCAAGCCCCAACGTATATGGGCGTTGAGACGTCAGTTCAGTGCTGTGCAGGTGGGCGGGCTCAAATCCAAATACCATGCTGTCTGATGTCTTGTAGGATGTTGACATTGGAGTCGATGGAACTGTTATAGTCTGCACTCAGTCTGGACATGTTTACGTCCGCTCGCGGAGTGCGAAAGGAGGCCAGGGCTCCGGTGCCAAAGCATTTAAATTCCAGCGCATACCGTACATACAGCGTGCTGTTGCTGTCTGCGCAAATAGCACAGGGGCATTTGGGGCTCTGCGCGTTGATTTTAAACCATCGCCCATCCACATCAATGCGCATTCATTTTCATGCAATATTACTGAGATCCAGCCATACCTAGGTCTTTCATTGCGTGCAGAGGCACCATCTGCCATATTAAACACGAAAACACCTCTCTTGGATGCTGACGAAGATGGCGAGGACGTGTCGATCATCGATGATATCGGAGATCTCTCGAAGTTACTTCACGTTCTAGACCAATGCAAGAACGTGCCAGATATCGCCTTGCCCTATAATGCCGACGTGGTTGTTGTCGCTCCTGGTCCACTGCACCTCCCAGCTCACCGGCTCATTCTCGCTGTGAGATGTCCAGTACTGGGTAACATTCTGCATAGCGGACGTTCATTATATGACAAATCTTCAGGGATTGATGTCAGCCTCGTCTCAGGAGATAGGGTCCGCATTCGAATCAATGGATGTCATCCGTTCACGGTCCTGATTCTCCTTCGATACTTGTACTCGGACCAGCTCCTCGCTATCTGGGACTTACGCGTCGGAAGCCCTTTCGTGTCCCAATTTGAAACATTCGCTGTGAAGCCTGTAGCAATCAAGGCGGAGCTTCAATCACTTTCACGTATATTGGGCCTTCAACTTCTTTTGAAAGCACTTCAATCACCAGGGAAGCGAGTTCCCACTCCTTCACAGACAGAAGACTTCCGCCTGCTCTACGAGAGAAGCCAGTTAACTGGGCGTTTACGGAATACTACAAAAGAAGACGCCCTTGCGCCCGACGTCGCGCTCCACCTCGCTGACCAGGTCATCGTTTGGTGTCATTCAGTGGTGCTACACGCCCGTTGTCAATTCTTCGCCAGCTTCTTTGAAGACAGTACATGGACATCTAAGCGTCGTGATAAGTCGGGTATCATCAACATTGATTTCAAGCACTTGGAGTGGCAGGTCATGCAATATGTCGTTCGATGGATATGTTATGGAGACGAAAACTTGTTTGAATCTCTTGGTGTGTTTTCGTGTCTTATTTTCTTAGTTTCGGCCTTCTTACTGCATCGAAGACTTTGTGCAAGGGGTAGATGACGTGCTATCCTTCATGTTCTCTGTTCTTTCCGCGGCGGTAAGTTCACATGCATTATCTTTAGGCGCGTAGCTCATCATGCAACGTCAACTAGAACGAACTTCTACTCGATCGCCTGATGCTTCTCTGTTCACAAGTCATTTTGAAGCATCTCGACGTTTATAATGCGTGCTATTTACTCACTGATGCAACGCACATCAACGCGACCCATCTCGTTGAACGCCTGCAAAGTTACGTCACTGCAAATCTTGAGATGATGCTAGAGGGTCGAATGCTCGAGGACCTCGACCCTTCCGTCGTACGACAACTTTCTGAGTACATCCGCAGTGCGCAGATGACAAAGTCCCCGGTCTCTCGTTCCAACTTACTGGCGAACAAAGCGCTGCGGAAGCATGCTGAATGGCTTGCTCAACAGGATATTCCAGTCGTGTTTGAACCTGTAGACAGGCCACAGGTTCTCAAGGATTCCTCGAAGTCGTTGACTCCGGGCCTGCTGAGAACTCGCCCGATTTCGAGTCTGTCTGTGCATCCGGCGGCAGATTCGCGCAAGGGCGCTGATGCTGAGCCGTCAGGAGACGAGCTGTTCGCGATGGACGAAGTATCTTCGTCGGTTATCACTCCTGGTCATCCGGTACCTGTGGTTACTGAACCGTCTGGATCAGTAGCGGTATGGAAACGGCCCACCTTTGCACCCAGGTGTGTAGAGCTTTTGCTTCCATTCTCACTATGCATTGTGCTGATACCACTATGAAGGACCGATCTCAAGGCCATTATGGCAGAGGCTGAGAACACCAAGATATCCGGTGTTGCAAACAGAGCAACACATAGTGCTATGGACAAACCTAGTCAAGAACATCTGAAACAGGTAGCTACGCCACAGCGTAGGACCGTGGGCTCGTCGCTGAAGCTCGACGCATCACCGACACCACGTCAAATGCCCTCTGATCTTGACTTGGGAAAGTCTTCGCTTCCTGAATCATCCGCCGCCGCCGCGCAGCCAATGCATGTGAGAACACCTCAGCGACCAGCTACTCAAGCTATACCTTTATCTTCAAAGACTCGGCCGAATACACCTTCACTTGGCCCCGTCTTTTCCCCTGTTCGACAGGTGCCTCCGACATCCAGTTCACCAGGTCCGCGACGTGTTTCGTACGTACCTAGTGTTCCTTTCGGCCACTTTTTTCTGATTCTTATTTACCAGGAATACGGGTGCTGCATGGACACTTCCGCCTGTTCAGCCAGTGGTGCAATCGAGCGTTGCAGAATCATCACCGCTTTCATTTGCTGAGATACAACAATTACAGCTTCTGCAGGGCATCCCTGCACCAAAGGACAAGCGATCGCTTGTCGAGATTCAAGAAGAGGAGCGAGCCATTCAACTAGAGGCAGACTTTATGAAATGGTGGGCGGCGGAAGAGGCGCGTACTCAGGCAGAAGCGCACGGGGCTTCTGAAACGCAAACGCAACGCGCTACTCCTAGAAGTAAGAATCGAGGAGGGAAGAGGCCATCTCACAGTACTCGCTCGAAGCCTGGTGAGGCACGTCCTGCTCAGGGTTCTAGCCGTCCCGAGGGGGGAAAGCAGTCCATGACACCGGCAGCTGAGGGTGCAATGCTGCAGTCTGGTGTATCCAACCCGAAGAGTCGAAGGAGACGAGAGTCCGCTAGGCCGACGGTGGATGATTCCATCCATGTTCAACCGTCCAAGGGGCGATGAACCATGTAGCAAGCCTCCAGCCACTTATAGCGATAGTATGGACTACACCGAAGCGATACCCAATAACCTGACTTAGAAGATACGTAATAGATGCATGCGAATGCCAGGAACTTTGTCCATTGCAGCTACACACTCTGACCTGGCTATAATTCATCGGCCACTGTATCAATGTAAGTTTCTAGTATTTCAAAATTTAGATCAACGGGAAATTTGACTAGGGATGCTTGGTGCGCAAAAGTACATGCCATTGTAACTACGGCTATCGTCGAATCCCAGTCCCTGGATTACGTCTCGTGCTGATCACTTCGTCATCTTCATCATAGCGTAGCAACGGATCCGTAGTTCCATTGATTGCATCCAATTCAACACTCTTGGTGTCTTCGAACCGGGTAGCATACGGCTGATGTGCATCTGCCGATGCTAAGTGAGGGTAATACTGCCTGTATGAAAAATATGCGAGGAGAAGTCCAAGCGCAGATCCAGTCACAACGTCCTGCCAGTGGTCTGAATGGCAAAGTGAGTAATCTGACATGATTTCATAAAACAGGATCGTACGACGATAGTCCATAGTGCGCGAAGTTGCCACGAACATTGCACCAACAAGGGGAGTGATAGATATCCACACTTTACTCTGAATCATGGGTAATCAAACACATGTTCGACTGTCCGCAGGACAAGGGGAACTCACGACATGTCCCCGGGTGTCAAATAGATGTAGTTTACCGGCCAGGTAAAAGGCGAGGAATCCGAGGCCTGCAAAGGATGCTACATATAGGCATATTAGATCGATAACAAGGAAAGCTGGCATCCATCATACAGCTGGAATGACCGCTGGGGAAGCTCCTCCATCCGTCTTCGAGTATCTTCGATACCGTCTGCGTACATATATCTGCTGTAGATAGACCCAAAAGAGGGTCTGCAGAGCCCATCGCAGGCTGACAGCGCGAGATTAAATCTGTAAATATTGTAAGTTACGTCAAGTAGATCTATGTGCATAAAACTGCAAGCTCACCTGGCCGAGGCCGTCCAACTGTGACTTTGATGAATTGTGTGATGGCCCTTGTCATCGACAGAGAGAGGATCACTGCATCGTTATCAGTAGCCATAAGATGTAGTTGTTAGATTTAGGTACATACATCCTAGAGTGCTGTGGTGGAAATCCCACCATGACTGGACTGTCAAAAAATTGATAAGGCACTGAAGCACAAATGGGATGCCGCAAGAGATGAATCCAAGAGCTGTTGTCTGGAATGTCATTAATGAAAGGACTTTGTCCACGTTTGCTGTGGCTTACCCCGACACGTTGATTAACAGCATACCTGATGGGTACGAAGCGAGCGTTGTAAGTAGGGCAATATGAACTCAGTGAATGAGCAATACCCACGGATATAGTAATCTAACAAGCTGGTGTCAACATGAAGGCGAATCCGAATGGGAGCATTGATACTTACGAGACATCAGATAGCGAGAAGTGCCTCTTAAACCCAGAGATATAGCTGTCGGTGACCCAGAGTATTGCCCTACGAGTTAATGCCAGTCTTTAGCTCCAAGTCTTTCCATACTTGTAACCTTCATGCTCCAAATCCTCACCAAAGCGCACCAGATATGATCCTTCGGGAAAAGAGACTGTATGAGTTCAAACTCAGAGTTTAGTGATCAAGAAGTTCACCAGTCGGGGGCATACGACATCATGAATCGCCGTAGGCCTGGATGTGGTCTGTGTTCTTGGCTCATGGTGTTGGGAATGACAGGATTTGACTCCAGAGTAGTAGGGCAAACCCAGTAAGGATTGTAAAAGTTATAGTCGGTGAGTGAGTTGTTTTATGGTTGTGAAAGGACGTTTCAGGTCGTCCTGCCCGTTCCACTGTGTCATACTAATGAGTCGTTCTCACACAATCTGGCAGGATCTATTATTGATCCTTGATGAAGCACGTTCGACTGCAAGCATAGTACGTACCTCTTTACTAATTCCCAACGCAATTTGTCGTGAACTGCCAGTGCCACGCTTTCCAAGCAAGCATTCAAATATTCATGTTCCGTATTCTATGTCTCTCATATCTTCCCCGAAGTCGATGCAACCCAATAAGTACGACCAGTCATCTATTCAATACCACGATGATCTAGTAGGAGTCCTGTGTAATTTTAGAAACGCGTTGGGAATCGCTGCTTCGTACACACTGCCCTATCATATCCGTGCCTGTATATTTGTGCCGCAACCATGCCCAACAGTCGACCGTCGTCGATTCATAGATATGGTTTCAAATTGTGTGAAAATTTTTCATGAAAACACCGCAACGTCACATACATTATGTAATCACTAGTAATAACCCCAAGCTCAACATCATGATGGGCCCATATCCTTGATATGCGATCCATCGGATCCGTCGTTTATCTGACGATTCAGGACAGAAACAAAATGTAGCGAATGCGTACAGGAAACCCGAGCCCTTTACTCGCATTGATGGCTTCACAAAGGCAATGTACAAGCCTCCAGGGCTGCACGTTGGATTGGCATGGCTGGCAACGTGCCTGCTCCTAGCAAACGGAAGCTAGTGTGACCTCCTAATGGTAAACACTACCTACGACAGGGCTTCACCCCTACTATTGACCAAGCTATGCAGAGGGTGACAAATATACCACCCCCGCTGGAGGGGTCCAACGTTAATGATCAGTTCAGCATCCACCCGATTCCAGCGCACCCTGTGTGTGGCCTCAAAGCAATGCTCTGTATTCCTTCGTTACAAGCATGGTGGCCAGTGTGTGACACAGCCTAATTATAAGATGATATCAGCGCTGGTTGTACTCAGATATACGAAACCATATGCCTGATAGTTTATACTCCCCCGGAACGTGACGGACAGCTTAGTAGTTCGTGGGAGAGCAACTTGAATACTGATTCAGGCGTTCAATGCCACAAATCTCAGTTGATGATAAAGTTGTTGCCATTGCATATATAAAAATCCGGAAGTATGTACTAAGGTCTCGCTAGTACTGAGGGGAAAATGGACTTTGCCAGTCGCTCGAAGAGACGGAACTCTCTTGCTGCCCAGATGAACCAAAAAATGAACATGGTAATGACCACGCACCCGCTGACAACTGATGCCAGCATGGCCACTGTCGTAGACTTGAACACATTGTACAGAATGGCGATTGCAAAGTATATCATCCTAATCACGAATAAGGTCACCATTAACCCGGTGATTGAGTAACAATCCACCTACCCCCACATAAGCATTGCGTAGGGAAGACTGTGAACCGTAGCAAGGGCTCTCACTCCAAAAAATGACCCTGTCATATGAGACAGGAAATCCGTCTGATGGAATTAGTTAGCATGGAAGGGGTAGACGCTAGGGCAAGGACTTGCTGCTTTGTCCGCTGATTCAAACCCATATCTTTGGTTCTGTCGCACCAACAGGACTGAGACGATCAAGGAGCCGGTAATGAAGATGATGGAGAGATAGGTGACGATGATCCCGATCGACTGCGACTGGCTGATATTCACATTTGGCACTGCAAGGAAACTTACGTCTACTGCTAACATGACAGTGGACTGGAAACAATCAAGTTACGAAGGAGGATGCTGACATCATGATACGTACGTAGATTGTGATCCCAGTCCATTCTGTCATGAGGTTTTTATTGAAGTCTTTCCATCGCGGTGTATTGATGCATTCATCCACCCACACTTTTCGAAGATCTTCCAAGTGTGATTGAGGAGCCCAAAAAAGCATGGCGTCGAGAGCAAAGGAAACACTACTGGTCAGTGGGTGAAAGTTTTTATCTGCCTCGTACACCGATTTGTCGGCTTCAAGACGAGCCCAAGGTAGACCGCAGAAGTTGAAGAACTTGGCTCTATCTTCAGTATAAATGAGCTAGGCGCTAAGACGTCGAAATGAAGAATATACAAAAGTAATGCATGAATCTCGCTGTTGACGAAATGGTGAATCTTAGATTGATGTGTGTGCATAGTTTTACTTACCAATAACACAAGTGGAATGTGGGTCATTGTCTAGAGCATTCTCTGGAGATGCGTAATAGTACTTTAGACTGTTGTGGATGAAAACAGTTCGAAGCGAACTGCCACACCTTTGAGATGGTTTATCAACTCCAAGATTTTGGAGAGTTCATCTCCATCAAAAGGCGACAAGGACGTGTCCGAAGTGATGATCTCTGAATCGCACGTTCAAATAGAATTGACAATTGAATCCCGGCGATAAGTACCTGCACTTGCATGCATGACAAGCACCCTCAGTTCTTTGATGATCTTCGGTCTATCCATCTGGTGGTTCGGGTAGTATTCGCAGTGCGTCCTGCTCGTTCTATGTAATGATAGTTATAGGTGCTGCAACCACATTAGAATCGGAGTGGGTCTCGCAGGAAATAGGTAAAAATCGTACAAATCGAGCATAACACACCAGTACTCAGACTCCAGGGAATATCCTAGTGGTTAGTTCATATCAGCGAAATCACCACGAGTCCCGCATAACGCACTGATGTGGCTCGGATCGGCGACGCCTCGGAGCCCACTAAAAATGTCATCTGTCGCTTGATAGCGATCGTGTAGCCAAAAGAGCGTTCGAGTTGTGTGGTCGATGAAATAATAACAACAAGACACTTGTGCACCTCCGGTTTCAGTCTGCGCTAGTTGCACGACGAGCTCAATGTTATCAGCTCCGAGATCCACTGATTTTGTTTTCGCTAGTTGATCTAACACATCTACACATTCATCGAGCAAATCGAACATGTTGCGATCCATGGTTGCTTCTGTGAATACACTCTGCAGAATACGTGAAAAGTGCGTATGGCCTTCATGATCGAATGCTTACCCGGCGCTCATTGTACAAATACAGCACGCCTTCCGGGTGTACACATGACTTCCAATCACCGCCCAGCCACGGACATGATCTGAACAGTTCGTCATCCGCATTCACCCCCTGGCTGTGCACTCACTCGTTGGGGAACCGTCTCATGAGTGCTGGAATTCCATCGCGCTTCTGAGTTGTGTCTCTAAAGGCCAACTCCTCAAGATTAATCCATTGTTAAGATAGACTGCATTCGCGTACACAAGAGGACGATTGTCGTATCGTTGAATGTCATTCGCAGCGAATGGCACAAGCCTGGGAGTGGTTGCTGGAGTACAAGAGTTTGCGTTAGGAACTTGTGGAGGTGAGAACGTCTGAGGCGCAATAAGTTGCTGGGGAATGCATGGTACAGGCATGGGGAATGTTGGCACTAAAGGCAACAACACATGTTGTGTGCTGCTTACTGGACTTGCTGAAGTAGTAACTTGCCGATTGTGAAGTGGCAATGGTAGGTTGACGGGAGGGCATCGCACACTGGAAGTGCTGGTCGGCACAGTACAACAGGCTGCAGGAGAAAATGTCGTCGAGTCAGTATTGTGCCCGGGGAAACCGCGAATCTTCAACTTGGCCACAAAGTGTCGAAAGCAAGTCACGAGGATGCGCAATCTTTGGGCAGATGAAGTTATGAGTGCTGCCAACACTTGGCGCATATGTTTCAAGAGCCTTAGGATCAGCCTCGCGCTCAACATGTTTGGTCGTCCAACGTTCCAAGTCAATAAGTACGTTCAAAGTCGGCTCAGGTCGCCCACCCCGTTTTGTACATATCCATATTATATAATACAATGCTATTGTAGCGCGAAGTTAAAGCAAGTCATCGAAGGCTTGTTTGATTAGACTCGTGACCAGTCTGTCTATGAGGCAAGGACTAAGGGAACCATCCGCGAGTGAATGCCAAGGTGCGTTCTGATAGAAAAAAAATAGGTTATCAGCAGATTTTGATTCTGTTGCGGCAACCACTCGGCTAAGCCCAGTTCGATTTAAGTCTCTGATAAACCCATGGATTCATGGGTGAATGTCAAGGTGTGTTCTGGGAGAGAGGGAAACCGTGTTGTTGGCAGGTTTCGAACCTGCGCAGTCTAAGAGAAACAGATTTCGATTCTGTGGTCAACCCGTGGTAATCACTTCAGCCAGGACACCTCCCAAGTTGAGATGACCAACTGTCCATGAGTGGACGCCAAGGTGTGATAAGACATTTGTCGGCAGGTTTCGAATCCGTACCACCCAAGACTTGAGAGAGCAGATTTCTGTCCTGTAATGTTTACCGCTTGGCTAAGACTGGTCAAGGTGGACGTCTGTAGCACAAATCGAGGAACATTATGCATCAACAGTATAATCACATAGGATTAACAGTCATTTGCCAATGCGAAATGAAATAAAAATACTAGTTTGCGTTTAATTCAGATATAAAACATGCCAGAAATGAGCAAGTCGGAAGCTAGCGCCGTTTCGATTTTATAACGTAATAGTATTGCAGCGACTGTTCGTCGGATGATGGATATCGCTGCATTAAGGAGAGGGTTTCACACAAATTGTGCCATTAGATACCCTGGATTGAACAGCGCAGGCTCATCGTCAACCAAACTTGTACGGATCGGTGACTTGGTCCCAAAGCTTCTTGGTGTCTACCACAGCACGCAACCTCGAAGCAAGTAAGAACGCTCCACTCAATTTCCTACAGGTCCAGCAATGAGTAAAAAGATCATGAACAAGAACGCAAAAAAAAATTGAACACAATCCCAGCTCTTATTCGGAAGGAAATCTATTCCAAGACTCACCGATTCAGACTGTAGGTTTCCCTCGGTGGGGGCGTCAGCCTGTGCTTGAGCATCACAGGTATGATAGCACGTATTTGAGCCGTGATGTCCGCCCATGGCGTCTCAGGCCCAAAAGCGAAAGGCTGCGCAGTCGTGGGTTTGAAGGGGGTAGCTAGGAGGACCATGGAGTCGATGTGCGCGTTGAGCATGACCTGTGAACGTGTTATATGAATACATGTGCGGAACAGTGATGGGGAGATAATACTTCATTCTCCTCTCCAGTGAGATATCCGAGTTTCTGACTCCATTCTGCACATGCTATACGGTCCTCGGATGCAGCAGCTTGAAGGAGGCGCAGCCAACTGTCCATGAATTCTTTCGTGTACTCACGTGTTGCGCCAAAGTCCACTAGGGATAGCTGCGATGATAGTCAGCGAGATCGTCCAGGAAACTCAAGAAGCAGAAAATATGAAGTGCCAACATAAGACACACCTGTTGTGCCTTTGAGTCCCACAGGAAATTCGTGAAGTTAGGGTCCGTCTGCATGAGCCTGAACTGGAAGAGCTCCCGCAAGCAGAGCTCGATGATTCGCGATGCAATCTATCATAAAATTCAGCAAATGCATGATCTATGGTCGATGATAGGAGACGTGCGCACCTCGTTCCGCTCTTCCTGTGGTAAAGCTCCAATTACAGCATCCCCGATGCCGACGCCTTCTACATGCTCCATTACAAGAACGCGCTCTGTGCTACCTGGCCACACCCATGGGACCTTGAATCGTGCATCTGCACCAAGACAATCTGATCTCCCATACCGCTCGAGAAAACTTGCCTCCCGCGAGTAGTCGCATTCGTCAGCAAGTTCGTCTTTCATCACCTTTGATATTGAGATAGGACGTAGTGAACCGTCCGGATAGCAGGAAATGAGGTAAGATCGAGAACAAAAAGTCAGATATTCAGCACTAGGCATGAGGGAGATATAAAAGACATACTTGAATCGTACGATCCAGGAACAATCCCCGCGGAAGTAAGCTTCCAGCGGTGAGAACCATTTTAACGTAGCCAAGGTCGCTCACAATTGAGTTAGCAATGTGCGGGAACTGGATCTTGACAGCGACGCGTTGTCCGTCGTCGCCAGACGGACTCTGACTTCGAGCAAGGACAGCGTGGTGCACCTGACCGATGCTCGCAGCTGCGAAAGGTATACGATCGAACGATGTAAAATTATCGGCCCATGATTCCCCCAGAGATGTGCACAGCATCTGTTGCATCTGCCAATCCGGCATATAGTGAGCGCTGTCTTGAACCCGGCGGAATATTTTGTCTACTTCTGGGGGTAGGAGGTGGGTGTCTAGCGCTCGGGTTAACAGCGGACAAAATGACAAGAGATGGCCAATGGGTGGGCACCTTGGATGCTCATGAACTGGCCGAGCTTCAGTGCGGCACCGCGCATCTGAGAGAGCTTGGACACCAAGCGGGTTATGTTTGCTTCGGTCATCATGACTGGTTGTGTGTTGTCTGCATGGGGTGTAGTAGAACGACGCAAGAGCTCGGAAGCAGCGCCGTACGAGAGCGATGCTGCAAGGCCTGTGACGACAAGTTAGCAAAAGGTGAACGAAAGGACAGCAAAGAAAGACGTACCGCCGTAGTGAAATAACCGACCAAGTCTGGACGAGGGGACCTTGGATGATTGGAGGTTGCGTGAGAGTATAGGAGGGGAGTCTATGGGTGCAGATAGGTCTTTTTCTGGATGCTATGGGGTGGCAACACGTTGAAATGAACAAGATGTGGGCAGAAGTGACGAGTGAACTGGTAGGGAGGACACACCTCTGACTCTAGGGGTACAGAACTTTCTAATTCGCGACGTGGGCTTTCAGATCCCGTGGGTATAGAAGGAGTACCAGAGTCAAGCGTGACCTCGGAAGAAGACGCGATCTTCAAGGAACTCTCCGCCTCAAGTGGAATAGAAGAGACCGCAAAACTGGGATTATGTGGTAGTTGAGTTTCTAAGGTAGGCTCAGTGGAGAGAGGGATATAGGCAGTGGGCGAAACCTGCTCAGACGGGATGACCTCTTCAAACCGAGGCGGTGATTGTGTCAGTTCCTCTCGCCGTTCCTCGGGACGGGACAGGTAAGTGTCATTAATGGGAGGGTTGGAAGAAAACGCGTGATTTGTGCGCGGTTTTAGAGTGTCGTGGTTAGCTTGAGCATCACCTGCAAGCTGTGGCGTTGACTGTCGCTCTTCTGCCTTGCTTTTGCGCAAAGAGAACTCCGGAGACACAACAGGTCTGGCGGGAAGAACCTGGGAGGCTCTGATCTGTGCTGCACGAACAGCGATATCTGTAACAGAGTGGAGAACGCAAAGCCATCCGAACGCAGGCCCAGGTGGCATCCACGACTAATTATAAAGTTTTACCTCAAAAATCAATTGAAGGCAAGACTGTTGTGGTAGAATTTGCACAGCCACATCAGTCCGTTTCAGACCTTTTAAGCTGAAGCGCTGAACGTCCTTCCTTGTATCACAACTGCCGCAGATCGGAGCCATGCAGAATCAAATCCACAATCCCAACCTGGCGCGATATGTGATGCAGAGGTAATCAAATGTTGTAATATACCACCAATACATAATATTTTACTTGGGTTTGTTACAGCTCCGACGTCATTTCTGACCTGCGAATCAACATCTTTGAGGAGGGTCATGACAATGTCATGTGGTACAAGGTGCGACACCCCAGCCCTGCAATTCCCTTCTTCGCCAGCTCACCTGAATGAAGGAAAGGTTCCTAGGGGACGACGAAATTATTGAGCATGTCGTCGTGCGTTTTCACGTCTCATGCATTGTACTAATTCACATTCCCTCTGAAGCACAACCAAACATCGACAATCTGCTGGACAATACACAAGCCAAAGCGCGGGTGGTATATCCGCATCCGTGCACCATCATTCCCCCCAGGCGTCTTCATATCCCTCCTTCCTATTCCCCGCACATCCCCTAGTTATACAGACGCCGCGCTGTCCTTATCATGTCTTACGAACGCCCCCTCTACTGCGATAAGTTCACCTGCTACCTCGAAGATGTCCATAGATAGTACATCAACAATACACTCTTATCCCCCAACACCGCCCCCAGCCTCCATCATGATCACCCCACCTACACCGCAAAGCATCAGTGCACGCTTGGAGGAAATATCCCCATCGCTCGTTGCAGCACAAAAATGCGCATCTCGTCCTCAGGCAACGCAATTCTTGTTGGCACCGCATTCCACACCGCACATCCCGGGGCCGCATCCAGGCGAACAGACATCATTCATAACACGCGCGTTGTCGATGTTTAAAAACAGTAGGCCTTCGCACTCTGCCTCATTCACGATCATGCCACTTAACCGGCCCACTCCCCAACCGCCTGGTTCAGGACATCGGATATCCCAGATTATTCCGATGACCCCGACGCCATTGTTGACCTTCCATGATCGCACACCGGTACTTACAGCGGCGTCGGTGACGGGTCTTCTCGAGATCAACAGAGCAGAGGAGCGTATATTTGGAATTGATACAAGCTTTTGGATCACTGTTGCCTCGGCGTATTGGGAATTTTTGGAAGATAGAGAGGTGAGTATCTTGCTGATTGGCACTAAAGCACCTGGTGCCCTTCGCCTGTCACTGTATCTTCGGCCGTTTTCTCCTTTACACAGACGTTCTAGATATTCTTACTGACACAATTCCTCTACAGAGCTACTTGGCTGCAGTCAGTGATTAAACTCAAACTCACCTACCCGTACTCTGCTGTTCATCTGCTGTCACCATGCTATATTGTATTAAGTCATGCTGATCTGAATAGGTTTTTTCCCTGCGTGAGTCTGCAAGTTCGCATTCCATCTATGGAAGGCCCGAATTTTCCTCTCATTGCATCCTGTCATTTACTTCTCATCGTTCGCTCTCAAAATCTGCAATGCAGGTCTTGTCCATAAAGACCGGTGTTCTGCCGCACGTACAGCATATGTATACGAGGGCAAGTCAGCACCACTCCCAGTGCGAACCCGTCTTGTTGTCGGGCTCAATGCTAGTGTTTGTCTTCCATTTTTTTTAAATTTATTGTCCTTCGGGGTCGAAGACCCTATGTTGGACATAGCCCTATTCGCAGGGGGCTTACTCCCGCCTAAACTAATATATGTTTGCCTTCCATTTGTGAGTGGAACCACGCTAGTAGCAGGAGCTGACCCTGCCCAGCCCGGCGTCGTCGCGGGTCATGCATCTGCACAAAATACAGTAACATTGGGTGATATGGACACGACTTGAAATTTGCTACTATCAATGCTGTGAAAGAAAATACTCAGATTATAGAACGCTCTACTGGAAGGATTGCCCTTCAAAGATGCTCCTGCTTGCACTCAAGTGTTTGGGAGACTTTGGGTCGCGGAATCTTCGAGACATGGCACCAATAGGATTTAGTATGCTGGCTGAACGAATCATTTGCAATTCCCAACTCAGGTGTCCGTCGGCATGGCTATCGTAGGCGTTTGTGGCCCTCCAGATCTCTAGAACTCAAAAACTTCTCTTGAAATTAGTTATGTGAGGCTATATAAGGCCTGTGACCTCATATGCCAGCATTACTTCATATCGAGGTATAGGTGAGTTTACAATGAGTTCCCTCCGATCCTTCTTGGCGTTCATCCTACCACAGCTTCCTGACCTGCGCATCCCTGACAACATGCAGCTCCTTCTCAGTGCTGCGGCTTGTCTTGGTGTCATAGGAGTGATTACTCGGACCTACTGTTTTAAATCAGAGAGCAACCTTCCTCTCCCACCTTCCCCTCCTACTTGGAGACTCTGCGGACACTTCCTGCCACATCGCAAGTAAGAATTCGCATTCAAATCTTTAACTTCTGAATGCTAATCGTGTTCTGTCGACGACAAGCTCATTTCTCATCGTAGCGGGATGGATTGACGAGTACGGTTCTGTGATCACCATTCGATCAAGATTCGAGAAGATCGTTCATATCGGGCGTTATAAAGTCAGTCCCCACACGCTGCGTTGTCATATTCGGGCTCAACAATGTTCTTTTACAGGCTGCCGTGGACATTATGGAGAATCAGGGAAAATTGGTAGCTGATCGTCCTCCAAATGTTGCTGCGGAGATATCTAACGGCGGAATGGGCATCGCACTTGTACCCTTTGGAGACAGGTTACGTCGGATGCGTAGGTCAGTAGTCCGCGATACTTCCCCTCATCTATCCTGCTTTTCAACATGTAGCAGAGCACTTCATTCGCATCTCCAGCCTTAAGCGGCTGAGGCCTATCAGCCCCTGCAGATGACGCACGTGAAGAACATAGTTCTCGGCATCCTCGATGGTCCACAACTTCCAGAACCATGTGCTAACGTAAGCGTTATTGGTCATGATGGTGTCAGTAGTACTTTGCTTACGAGTGCTTTGAAGTTATGCTGCGACGATAATTATGAAAATTGCGTATGGGAAGAATACACCTACGTCTGCGACTGATCCCGAAGTCGTTGGGGTTAATCAACTCATTAGGATGACTCGAAGTAGTAAAATTCTGCGCCCTGGTGCTTACCTGGTGAATTCGATCCCGTGGCTCAAATATCTTCCTTGGTATGGCCGGGACTTAAGGCAGAGGTTCGAGAGGAACAAGAAGCTCTACACTGGTAATCTGAACCGCGTGAAAGAACAAATGGTATGGATTTCTTTGTTAATCTTTACTTCGTGATTGAATTGTTCCACAGCATAACAATGAGGACATCGGCTTTTCGTTCACGAAATATATGCTAGAAAATAGTCATGTCTATGGTTTGACAGAGATTGAGATTGCTTTTCTTGCTGGTACCTTTCTGAGATCTGGATCACAGACGGTAGGATTTTACCTTCTTTCCTTCAAAGACATGTAGCTGAAAACAGGCAAAAGACCTCTAGCACCATGTGCACGGTATTCATGGCAGCCGCATGTTTCCCTGAGGAGCAAGCCAAAGTTCAGGCTGAGCTCGACGCGGTCATCGGAAGGCACCGAGGTAGCTTAATTCCCTATGGCAGTGCTACTATGGTTTTAATAGTTTCTGCACCAAAGCACCGACCTTCTCCGACCAAAAATCCCTCCCTCGCTTGCAAGCATTCATATCTGAGGCTTTGAGATGGAGGCCTCCGATTCCCGATGGTTGGCATCTTCGCTTTTTTCCCGCACCCAGGTGTCACAACATTCACGTTGCAGCATTGGCTCACCGAACAATCAAAGACGTGATTTGGGCAAGTGATCTTTCAACAACTTATCGCGCGAATGATGATCTTGCCCGTTAGAAAAACTATTGTATTCCAGCTGGGACCACGGTATACGGCAATGTCTGGTGAGTAACGTGCTTCAAGACGCCAAGGAATTAACGACCACTGCCTTAGGTCCATCTCTCGAGATCGAGATGTCTTCCCCGAGCCTGACGCGTTCAAACCTCAGCGCTGGATTGATGGGCAAGGTAGCCTGAGAGATGATATAAAATTGTTTGTCTTCGGGTTTGGTCGGCGGTAAGCACTGTCTTTCAAATATTCGTTTTTTTTTCAAATGACATTCCTTTCAGCGTATGCCCCGGTCAACATGTCGCGAACAGGCAAAAGTACTTTGCACGCAAGCGGTCTTCTGAAATCACTCTGGTTGGTACAGATCGGTGTTCATAACTGCTCTCCTTATTCTTTGGGCCTTCAAGCTCACCCTGGATCCTACGAAGCCACTAGAGGACATGGGTTTCATGGGCGGGTCAATGCCAGATATCCGGCCATGCACATTTGAGTTTGAGAAAAGAATCCCAGAAACGGAACTCAGGCGCATGATGCAGGATTATCCTGAGGTTGCATGAGAGGCTTTGATCCCCGGATGGGTCAGAGAGAGAACGAAGAACTAGCCCCTAACGATACATTATCGATGCATCCTTCTAGGATTCGGTATATTTTAATTTGGCCAGAGCCGATTCTGAATACACATTGTGTATTTCCTGTCTCCGAGTAGTGTCTCCACGTCCCCATTCTATTGTGTCTTCACTCATCACGTACAGCCTGTCATAACATATACAAGGACTTCCCTTCGGTCGGCTGTAAGAAAGAAAAATGTCAACAGGAGGCAGAAACCGCCATCGCATAACACCGACCCTACACAGAGAGATGCAGAATAGGACAGACCAACAGCAAAAAATGCGCAGCACAATGTGATAACGCAATAGCCACCGAGTCGCTTAACGAAATATACTGTAGAAAGATAAATTTGAAGAAGGTGCAGGACTTGGGCATGAGAAGAAAACCATTTATACACACAAGTTGCCATTGGTGAAGCTCTGAAGATTGTGATTGACGAATCAAACCAACTCAACAAGGCTTAGGCACCACATTAATATTTGCACGACCTATGGTTTGGTCATCCTATGGCGGACGGGATGTGATGAGACGTACTTGATGTGTTGGCCCTCCGGTTGACACGATTCTGTATTGACCAAAAACGCCAACGTTTGACACATTGTTCAATCTGCGCGCGTTTTCATTCACATGGTCCTGATAAAGCGTCTGTTCATGATGATTTCAACTTCAACAAACGGCCAAAGTTGACACAGCGACTACCAGTAAATCTTAAATAACAGCCATCGTTCGCTCGGATGCAGGACATGGCATCATACCAGAAATTCGAAGGACGCTTCTGGGGATACACCTACCAGGCGGATAGTGGATCATCACTTATTCAAGCAGTGAACAGATTGGGATAAATGGCGGGACGGAGAAAGTGCAATTCACGCCATAGCATTGTCCCCGGACGGGAAGAAAGTGGCTGACGGGAGTAAAAGAGGCGAGATGAGGTTGTGGGACATCGACTCTCGACGGAGGGAAGTTCGTCAAACGCCAAGTGAGTGTCCTCTTCTGTCTGCTTGAATCGGGACAGTTGGCGAGTGGTGAGTGGATTCAGAGATGCAACTGCAAGTTCTCTGTCAAAATTTGGGATGCAAACATATAGGCAAGTTGCGGCTTGGTCACGGTGGAGCCCTGGGGAGCGAGTTGCGGTGTTTGGCGGTATTTAGAGTGGAGTTTGCCGGTAGATAGTTAGAGCCGCGTCGTGTACTAGTAATCTTCCTAGAGCAGTCTTCCAGCGTGAAAGCAGGCACTGCGATGCTACTCGACATCCAGCGCAATGACTGGAGTACGTCCACCAGGTGCCATCTCGGTCGATCTCCCTGAATCGTGGCCAGTGTACGTGTACCTGCGTTTGGTTTGGTTTGGTCCTCTCCAAGAGACCGCTTTCATGTGGTACGAGCATGCCTCATCATCTTCTGCGCTAGGCCGCTACCTGTCCTCGTTACGTAGCGTGGGCGTTCTACCTGAGTGCCACCTAAACCTTCTACTCAAGGCTGTCTTTCATACTCTTCCATATGACATGGGAATTCTACCTCCGACGGCCTGGACGGCCTCTCATCCTCGTCAACTGGGGTATGACAGTGGCACTTTAACATCTACCCTAAGCCGCATTTCGTCCTCCTCTGCACCGGGGCGCCCAACATCAGGGCCATCTTCTGCCCTGACCGCTTCTCCCGCCGATCCGTACATGCAGTCCTGCCAGTGGAGGTAAGGTTGTCAAATATCCATATATGACACGTTATGCCTACTCATTATTTATGGATGTCAAGTATATCATTGTGATAATGATCACCACTGTAATTTTATCAGTATATATTCAGGAAGGCACCGTAGTCCACTGCTGTCTAATGCTACCAAATACCCCTACTATCATATGTTCCACTGTCGTAATAGCTTCCTTTACAGTGCTCTGACGATGTTGGTACACACTTTCCAGGTTCGGAGAAATCGCAAGTGAGAATCGAGAGCAATAAGCTTCAAATCATCTGACAGAATTGTGCAGATACTTACTAAATGGCTTGCCAAGAAAAAATCGTCTTATCTATCTTCCTACTGAGTTGCAATGTTGATCTTCGGTACCAACACGATAAGAATCAGGCCTAGGAGGTCAGGAGATGTGAAGCCAATAGCCCTTGTTAGGTTACTTACTCACACCAATCTGTTATCTTATCAAGTACTACATCATAAAATTTGGCATCGCGTTTGACTTTTGGATTAAGAGAGCGGTACTTACTATTTTCCGAACCTGATTGTCAATGAAGAGTTACTATAACTGGCATGTGTCAGACCACTGACAATACTTTCCCGAGGAGCAACTTGAAGTAGTATTTCTCACCATATGTTTCGCCAGTAATCCATGCTATGGGAGAATATGGAGGTACCATAAACATCACAGGCGCAATGCACCAACAGCCCATGCTGCCACGTGGACTTCACTGCTAAAATGTCAAACAATGATCGAATGTCCTAATGAAAGGATGAGCCTTGCGAATTACGACAAGAGTATGCACTTCACTAATATCCCAAAAGCGGCTGGTGCAGTTTTGCCAGTGATTGGGCCAAACCTGAACACGAAAAAAATAGGCAACAGAATCCAATGACCAAACACAAGAGTGTGAGACCTCTGGGGTAATACTGATAAGTTGGAGACTTGAAGTATCATTGTGCCGATAATCGAGATCCAAGTGCCGAGTTCACGGCATATCTCATGATCAAGTCATAGATTCCTGGAAGAACATGCCCGTCTTTCCCACTGTCAGTGTACGGGCAATCATACTACGGGGGGAAATGTTTCTGAGCAGTATTCTGAAGTGTTAACTTGAAGTTGAAACACTCCACCGAGTAAACATGAAACTCACAGCCTGTCACATGCCACAGATTGATTGATCCCCTTGTGTAATCCGATTTGCACGCTTATAAGTGTATGATATCAAGTTTCTCGACAGCACTGCGCTGTGATTGGAGGATCGTGTGAGAATCGCGACAACGTCGTTAGCCCTATACTGTGTTGAGCCCATGTTTGACGAAACTCAACTTGTCCGCGGTAGCAGGATACACCAGGCCTGGCTAGGTGACTCGGAGTTTCCACGATCAGCAAGGATTTCAACCAGATCCGGCTAGTTCGATAAACTTACCTGTCTATGATTATCTCAAGCCTATCGGTCTATCTGATCGGATGATAGTAGCACTAGTCGAATTAGACATAAAGTTATAGATCAACAATTTGTCCGAATGGGGAATGTCGCTGACCAGACACAACGAGTCTAGTTCGAAAGTTGGGCGCGGAAATGATATCTGATTCGTCAGTTGTTGGCAAAGCTTACTGTCGTTTTCCCATTTTCCATGGTAGAACTTGGTAAAATCTGTGGGGGCTGCAGAACTTGCAGAAGTTCAAAGGCTCGTTATACACAGATCTGATGTGTTCTCATAGTGCGCAATCACACGTAGTGTGTATAGTAGGCTACTCAGGGAGCGATGTGGGAGTGACTGATGGCACGCTAAAGAGAAATTCCAATGATCAAACTCACCATGGTGCCTGAGCGCTTTATCTGCACTTATATGCGTTGAGATCATCAAATGTATCAGACAAGTTGATCCTCCCGTTGCTTTTTACACATCAGGCATCTTGCGCACCTTTTTCATTCATCAAATCCCGATAAACACCTGTTCGTGAGTGATGACATGTACTTCGAGAAATACACGCTGAGACGGTGGCTACCTGCAATCCTCAGGTAATAGCTATGGTTGTGTCAACCGCTGAGGAGAAACAGGCATCAGAGATCTCTTCAATCATGGCTAAGACGCAGGACGCTCCGGCAATTACGCCCCGCCAGAAATTTGAAGGACACACCAGTCGTGTCTGGGGTGTCATACACCTACTAGGTGGTCAACGGATCATCACTTGTTCAAGTGATGGCTCGCTGCGGGTTTGGGACCTGAAGAGCGGGGAACAGATCGGCGAACGCTGGCGGGACGGAGTAAGCCCAGTGTACACCATAGCGTTATCTCCGGACGGCAAGAAAGTGGTTAGCGGGAGTGAGGACGGTGCGGTAAGGCTATGGAGCGTCGAGACCGGAAAGGTCATCGCTAAATGGACGGGGCACACGCAGAGTGTGTGCTCTGTCTGCTGGAGCCAAGATGGCCAGCGAGTGTTAAGCGGGTCTAACGATGGGACTGCAAGGCAATGGGATGTGGAGAAGGGAAAAATTATCCTCGCACCAATAGAGACAGGGCACACCTACGTGGGCACAACCGTCTATTCGCCAGACGCGTCCATGATCGCGACTGCTGGATACCACGTCGCTGAGTACTCAGTAAAAATTTGGGACACAAAGACAGGAAAGCTAGTCACAACTCTCGAAGGACACACACGTTCAGTGAATTGCCTGGCTTGGGCCACTGACGGAAAGACGCTTATATCCGGGTCAGTCGATCGCTCAATTAGGACATGGGATACAGCCACCTGGAAGCAGACCGCAGTTTTGGATGCACACACCAGCTTCGTCCGTGCCATTGCTATATCTCCAGATAGCCGGATCCTTGCAAGCGCGTCGTACGATAGGACAGCGCAATTGTGGAACCTCGACAAGGGCCAGCCCATCAGTTCGCCCCTCAAGCATGCAGATAGAGTGACCTGCGTGGCATTTTCGGCAGACGGAAAGCTGCTCGCTACTGGCTGCTATGACCATAACACGTACACATCGGATGTTTCTGCTCTCCTTCAAGGAGATGCTGGCCGGAGCGACTAGATTGTGAGTTGAGAGACTCCTCTCGTTGACACTCATCCTTACCTCTCTAAGGAAAGTCACAAGCCGTTGCCCGATGCACGTTGCACCATTTGTGTGCTACTTTAGCGTTATCTTCAACCTTAGACGGCCTCCCACCCTCTTCCATGTCAATGGTTACCACTTCAACTTCCCCACTGGCACAATCTCATGTCACCTTCCGCAGCTGTAACGGGAAAATTTCGCATCCTGACATTTCTATAAAACAGACTGGATTCTGGACTCGGTTTTTGCTTTGCGTCTGTTGAATATCCTGATAATGCTCAATAGTGAACAGTTCCTGTCCTTCACGCAAGTATCTATCCACTTTCTCACGTCCTCTCCCTGCATTTACTATTAGAATTATTGTACACCGGTACTCCTGCGTCAACCGCCCGTGCCATGCGCTGTGTTACAATATCATATTACCATATTCATATGATCCCCAGGACGTTTATCGTTCAAATGTACGGAAATGTTCGCTGTCAGGATCAGGCGCGATACTTGTTTTGTTAGTGGCAAGCGGTTCAACGATGTGACAGCAAGGATTCTTGGCAATGCAAAGGGCTGAGAGACCTTGATTGTGATCTTTGTCGGTATCCGATGGGAGTTTATTTACTCACCAGATGATATTAATACGTCCTACCTCCGTAATCACCTTTACCACTTACGCCCGAGACGTGGAGAGCATCACTCAAGATTTGCAAGGCATGTGCCAGATTGACCGCCTCGATGCCTTCGGGGATTCCCAGTCAAGGGAATCGAAAAGTGCAAACCAACAATATGAGTGATGTCGACAAGTCAGGTATCACACAAAACAACCAAAATATCAGATACAACCGTACATGTTACGCAAAATCACGACAAATTATACATCAGATTCGACGCGAGACCTGGTAGCGGTCCACGAAGGCATGGGATGCGACTTGATCTGTTTTGTGATCCAGGGGAACAGGCCAGAAACGTGAACATCATTAGAAGCCAGTACTGGCCATGTCGCTAGAATAAGAATAGCGACCCAAATAGGAGATATAATCGAGATGGTGACGACACCAGAAGTATGGAAAATCACGATAGACAACGCTGCAGCAAAGAATACCATTCTGTCAAAGAGTAAGTCATCTCCTCATTTGTGCAACTAGAAACGTACCCCCAAATCAGAAGAGCATACGGTAGGCTGAGCATGAGGGCAAGGCTCTCGAGGCCGAGCACAGAACTCGACATCCTTCCCATAAACGAGGCCTGAATGTAAAGAATGTAGGCCAAACAATCGAAAAGAGAACTTACCACGCTTTTAGCGGAATCTCGCCGGCTGTCATTGACTTGTCCAGCTAAGACTAGTGAGACCACTAACGAACCCATAGCACAGAGGGTAGACATATAGGAGACGAGAATCGCAGCATTTTGAGTCTGGACGGGTGGTACCGCAAGAAAGCTGATATCCACAGCAAGCATCACAGTGGACTAAGATTGACATTGAATGCATTGCCGATAGGGAGCAGAAGTACAACTCACGAATATTGTGTATCCATTCCATTCACTGTTGAGTCTGTTGATAAAATTCTTCCACCGCGGCTGAACGATGGTAGAATCGACCCATATCTTTTGAACAGCCTTGTTATAAGCATTAGGGGATCCAAAAAGTATGAAATTCATGACGCGAAGAAGGGCGTTCGAGCGGGTGTTGGGATCTCCGTACAGTGACTGGTCTGCGTTAAGCCGGGCGCCCGGCTGTCCACAAAAATTCACAAATTTGACGTTGCCTATGAAAGTATTCAGGAGGCGTGATGCACTTCCAACCAGCCAGAGCTCACAGAATTCTCCCATAAATCGAGCTGAAAGTCGCAAAAATATCAGGTAATCAACCGACATTCTATGCTCAGGCTCACCGACAATCCACACAGAATGCTCATGTGCATACTCATGTTCAATGCCAGCACTGTCTAAGAACCAATCATCAACAAGAACAACCCATATCAGGGGATGATTCACTCATGAGAGGATCCATAAGGCTAAGCATACTTGCAACCTCTTCCGAAGAAAAAGGCGCTAAGGATGTGTCAGAAGTGATATTGTCTGTCACGAGCTTTCCAGTATAGCGTGAAACGTTTATGAATCTTTACCCACCTGCCTGGGTATACATGACAATTTCTCTGAGTCTCACAACAACATCCTTTGGAAGGGAGCGTTTGTTTGGATATAGTTCAACGTGTAGCCTGTCAAAATCATGACGGATAACCACACAAGGTCAAGATAGGCTATAACAAAGTTTCAGCGCATCAACTTCGGTCAAAGTCAAATGAGAAAACGTGCATACTTCTGAGGCCGTACGAACCAGTACTGTGATTCTAATGCATATCCTGGGAGTGACGCAATGAAAGGAGCTCGAATGGGAAATACTTCCCGGGAAGAACTCACTGATGTGATCACTGCATTTTACGCCTCGGACGTTACCAATGAGATCACCAGATTTGTGAGCTTCAAACCAGAAAATGACACGGCTGTCGTGATCGGCAAAGTAATAGCCCCATTCTTCACGATCCCCCTCCATGAGCTCTAATACTAACTCGACGGATGGATGGAAGTCGAAGCCTGCGTTTTCTATTTCTTTGTACGCCTTCTCAACAGCCTTACCTATGTTGTCTACCATTCCAGAGGCTCGAATATCAGCATCAGTGAAAACTCTCTGGTGGAAAATATGAGTCAAAGTCGTGCAGAAGCCAGCCGTAAACATACTTTATACGAGTGATAGAAAAACAAAGCGCCTTCCGGGTGCGTGAGCGGTTCCCATCCCGACACCAGATCAAGCTCCCTACAAGCCTCTTTCAATCTTATTATTCACTCTACCAACATGCTTACCCTGAACAGTCTAAAGGACCTTTCGGAACCTCGTACACTGCATAATCACCTTGACTGTAGCTACGGATTAGAAAGGCAAAGCACTCGACAAATATAATGTGCATACAATTCAATCCTATCGTATCGCTTGATTTGTCCAGGTGTGGTGGGAGTTAGAGTGATACTATCCAAGGATTGTATTGGCGCCACAGGATGCGATGGCGTAACAATACTTGAGGTGGTACTGGGCTCGGGCATAGAAATTATGCATGGCGCACAAGAATCCAGAGGAGACTGGATATTGGAAGCTACGCCATTCCACCCGTCACTTTGCCGAGGTGGAGGTTCAAACAATGGCACTGCAAGCGTCACAGAAGTTGATTTCTTTTGATTGATGGGTGCCGGCTGAGAGCTCAACGCTAAACCTGGTTCTCGAAAGACTCTCTCTTTTCCATTAATGATGGCTTGACAGCGTCGGAACACCTGTAGGAGGAAAGAGAGGATGCTCGTATATGACCGAAATGCGGTGGTCCTAATTATGGGCCTCAACCAGGATATCAACGTCCGAATGTAGCCTCTAGGTAAAATCATGACGAAGAAAATGGAGTTGAGTATACAGGCTAGAGAATTGTCTGCTAAGTTATAGCCTCATAGGCGAAAAGTCTCGAGTCACGTGGACGTCATCCACGTACTAGATTGAAGCCAGACTCCCCGCTGACTTTGACCTGTTTTTATTTCAACCTCTAGAGGGCTCGAGCTGTAGCCTGCAGGTTCTGCAGTCCATGAGGGACATTTTAATTTAAGTCATGTCATCGCTCAAGCGCACGACGTACTGACTGCAACACTCTTCTCCCCCTAGACTAGGGTTAGGGTTATGATTTTCGGAGTGTGAATTTGTCATCACCGCTCCTTCTTTTCGAACCATCCTCGGGTCAGCCACATTTCATCTAAATTCTATCCACTCTGCCATGGTGCGTTTGTTACACGTCCTGCTAGACGCAGGCTTAATTTTATTGGTTTACAGTCTCTAACACCCGCAAATATGCGCCGTTTAATGCGCGAGATTACCGAGTTGAAGAACAACCCTCCTGAGGGTATTCGCGTTGTCGCGAGTGAGGAGAATATGCTTGACCTCACAGGGATTGTTGAGGGGCCAGGTGGGTCACTGCAGAATGGGATACACGTCCAAAGCTCAAGTCCTCTTATGCTACAGAGCAAACTCCATACGCAGGCGGGTACTTCAGGGTGCGGTTCCAATTTACACACGAATTCCCCACTGCACCCCCAAAATGTACGCGTCATTATTGGTTGTCTGATCATATTTATCAACTACCATCGGCATAGGCTGGTTCGCAACCAAGATTTTCCACCCGAACGTCTCTTCTGCGGGAGAGATTTGTGTGAACACGTTGAAGAAGGACTGGCAATCGTCGTATGGCATCGGTCACATTCTCGTGACAATCAAATGCCTCCTTATTTATCCCAATCCCGAAAGTGCCCTCGACGAGGAAGCAGGGAAGCTCCTCCTGGAGGACTACGACGCGTACTGTTCCCGCGCGAAGCTTATAACAAGTGTGCATGCCACTCCTCGCATACGACCTCCGGAATTTCAAACACCATCCACTGAGAAAGAGGAAGAGTCGTCCACGATGTCGATACCGGTTTCGATTCCAACACCAGCTGTGGTGCCACCATCACCACATATTACGCTACCTATCACAACATCAGCACCATCGCCACGCAAATCCTCTCCTGCGCCACCGTCGCAACCTCTCCAATCATCTCCAGCGAACACAATGTCCACATCACTCTCTACGAGCACTGTGTCCAGCAAAGACGGCAAGGAGCGCTTATCACCGCTTGGGACTGCAAATTCGAATGTTGCGGGCCCAGCTGCCACTGCCACAACCAAAGCCGTCAAACGATCCGCAGCCTCAGCCAGCTCTGGGACAGAGAAACGTAAGAAAGCATTGAAGCGTTTATAAGAGTGCGTCTTGTACATACACCATAATCTAGGACAGTGGTCCAATAGGGGGATCATCTTGTGCACATAGTAGTAGTTCCGTTCTTTGTTTCTTGTCGATATGGCTGTCGTATTTGTTTTCTCAGTAACATAGTGGCCAATACACCAGACATTATATGCAAAACGTCTAAATGCATTGGCTGGTTGTCACGCGTCACGTGTAACAGTGCGCGTCGCGTGACGCAGTGACCAAGTTATTTTCTATTTGAGCCAAATTTGAGCTTGTTCGTTGCAATACCCCTTCATTCTCTGCCATGTTCTCCAAAGCCCTTTTAGCTCAGTCAAGGACATTCTCTGTATCTCTAAGGGCCCGTGCGTCACTTTCGTCGCCGGTTCTGTTACGCCATGCCAACTCTGGAAAAGTGTCGATGCCATTGCAATGGCAGCGAGCATTGTCAACCTCGTTGCCGCTGCGTGATGACGAGTCACGGTTTAGCGATCAAAACTCGAAGCCAAGGGGCTTTCGGAGAAGCATGCCGCCTTCGGGAACACTTTATATCGGAAACCTGCCATACTCTATTACTGAAGAAGAACTGCGACAATCTTTCGCAGAGTTCGGGGAGGTCGTACGCGTATCTTTGGGTGTGTTTTTGTGCTGCACTGGAGTGTTTTCGAAGTGCTGACTGTGCATGTGATGTAGGCACCACGCCAGAAGGGATGAATCGCGGGTTTGGACACGTTCAATTTGCCAATGTGGATGATGCCAGCAAGGTCATCAAGGCGGATGAGGAGGACCCAATATTTATCATGAACCGCGACATCTACCTTGACCATGCAGCGGTCCAGGAACAATCGGTGCGGGAACCTTACCACACGCTCTTCATCCGTCCGTTTGGTGGAGCAGAGGACGACTTGCGCGGGATATTCAGCAACTTCGAGCAATCCATCGCGGATGTGAGATTATGTGCGTGCGCTTCGACTTATTGAAACTGTGATGATGTCTGACTCTGGGCTGGGGTCTGTAGTGAGGGACAAAATGACCGGCGAATCAAGGGGAAGCGGGTTTGTGGAATTTAAGAATGCCGAGGCCGCTACCGAGGCACTTGAGGGTATAAAAGATCCTAAGGACCCTTCGACGGGTAGGCAGATGGTCATCAAATATGCAAAGCCCTCTCGCCTCAATTCTGCCTCTGACTTCAAGAGCAACCCGGAAGGGAAAAGGCGGAGATTCAATCAGAGAGAGAAAGGTCCCCATCGCAAAAATTCATACGGTGGTGACTGGCAAGGTTCCCAGCGCACGGAGGAGTATCGCGACTCATAGTGGAGTGGTGATCATCTAGGCTTATTATGACTATATTGTGATACTCACTTCCTGCATGCTTGTTCGCGCGTATTATCAGCTTATCGTTAATCACATCTCATGGCGTTATCCCTGATTGATTCACTTCGCTCCACTTCTCTCTCAACTTTCTGACTTCGACACCTTACATCTTGTTCCTCTTTCAACTGCACGCTCACCTCTGCTGTAAACACCACCTGTAAGTGTACTCTTTTAAGTATGGTCGACGAACTCTAACTCATGGAAACGAACCAGCACGCTAGCAGCATCGCAAAACGCATTTAACACCACAGAACCAGCGATAAACGCATGCCAGGCTGTGGATAATGGGATTTATACTGCACTTCCACTCAGAAAATAACGTGCATGTTATTGGTGGCGTGTCACTAATGTTCGCTGACACACGCGAATGACGAGGTCGAGGAGCTATGAGCTTGGATATGTGATGTCTAGATTTGCGATGTCGGTGGCATCAAGGACAGGATAATTAAACTTAAAATTTGATGATCGAGATCGACTTCTGCGAGTAAAGCCAAGGTTAATACTGATAGTCGGCTTGCCAGGGGTTGCCGATGTTGGACTAGGAAAACTAGTAAGCGCTATGCATCTGGAAGATATATATTATGACTGTCGCGCCTTATACAGCAGGCCTGATGCTAATGCAACGCTAGCAAGGTTGCAGGCGTCCCAAACAAGGCGCGTCGACTGTAGTGTCAAAACTGTGTTTTGGTTCGTTCGACAATCATGCTGCCTCCCACCATAGCTGACTCGGAGTGCTGCCCACAGGGCTCGTTGCAGTACTTCACCGCCCAGGAAAGCTTCAAGCGTCAACGGAAGTTGAGCTAAAGTGGATGTGGTGCTTCTCAACGACCTCTTGGCTCCAATAGCGCAACTGTCTCTGTATACCTGCCCTGATCAAGCGACCGACAGCGTTTAAGTCAGTATCATCAGACCGATTTTGTGATTTTTCTGTGAAAAATTAAACACTCACCTTCCCTCTGCTAGCCTACGGTGCATTGCATTTCCTCACGTTTACAAGGTTCTCCCTTGTTTCACTCGTGACCAGGTTTTGACACTTCTGCTTGCCCTGCTTTGAAATCGATTCATCTCTCGATCCAAGACTTTGGGTGTGAGGTGGTGTGGATGTAGTTTCGGCTGCGATCATTTTTGGTTCATTCCACTCTTGTAGCAATCCTGTGCCATGTCGTGAGCATGCTAGGTTGCATTTAGATATATGGTTGAGTTGATGAGTTGACACCTTATTTATCCGTGGTCATCGCATACTACCCCTGGGTTTCAGGCAAGGATGGGATCATAAATTTCACCCGTGTGTCTAATTTTGTCGTTCAATTCTGTCAAAGCCCTCGTGATTGAGTGGGTTGGAATACACAGGTGCAGACATCGGATGATTCTCATTTTCCCGGTGAGAAGGATAGAAGGCCAGCAAGATTTTACCACAATTATTGCAGCCATCGTCAGGTCCGCTTTTGAGGTTGGGCTGCTAAGTCAAAGTTCTTGGACTTGCGTGGCAAAATGAACTGATATTGCATTGTGAAATAATAGATGGGTTGTTTCAGTCCCTTTGACACGATCTCTGTCGCACAGCGCTGGCGGCGTAATCATGATGGTACCGCCCTTTGGAATGTTGCCTCTATGCTCCATGTCCTCGCTGCTTCAGGGACAAATTACGATGGTTGAACTGGCCGTCGCACTTGCTGTATGCAATGCGTTGATTCCGCCCGTGGTCCATGAACAGACGAATGAAACTGGTGACGGCTTGTGTGAACGCCCTCCGAATCAGCACCTGGGGACTCATCTATGGGAAAAGTTGGAACACGGCTGTTACCGACGCCAACGTATTGGGTCATCCATCCGGTCAACTAGACTTCTGCGTCTCTGCTTTTACGGCAATCGTGGACCTCTTGTACGTCTCTTGTTCCACCCTTCGCGATGTGTTTTACATGCTGTTGAGACTCGAAGTAGGAAGGGATACAGGAAGGGCCATCCCTGAGAAGGATGGTTCTTCCCACCGATGTTCTATGCCTTGACTATTGCATGCATCGTCGTGTAGTCGTGATCGGGGCTTATCAAAATGAAATCTCACAAATGCCAAGTCTGCTTCTCGAATTGATGCTGCGAAATATCGACCAGGTCTCTGAACTTATCAGGTGAAATGACTCTATGAATGATAGGTGAGATCGCTTCCTTGTCATTTGATCCGTGTAATGACAGAGTTCACACAGGGTTCAAGTTAAGAAGCGGATTGTATCGGCAGTGTCATCCTGAGAGTGCAGTACTTTGGAACAACATGACTAGAGCTAGAGGAAGGCAGTGAAAGATGATGTCTTATTATTGTCTCGTCGTTCCATCTGGTCAGTCAGCACCCGCCACTCGGGGAATGAACGGCGCATGGTTGAACTCCCTAGCCGTTGCACTTCTCAAGAATACAACGCATGGTTCAAAGACGATTCGCCTAACTCCCCTAACCGAATCAGCGCCCGAGAACTCACCCGCGAGAAAAGCTGGGTGATGACTATCCCGATCCGACGGTCACGATCCGAGCCATCACTGATCAGCTGGTAACTAAAATTTCGCCGTCTCGCTTGCTTTTTGGCGAATTAGGCACCTGCTGGCATGTTGAGGTCTGATAAGCAGCACATTGCAGAACGTGTCCAAATATTGGCACGAGTCCATCGCTAGCCTACCTAATGCCACTGAAGACACGCCGAGTTGATTGCGGAGCACTGCCTTGACCTACCTTACATGGCCTCTAAAGATCACGGCACATCGGAATTCCAACATGTTGGGCTCACTATGTGACCTTTCAGATACTTCCTCGTAGAACATTGAAGATTCGATCTTGCGCTCGTTGACTGCCTTGCACCCCGTCGGTCTATTTTACAGCTTTCATTGGATGCCATGGAGAGCCGTCGTAATAGCAATATACTCGTCAGTGCTAGGGAAGGTACCATCAGTATCCCTTGTGGAATACGCCCATAGCTCAACGTTCAACGAGCGGCCCAGAGCGAATACTGGCAAGGCGATGACAGAACATCCATGCCCCCAGAAATTGCCTTGGAACCAACCTCAATCACGGCAGGGTATATTGTAATTTATTGACATGTTAAAAACGCGCGTATATCTACGCGTTGTGTCCAACCTTGACTAGCTGGCAGAGGCAGCGAATCTAAAACATGGAAAGCGAATAAATCATCTGTGTACACTTTATACATCCACACACGAGGTACGTTCTACCAAGGATACACCACTCATCCACGGACGTCTAATATGATTCAACTTGTGCCACACATCTTCCAATCTCCGCAGACAAACGTGCCACGTGAATCGTGCAAGCAGGACGATGAGTTTGAACGTCAACAAACCTGCACGAAAGAGAAGACGCAGAGTCAGTCGCATAATCACAATCGAAACAGTGTATATAGAAGTGACAAATTTTACTGTAGCGCCGGGATTGTACATGACAGCGGTCACGAGCGCCAGCATGAAAATTTTGAACAGGGCCATGAGATATTGGGGCGAATTGAAAAATAGCGCCCATTTAAATACTTGGCCGAGCTTGTGCAATATGATGTGATTGAGTACTGGTCGGAATAGCATGATGAAACAACATAGGTGGAAGAGGATGAAGAGGAGGGGTTTTAATACATGGTTGAGTCTCGTGAGTTTCAGCGGCGAGAGTAACGATGGCATGAATTTTGAGATGTTTGAGTAGAGTAAGTTAGGACCTTCTAATGGCAGAGTTTGTTTGAGAGGTCTGAGGAGAATATCTGTCTTCATTACAAGCCCGAGCATGATGATGGTTACGGTAAGAAAGTGAAATTTTATATAGGGGTCAATTGACGAACGGGAGAAATACGGAATCACATGACTTCACATTGCATTCCTGTCCAATGACGCGACGCGACTTAGACTGGTGGACACCGTATATGAAACTACCACGGAACCAACACGGAACCTAGCTTAAACTTGGTTTTACCGTCTGACTCAGTCTGAAATATCGTATGTACAGGGTTAAAATGTCATTTGCATTTACTGATTCCTTGAATTAGGTGTCATATGGAAATGCGGCATGAGCGTTGTTACATTGAAAAGGTGACTTTTTTGTGGCGTTTGAATATGTGCGGAGTCACTCATCAGTCGATACGCTTACAACACGAGTGCGCACACGGACGGTACGTTACTAGTTCAGCAACATCCGCTTCGATCTGTGAAAGCAGATTGATTATTTTGCTTGGTACAAAAACATAACTCGTATTGCTCGTACATAACACCAAAGAAATAACCTAGCAACCAGGTCTGGTGGGGCTATTGGAACACGCGGGGGAGGAATGGAGGGCATTATGTATCAACTATGTACAATGCCAGTCATACATTGTCATTACAACCGCAAGATCATAATGACAATGCATGACGTAGATGGAAGAACACGAAGTGGGGGACAACAGCCCGCTCAAGTAATCAGGGACCCACGTATTCCATCACCTCGACGGGCTGCGATAATGCCACGGATGAGCACAGCTAGTAATGCGAAAGTTACAAGAGCCCTAACGAGAATATGAACAAGGAAGCCATAGACATATATCAATGACACGTACTCAGTAACCCAAGCAAAGCCTTGCAGCGCGTTAAGTTGAACAGGATATGCGAAAACGCTCGGGGTACTAAGAAGATATGAGGTGAGCAATGAGTAGTAAGAAGTTACCAACTTGCGATTCAGCTCGCCACTCAGAGCTGTAGTTATACTTGTAGCACCCGCGGTCCAGAAAATCCATGTTAGAAATAGGCTACGACGAGTTTATCAGCAAGGTCGACCGTCCGTGTCAAAGGAAGCTTACGTACGAGAAGATATGAGATATCACACTACCTAAAACAGTGCCTGGAAGATAAAAGAAACACATGTAGAGACTGGAGAATACGATCGTCCATGCTGAAGTGAACAATAGAAAACAAGTGCGGTCTCGTTCAGCTAGACTGAAGTAGTTGTGGCGGGCAGTAAACCGCGACGTGAGCCAGGCTGAGATTGAAAGCTACCACAGGGGGTCAGTATTTCACCGTTGTTGAGATAAAACGTGTACATACCTCGATGATACTACAGAAAATGATCAACGAGAAGACAACTAAAATCCAGGGTGTCGGCCGACAACGGTGCAGAGGACGAGGATGGCCCATTCGCATGTGGGTACCAAAATCCATTGCACGAGGAAAGGAATTTGGCTGAGGGGGGAGGGGATTGGTAATAACATTGAGGTATCGCGGTTGGGGATCACCAAGGTTTCGTAACTGAGATCGTAATTGCGACAGCTATGTGGATGCAAGTTAAGTTCGACATAAACGCCACTGAATCAAATGATCACCTCTCTGCGGAGAAATCGTTTAGAAAAATAATCGTTACTTATGAGTAGCAACTCACATCGTGTGTTTTGTCTCCATTTCCACCATCCTAGTAAGGAGACCATCTTCCATAGCACGAGATGTTCTGGAGCCATGGTCTGTGATTAGTGTGCTGTTGCGTAGCTGATCGCGAAGACGATGACATTCTGCTTTTTCACGCTCGCTCTCACGTTGAAGAGCTTTGTATCGCTGGAGGGAATCAAAGGCAGCTCGAAGTGGTATATGCTAAAAACGCCGCATATGAGACATTTGATAAGAACTGCGTAAGGTACCGACAGCAAGCATCGGTTCACATCACATTTGTGATGCGCCTGCAGAGTGAAAAGGACTCACGGAATTGGGATCATCCGGTTGAGACTGTAGCCATTCTTGTACTTCGGAGACTACTTCAGCGACATCAGCCTCGGGCACGCCTTCGCCTAAGACTAGAGACATCCGATGAAGAAGGAGATTGGCATGATCGTAGACAACACCTTGTTCGGCATTATCTCGCTCTGTATTGTCCCGATCAGCATCGTCTCGTTCAGCATTTTCTTGTTCGGAGGTATTTCCGACGTGGAGTTTCTTGACACGATCTGGATCGAAAACTTCGCGGCAGAGGGGACATGTGCTTGTGCTTAAGGAGTAAAGGCACCTGTGATTGAAGAGGGTATGAGATGAGAGACAAATATTATTACTGGGCGGGAGTACTAGTAGAAATTTAGGCGCACCTGAAACAGAAGATGTGACCACACTCAGCAATTGCATGTGGAGAAGTAGCAAGATCTGAGGTAGAATAGGGATCAAGGCAGATGTCACAACGACTTGAAGGATGGACGACAAGCATACCTAGTTATTGACCAACAGGACTCCGTAAGCCCAGTACCTGTGCAGACTTTATCATCACCTGTTGCACGCTACTAACTTACGATGCAAAATTCAAACCCAGCACAATTGTAGCACAACGTGTTTGGGATCCACATGCCTCGCCCAGACTCCTGCCTTCCTGCTCCGGCTTCCCACACACAACACGAATTAAAACTTAACAACTTCCTTGATTCGTTTATCTAATATCTCAACACTTTTCATCTCGTCTTATCTCTTCAGATGTAATATTCACTCACAAACCCACAAACCGTTTCTCTCCGATTACATCTCTAACGAAAATACCCTTGCTTATCATAGATTTATGCTGACCAATACTACATCTCGTTCTCTCTCATCTTCTCTTGACTTGCGAAGAAGTTGTGCAGAGTCTTCGGTCTTTTCATTATGAATGTCGTGAGAGTGCCCGGACTTTCGTTCATGGTTCGAAGTCGTTCGAAGTCGGCGAGGAAGGTCCGAATGGTAACAGGTTACCATTATATTATGTCTTCTAATTCTTGTGCAAGTACGCATCTACAATGTCTACTCGGTTTTCAAAATTTCAAGCGCCGGCCCATGCAAACACGACCTATTCATGTGTTGAGGAACAGAGCAACCGCCGAGTGATAACAGGGTACTATAAACTCCACATGTACAACCCTGGTACAACCTAGTATTAAGTTCTAAACGGATGGCAAAGCTCCAAAATACTGATTTCGTCGAAAGCTGGCGAATCTGCAGGACTCATACGCTAGGATGTTGAATGGACGTGGATCAATATTTGAATGCAAACAAGCAATATGATGATACTAGGAAAAATAAAGAAATATCCGAGTCATGACTGACTCGTACCTACACTTGAAATTCAATAGCATCCACGCCTAGTTTCTTATGGTGTAAAATCCTGCGCAAAGCCCTCTTGCCCTCGATTGACTGGCCTTGTTGCGTTCAGACGATCCACGACGTACGACCCCTTTGCACTTCACGCCTAATGGGGACTTCTTTCCATGAGCGGTGGATCGGTACCTGTTCGATGCCTGTCTGGTTGGTGCAGAAACCCGATCAGGTTCTAGCAAACATAATCAGTCAATCGTTAGTGGAATCGCATTTTAGTGGGAAACCTCGGGCTTTGAAGGTAATCCCCGACGAGGAGGGAACACCATCTCCGCTTCCCGCATAATCCTCGACAGCTTCATCGGCAGATGGATACAATGAAGCTTCGTCGTCGTCATCTTCCCAAACTACCTCATGATCCCTCTCATAGATCGAAAGATCGACGAGACTCGGTGGGGAGAAGTCAGTCGTATCATGTAGAGGGTCCTGGTTGACACATCCAGAACCGTCAACGTCATATGGTGCTAGGCTCGATACCAGCCTGGCTTATATAACCACGGACAAGTCGAGTGGCGTAGCCAGGCTGGTCGATCTCGGAGAGATTTGGCAGGCGAAGCACGGAGTTTGAAAATGTGCAAGTGCCGGTTGTGCCGGTCGAAGTAATAGTGCCACATAGTTACAATTAACTATCAATCGCACACAAACTTTCGTTCGCGCACTGCATAGAGTACGGCCGCATCTTTCTCGATTTGCGCTGCAGCACTAAAATTGAAATAGGATCCCACAAATTATACCATTTGCTCCATATTATCCACCACTACTGCAGTATGCTCTGAATCTTTAGCATGAACAGTGGACCCTCGCAGCCTCGACACAGGAAAAAACTCTCTCTTTGCTGAAAATGCTCCGTGGCATGCGGATGACAGCTACGGACCTCCTGCTGTATACCATCTCAGACAAACCTAGCATGGCCACTTGGAGGGATGGATTTTTCCGAAGTAATGCACCCGCACAGTTTCAGCTCGGAGGATCACATTTCTTCCTGCTAGTAAAGATACGAGAGCCTTGAGTTGAAATAACTTCGGATTTTTGGTGCCTTTCGAGACGAAATCAAGGTGCGCGAAGGCTTCGAGTACTTGCTGGAACTGTATGGTTGAAAGCGTGTTTGTAAAGTCCGTTGGAAGGTTGTCGAGAGCATTCAAAGCAAATATGGACATGGGCAATACGGAATCAACGTTAAAACTCATGATTTGGGCCGGTCATAACATAGAGATGTAGCAATATAGTAGTGTCTGTATAATATGATGGATGATGACACGGCGTCGGCACAAAAGGCACCTGCAATTTTCAAACTCCGTGCTTCGCCTGCCAAATTTCTCCGAGATCGACCAGTCTGACTACGTCAAGATTTCCCACTCTCAAAGGATGTACGTCAGACTGGTCACGAGTCTAATATGGTGCGCGATTCGGCGCGAAGGCGAGGTGTCGGTGAATGACTGCTACGTGTGGAGGTGGGTGTGTCCTGCATCTGTTGTTATGTGACAATGGACTTAGACAAAGCATCTCGAAGCCTCTGTTTTGGAGTGAATAGTGTGAATGAAGATCCATACTTTGACAGGTAATACTTCTCGATGCCATCGGTGAATGCAGGAATCCTTGGGATTGTAGTCGTGAGAATTATAGGAGCATTTAATTCTGCTCTCACCAAATATGATCATGTATACAACAAGAAATTTGACTTGTTGCTGTGTAGCCATGTATGCTTACTGATATAACCTAGCAGGAGGAGTGGGTTACTAAGTTGTGATGCACCGCCATCACAGTAAACAAGGGATGCAAGCACCCTTTTTTCATTGTTGTCAAGCAATCTCACTCATGCTCATTCGTGTTTCATGATCAAAAATCATTCAAGACTTTCCAAGGGAAAGTAACTTTAGCACTGGTCAGCAAGGATATATTAGCCTGTCAGTTTGTGACAAACCCATGGGACATCGCTATCACAGGCAGCAAGGGATGCAAGTGTACTCCCATTGATGCTGTTGAACATTCTCAGCTAAAATCAATTACATGTTGGATTGCAACGTCATATAAGACATTCCAAAGCATGGTCACTTTGGCACTCGTCAACAGGCCTATAATGGCATGGGGCTTCGTGACATAATCAATGACATTCCTCCATTGCAGCTGATTTACGTGGTAGGTTACTCATGCCAAATATTTTGGGTGTTGTCATTTTGTCTCACTTATGCTTGGTGCTCCAGCCTCATGGAAGACATTCTTGTGGGGAGTGCCTCTGGCACTCTTCAACAGACCTACAATGGTGTGGGGCTTTGTGACATAACCATGACCTCCAGCCAGGAAGGCCAATAAGAGATAGCAGCACAGTTCTCTCAACCTTATTGATGGCTCTGGTTCTGCCTCATTTATGTTTCTGATTAAGATGCACTTCAAGACCTTTTGATGGGAAGTGCCTTTGGGACCAGTCAACTAACTTATGACAGCATTGGGCTTCATAACAAAATTGTGATCTGCCGCCACCACAGCACCAAAGGGATGTGCGCATTCTCCTCTCAACCTTGTTGACGCTTTTTGCCCTTCCTTTTTTTGGTCTAAGCTTCTCAAGGTTTTCACGACCTTCTGATGCACCCCGCCACCAAACAGCACAATTGAATTTCCCATTGGAATCAGATAACGGCAGCGATTGGCAGACTCAGAATGACTCAGCCGCTGCTACTCAGTGGTGATTCTGGTGAATGATGACTACCAAATGACAGAAGGTATCCACTTTCTTGGGAGGTGGGACGGGTGAACAGGTGGATGTTCTAAACATTTGCCCCTAGGCAAGTCATTGTAATAATCACTGCAACTCACCTGGGCCATCCTGGCTCATCAAATGATTGAGACATGGTTGCAGGCCACGTGCTGCGCTTGACACTCACTGCTCACGATAAACATGGTTGTGTGATGACAAAACCTTATGGCTTCAAGTTCATGGCAGCCATTGCAGTACTGGTAACAGTGACCAGTCAAACTCACTTTGGGACCAGGGCCTGCAAGTTCCAGGAAGAAAGAATGGGGTGCGACATTGATTAGCATGAAGTAAGGTGCAAATAAAGGCTGAAGTAGTAGTACCGCTTAACCATTCAGAAAGACCCATAATTGTCCTCATCCTTGGCACCTCCAATCTCCCAGTCATCTGGATGGTCGTTGCCCAACTGTTTGTCATCATCGCACTCAATAGTGTTGTTGTTGTCATCATCATCATCATCTTGATCTTCTTGGTCGACTCCTTCATTGTCATCATCATCTCTATCCCTCTTGTCATCACTCTTGGAGGAACGAAGGTCTCTCTCGCAACCCCTATCTTCTTCTGGTTCCAGGTCATCTGCGAGGTCCATGTTGGCACAATCTCTTGCCATCTCCTGCAGAACCTTTGGGTGGCCAATTCCATAGTGTGTGTACCGCATGAACATGTCTCGGTCCACAAATCTGAGTAGTCTAGGATATGAGTAAGGAACCTAGGATAGGGCGTTCCACTGACATGCCCACATAGAATGCTTCCCAGTCATCTAAATTGCCATCCCAACATGCAAATGTCTCTCCATGGCGAAGGGAAGTAGTTCCTCACCCAGATTTGAAAGTTGGTATCAGGTGTGCACTTTGTATTACCTGACTGGGATCTAGAAAGCCAAACGCATCACGGTCAGTCTCATCAACAAATGCCACCTTCGGGAGTCGAGCAAAGGCCATTCCTGAATGGTGGTCAGCTGTTAAGGTCGTACTCAAGGGATAACTGGATCCAAAGGGCTTCGGCCTCAGCTCGTGCGCTGTGCCCCTTACCTGAGTATTGCCCCTTATTTCAGGAAGGCAAGACTAATGCGTCCAGAAGGTCAGATGAGTAGCGTAATGGATCCGGATGACTTCCAGATGAGGGATAAGTATTGTAGGGCTAATCTGGACAAGTCCAGACTAGAAACTAATGGTAATGGACTGTTGGAGACAGAGGCGGATATGGATAGACTATAGGAATCAATCCTAAGTCTTGGAGGGTGATGAGAGTAGAGATACTCAAGTCTGGAGGACAGGAATGAGTAGAACTAAGATGATATTTGAACTGAGGTACTACAGAAAGTTACAGGAGGTTACATACTATAGGTATCTAACGGAATGATCAATCAGCAGAGTCCGAGGCTATGTACAAAGCATGTGGATAGTCTATTGGTAAGTAGAAACAGATCACAAATCATGAAACGGAAATGAAACATAGGTAGCAGATCAGGGAGCAGGATGGATATACAGATAACTGAAATACTGGAGTTAGGGGGTTACCAAAAGGAGACGAGCGCTGGTTGTGGATTCTGATGAGTTGTGGACCAGACCGGACAAGTGGAACAGATTGAATGATGAGATGTTGGAGGGAGATAAGATGTGGATAGGATCGGAGATAAGATGTGGATCTGAGATGAGATAAGGGTCAGATCTGAGATCCGGATATGTGGATATGACATTGGCCAAAGGTGCCAGCCACTGAACATACAGGACCTCGAGTTGGTGCCTTTTAGTCAGCCCTTCGATATTCAGCCATGCATCCATGTGATAAATGCCCAGCACGCAGGCGTACCAGTAGGGATGCTTGGGCCTTGTTTCGCCAGATGACACCATGACATCACAGTGTGTCCAAGGATTGATTGTATTGTATTCTCATTGAAGGTCATAAGTAGTATACCGGACCTGTAATGATAAATCATCTTATACAAGCAAAATTCAGGAATAAATTACCTGCATGGTCTGAACTGAATATAGCCGATTGTCTGAGACTATGACCAAATTGCGCTCTTCATCCAAGAAAGCATGGTTGCAATGGCTGATGTCCAACTTTCAAAGTCGGTATAGCATGTGGTCCTTGAGTTTTGGTATGAAGCCCTGCAAATCATAGTGAGCAGGATGGACCAGGACCGGAGGTCAACACTTACTGCTAAAGCTGGATCATTAGGATGACCTCGAAGAAAACTGAACATACACAACAGATTGTTGTGGCTAAGCATGGGTATGTAGTAGTGATCTTTCAATCCTGCAGGCAAGTCCACCAGTACCCATTCGCTATTGTTAGAATCACAACCTGTCTCTGCCACTTGTTGAAGTACATGGCAATGGCACTCGTGCTTAGCTAGTTGTGCCAGGGTATCTAGTTTACTAGTCAATGGATAAAATGCTTTCAGTGCTCTATGTGCCAACTCCCCCTGCCAACTTTGAGACAAAATGCATGGTAACAGAGATCCATGTACGATCTGTGATGTAAAGGAATCTGTTGTCCCAAAAAGCTGGATGGTCTGTAGATAATCCCCCATGGCATGAAATTTGTAAGTATTTAAATTGAATTTTTTGGCCTTTCGGCCACCACTGCGGGGGTCTGGATTCCCAATACCTGGGTGTTGGTGAGCAGCTTTGCATTGGGGAGCAGCTGTTTCTTTAGGTAGTTCCATGGTGGTGAAAGCAGTGCAGGTAAAGTCATGAAAATTGCGCAACTGACAGGAGAGGCACTTAAAGGTCTTGTCCAAAACTGACAAGGTGGTTTCTGAATGCATTCTGAGTTTGGAAAGGGCATGCCATTGCACGAATCTGTACAAAAGCGACTGTACCACCTCATCATTGCCTTCTGGGAAAAGCCCTTCAAAGACAGGCATAGCGCACTAAAAGAGGCATCAGTGATGTGTGTTGGATATTTAATTAACTAGACAGACCTGCAAAATATCTTCAGAGTCTCGAGCAGCTAGTCTCTTCATTTCAGAGGCATTGTTGGTGAATTGTCATATGACTCCATTGCCATATGAAGGAATTTGACGAAATCTATGTTTTATCCCATTGACTTTCAAATCAGTACTATGGATGAGCAGACAGACCTGTTATCAAGAGTAGCAACCAAGTGGTCGCCAACAGGAAGTGCATAGAGCAGACGAATGAGATGTGTGAACAGGGCCTTCCAGGTACCTAACTCACACTCATGCATAAAATCAACCACAAGCATGTGAAAGGTGTCAAACCCCAAAGGGCTGAGTTTTTCTACAAATGTGTTCTAGTTGATGGTCAGTACTGATAAAAGGCTGTAGTGTATCCCAAAGGCACACACCACCGTTGGGACCCAGGACCCATCTCCAAGAACCTTTTGCACCTTCGAGCCATCAATGGTATTTCCCAACTCATATATAAATCCGTGGGCCTGAGTTACACTTGCCAGGCAGTAAGTCCTGAGGTTGGCTAGACGACTTCGCAGATCTCTAAAAAGGCCCAGTAGGTCGAACGAGGCTTTCGGTGTAATGCAGCATGGACATGGGTGAGCACCCATGTCTTTGATGGTTGCTATTAAAACCCTGAAACATCTATCAGTATTGCAATGAGGAAAAGGAGTGATGAAGAGCCTACTTTTCTGGATAATCAGCTGAGTACATGAAGATATGTGGAAATACCCATCTCAATACACCATCTGGACACCAGAGTACGATTCTGTGATGATAGGCATTAAGGAAATCTGCATCCAGTAGACGTTTCCAACATGATTGAAACAAGTCTCACTGACAGTGAGTCTGAAGAGCTGCTATACCACTTTTGGATATTCAAGGTAAGCTATTAAGGTCATCCTTGAGGCAATCTGGAAGCTAAAAATCCAAGGTGAGGGAGGTATGCAATGTGGGAGAGTAGTAGCCTACTGAAGGTAAGAATCCAATCAGATGGCATGCGCCAGATTTGGGTGCTGAGTGTGCATATTTGGTTAAATTTCCAAAGTATAAGTACAGGGGCCAAGCCTTGGCTGTTCCAAACATTGCAAGATGAGTTGCATTGGAAAAGAACATTAGTCTGGTGATGACGCATTCGAGTAAGCAGCCAGGCTCCCTCAGCTGCCTCTGTAGGTCATCCTGAGCTTACAGCCAGGAGTTGGATGTATATAGCTCATTGAATACACATTCCTCATGGCCATCCAGGGGATCCTTCCACATGCATTTGAAAGGGAAGAGGTGAAATGCATTGGCTTGGATGTCTGAAAATGTGGAACGAATCACTCCTACAAGTGGTCGATAGTGAAAACCTCGAATGGTAAACAACCTGGGCGGGTCATCCATTGATTTAGTAGGTATGTTGAGGGTGATGTCAGCCTCTAACCAGTCATCTGGAAAGGTGGTAATCCCCTTTCCTCCGCTATTGTCCAGTGCATGCAAACTCCTCCTCACCGAAAATCTGTCCAGGTCCATGGGGCTGAAGTCCTCCACTTGGATAACCTCTTTAACGAGGTGTGATACCTCAGTCTCTGATTTATGACTGCTCCCAGAATTCATCCACCTCAAGAGGCAGTAGGTGGTCATATTAGGGAAGGGGTAAGGGGGTTCAGGAGGTGAATCAGCCCCTTGCACATTGAGAATTGTTGTTGGAGAGGATCTAGCCAGTAGCAAAGAAGGAATGTATGTATCAGGCTCGAAGGATGGCCGCCTAGGATAGTGTTGATAGAGTCCAAATGCATTTAATGTGGTTTCAAGAGAATCGCGCAGGGTCAAAAGGACTCTTTGGATTCTGCTCAGTGGTGGATTCCAAGTATCCGTGACAAGAGCCAAATTGTTCCCACAAGAATCTGAAGGGTTTGTGTCTTCGTCAGGAGGTATAAGGTCTTCGAAATTTCTTGGGGCCAGTCATGGCCTGAGCATGGGTGAAAGACGTTGATTTGGGTCTACTAGCAATTCACGAGCATTATAGCAATGAGTACAAAAGTTAAGAGGGTGCACACCTCGAAGGTCATGGTCTGCTTCAATATTGCACATCATAACATCCAAAACACCTGGGTCCTCGAATACAAAATTTTGCATACCAGCACTAGGGGTGCTGGCTGGGTTGTTGAGTTCAGAAAGTGTGCTAAACCCCCCAGTTTCACACAAAGCTATTGGTTTCAAGCTACAACTCTTTGGGAGTCAGACCAGTCCGAGCTATGGGTAGATTGAGGAGTAAACGAGCGAAACTATGAAGATTTTTGGGCAAGGTAGGAGACTACTGACTTACTAGTACACTGGAAGGACCACAGGTTGTGAACTGCAAGGACTTTTGGAACTGTTGAATTGACTCCCTTGCCCGGACTCACCTTCTCTCTGCAGCTAATGCACTTGCCTTAGGTAATGTTTGCATGTCAAGTGGTGTCTGCTGAGCCCACGGAAATCTGTATCCTTCTCCCAAGAACAATGCAGTGCATTTGTTAAGAACCATGCTCAAAGGAGAGAGAGACTGACTCAGAGGGGCTTGGCCTCAGCTTGTACGCTGTGCCCCTTACCCAAGCATGTGCCCTTCATTTCAGAGGAAGTCCGATGATGGTCCGAGGAAGTCCGGAGGACTTCCAGAGGCTGGCTACTCTGGTGGAGAGTGCAGGAGGACTTCCAGAGGAGCGCAGGAAATGTCCGGAGGAGCGCGGGAGAGTTCTGGAGGAATGCAGGAAATGCTCAGGAGAGTTCCTGCTGCAAGGTAATACTTCTACAGGAAAACAGGATGGAAGGATAGGAGGTCTGGAGGACAGGAGGACAGGAGGACAGGATGTCTGGAGGTCCGGAGTATGGAGGACAGGAGGTCCGGAGGTATGGAGGATGGAATGTCCGAAGGTATGGAGGGCAGAACATCCAAAGGACAGGATACCCAGAGGTACAGAGGACAGGAGGTCCGAAGGTCCGGAAGGAATAGGGGCTACATTGGACGAAGTCCAATGTAGAAGCAAATGGAGGTAGACTGCCCTAAGGTAGAGTCGGAGGGACAGGAAGTGGACCTAAGTCTGGAAAGAGGGTAAGTGCCAGAAAGGCAAGACTCCAGCCTAGGGAAGCAATCCCTAGACTTGGGACAGAGACATAGGGGACAAATCTGAAGGTCTGGAATTCTGGCCTAGGGAATCCATCCCTAGGCCTTATGGAAAAGAAAAAACTCAGATGGACTGAAGTCTGGAAGAAGATTGGGCAAGTCTAAGGTGATGAACAGGAACTAAGATGATATTCAGACTGAGGACTCTACTGTAGTTGTACAGGGGTTATATACTAGAGGCTATCTGAGAGGATCAGTAAGCAAAGGAGTAAGGCTATGTATGAGCATGCAGAAACACATTGGTAAGTAAGACAGAACATAAGTAAATGAACTCGGAGATGAAACTAGTACAAGGATCAATCAGCAAGACAGAAACAGAGATAACTGAGAACCAGAAAGGGGGAGATGCCTAAATGGGGATAGGTGCAGGATCTCGGACGGAGGGTGGGAATAGGTCCGGAGATAGTACAGTTAATATCCAGAGGTCCGGAGATCTGGGGATCTGGAAGGCAGGATGGAAACAGGACTGAGATATGTGAGGTGGTGGATGTAGTCCGGAATCCAAGAGGAGGTAAAGTCTGGATGTCTTGCTGGATGGAATGTGCATAGGGTGGACAGGATAGGGGATCCAGGAATGAGTCGGATATGGGGTCCGGAAACAGGTCCGGAAAGCGTGGGAATATGATGGGATCTATGTCTGGCATATGGGATATGACAGCATTGCACAACACCATCAAGAGAATAAAGATTAGGAATGGTATCCAACACAGTTGGAAAAGGAGCATTTTGCTGCCAACTCAGAGATTGCAACAAAATCAGTGATTTGTTTGTTAATTCACCAAAGTCTGAGCCTTGTCAGCCCTAGGCTCAGTGTATATGGCTGAGCCTGACTAGCATCTGTGACTTAGCCTTAACATCATCCTCATTTGGCATTCCCATATATGTGTAGATCACACACAGACCTTTGTGTTTGATTTTTGGTGGAAGATCAATCCTCGGTACTCAGTGGTGAGCAAGGGATACAATTCCGAGGTCAGACCTAGTAAGTACTACAGTGTGATATTGGTAGCGCGAATAACTATTTAAGTTACAAAGGATCATAGTGATGAGGAACTAAAATAAAAGATGGCCAAGGACAAAGTTACAAAGGTTCAGGATGGTGTAGAATCACTCCTAGTAGGCTGCCCACTCTATGGTAGGGTTGTAATCCGGCATTAGATGGCTTGCCTTCTTGACCCTCTGTGCCCATGCGTCTTCCTCACACTTCAGGATCATCAAGAAATGGGTGTACTGGCGGACTCAATACCGCAACATTAGGTAGCTTGAATACACCATGTCGATGCTATATTTTGTGAACAATGTATCCTGCTCCTCATCCTGTAAGGTGATTCCATCAAGTCCCATCTTATACATGCCTCAGTACTCACCAAGTAGTAAAATAAGGAATTTTCCTACCATGTATGATTGCTTCTCTCGCATGCGCTCAGCTTCCTCTATCCTTATACATTCACAAGGCAATTCAAGTATGTCATTTGGGCTGCCATGGAGAGAGGCCCTGGCCCCATTAGTCAGTGATGATGTTGATGCCATTTGGTGTGAAGTCAAGTGGGGAGTAGTTCAACTAGGTATCTATATAACATTTATATGGCTTTTGATCGGAGCATCAGCATTTTAAAGTGCCGCTTGGAATTAGTCATGCAACCTGAGTGGAAACTTGAAAGCACGAAGACTATTCCAAGTCTACCTCCCACACTGCGCAAGTGACCAGTGAGATCAGCCTGCATGGGCCAATGATTGGGAGGCACGCTGCTCCATATACAGTCCCACCAGTCAGGGCGATCTCCTGTGCACTGGCAAAAGATGTCACGGACTGCTTTTGAGCCTGAATGTAAACTAAAAAAAATAGGAATTATGCAAGTAACAGCGGAAAAGAAAATGTACGGGTCAATGAGTTGGAAAAGGGAGGGTCAAGTCAGATGATCATTTTTATCGTTAATAACATGGTTTTTATTAGTTGAAGAAGCTGTGTCTGTGTCTTGTAACCAAATTCTTTCATGCCCTGAATCCAATCTTGAAGGTTGCGAGCGTCCTAGAGGTGTGGATTAATTATAGCAAATAAAAAGGGAGGCTCACTCACATCTCGAAGAGCTTACTCATCATCATGATAACGACAAAATGGGTACTACAAAGTTCACTTGTGTATGTGACCCAACAGCAGAGGGTACTTACTCAATGATGGCAGTTAGATCATAGAGTGATGCTGGTGAAAGGACTTCCTGCTTGGGAGAAGGGATACTATCTGCAAGTATATGTTCATTGACATGATTTTCAGCATCTGGATTCTTGTCTGTGTCACTTAAAGTCAGATACTTAAGCATACACGGAAGTGTTGAGGTATGACTAAGTATAACACACAAAATGTACCTCGGATGCCCACTGGATTGAAAATGCCATCCTCAATTGACGGGTCCAAACCTACAGCGGTAACTGTATGCTGATAGTACACTCTGAGTTCTGTCTCAGCCTTAAGTATAGCTTTTTTGCACAGGGTGGTTGGTAGAACTTTGTGCATTGCGGTCCTCAGTCAGGAAGGGCTGAACGACCGAGCTGTATTAGGTATGCTATAGAGCAACTTGTCCAGTAGGACATTGATGGAGTTGAGGGTGTCGGAAGTGGATTTGGTAAAACAAATGTCAGACGGGATAACATCAGCAGAATGGGATGAAATAAAAGTTGGAACTGTTATGAGCTGGTCAATGACCATATATTTGGAGAAGAGCATTGTGTCAAGCTCACCGTGAGCAGCAATGTGCTTGTTCACAATGTACACATGGAGAGCATAGGCATCACAGCCTCTTCTTCCCCCACAGTGCCCTCCATAGTCCAGTCACTACCATCCATCCTGTCCATTGTGGTTAGGGCCTCACCCATCAGTAAATTGCCAGATCCTTCCACGACTACAGAACTGGATGCACCTCCATCTGACACCTTGATCACCACGTCTTCTGTCGGACCAGGGCCCTCCCCTTCAGGATTCAATTTTTCTTGATGGTTATTTGAATCTGTATCCCAGAGCATGAACCTGACAAGCAGCGCCAGTGACACACTCCAGGAATCAAGATCATTATATCAAATGGTTCACATTGGTGATGTCAACAGTGATGCCAGGAAGCCATATTTGTCTGGTCTTGCCCTCAAGTTATCCAGGTGTTCCAGATGAGTGTCGGGGCGCAGGCACTACCAGAGTTGCATAGATGCGTTCTGATTTCTCAGGTTCTGTTTGATAGGCCTAAACATGTGTTGAAGAACCTTGATCATCGTGTCAATTATAGCACAGATATACATAGCATCTTTGATGAGACTCACACCCAGGGACCAATCACAGCGTGACACTGAGGTGGGATATGAACTTGGCAAATATATCTCGATCCTACACAATAAGGTGATAGGCAGTTGGGAGGAGGATCTAGCATGGGAGGTGTTTTTGGTGCAAGATGTTTTTGGGACTGTTTCATCTCCAACTTCTTGATTAATTCCTGTTGCTGGTGCCACACTTCACCTCTTATCGCCTCAACTGGTTTATCAAAAACATTTCAACAATCTGGGACAGGTCAATCAAATATAATAAACAAGACTATCAGATCACATGTACTTGCAAAAGAATAGTTTCTGTAGGCATTTCTCCAAAGCTGCTGCCAACTTGAATCTCCAAGGACATGACTGTGAGCAGCATGTAAAGAACCCCTTGATGTTTGATGAATTACCTGATCTTGCCATCGAGAACCCACTTACCTGAGAGCTAGCCCCTTGCACATGCAGCTTGAGATGCAGATAGAGGTTCTAAGCAAAGCACTCACACAGCCTCCCACCCTTCTCCTCTAGCTCATTTTTTCTGTTCCATTTCAATGGCTGGGCGATGATCTGAATAGAGTGGTAGGTGCTGAGGGTTAATGAGAAACCCGTAACCTCAACGGGGGTTCCCAAAAGAGCTCAAACGTGAGCTGCGGAAGTTAATGTCGAGTGACTGCAGTCAACAGTATGTAGGCGACTGCCAAAGTAACCATATGTGGGTCAAGGAGTACTGCATTGAGGGTGAGAAAATTCACCAGAGTATTGGCTTTAGACACATGCTTCCAAAGACAGTGGGGTGAGTGAACCATCCTGCAGACGCAGACGACCAGAGGTCAATCAGTGACAGCTGAAGAATGCAGCAACCCAAGCGTCTTGATTGGGTATAGGTAGTGAGCTTGCACTGAAAAACAAACCGGTGCTTCCTCCATAGCTGCAACAGCCATCTGGGGAGGAGTTGATGAAGGGAGTTGTGTCATGACAGCTGCTATAGCCGTCAAGGTCGAGTGCCTGGGGGAAAAAGTAACAAACAGACCTCAATTTGTCGCTCTTCCTTATCTAGTTCAGACTCCTGCCTTTTCCCTGACGAGTCCAATTCCTAGATTTAGAGATCCTCTCTCTCTGCTCTCCTCTATCGATGGTAGCTTCTCATCATCAATGTTGTACTCCCTCAACAACACCATACCATTGGCACAGCGTTTGGAGAAGTAATGAATGCCATAGACTGGTACATTATGTGATCGGAAGAAAGAAGGCAACCTTGTAGGGGAGTTTTCTGGTACCTCATGTAGCGTCAGACTTGCCCTCAGCACCTGCGTTTATAGACACTCAGCAAGTTGTGAGGGATGAAGGATTGGATCATAGTCATCTCAAGTGGAAATGAAGAAGCGAAGGAGGGTGCAACAGAAGAGACTCGTTCTATTCCATGATGAGTGCATAACTGTTTACAGTACGTGACAGATTTTGCTGAGGTTTCAAGGAGGTACTAAATGCATGTACATATGCAGGATATCCGAGTCACTGAGGCTGCCAGGACCAAGAGAGTGGAGGGTAGTGAGTTGATAGTGTGTCTGTTGGGTTCATCAGTGATTTTTTCCAACACTCCTCTAACGCAGAGCTCGCCTGCTCAGTCATTGCTTCTTATCCAGATCAACTTCATGCATGCAACTTGAAGGCCTCTGAGTTCAACTTGAGACTTGAAAGACTCATGGACTCCTGCAAGTGCCAGTGAGCAAGTTGACTGAGAGTCAAACTATGTGAAAACTTTGGGATGACCAAAGTTCAATAATGATCATGCACTACTAGCTCAAACTGATGCTGAAACTCGAGACTCACCAGCAGTAAGAAATGAGACAAGAGGACGATGAGAACTCAGATGTGTATGATAATACCGTTGTGGCCAAGGCTGGCATGTAATAAACTCGAAATTACTGGAACCGACCATGTGACTAGTCACATGACCAACTGTGACGCAACTTTACTACCACACTCACTGAAGGCTTTAAGTACTACTAGTAGCACACGCAACATATCACACAGTGACAAGACACTGTATTTATTGATAGTTTATACTTAAAATCAAACAAGATGTGCGTATTCTGATGAAGAGATACTGCAAAAGCATATTTGACAAATGTGGGCTAACTTTGATTCAACCACTGCTGCCCTGCTGCCACCTACAGGAGAACCCTTGTATGACATAGTGAAAAAAAAAGTGTATATGTGCATTCCCGAACCATCTGCACAATGGTTGGCCCATTTTCTTCAGCAAAGACCTTCAAGTACGCTAAGCTTTCAGGCGCTTGCTCAGCCCTTTGCTTCTGCTTTTGTCTTGAGTAGGTTTGGGAAGGGAATCAACGCCCTCACCTTTGGTATTCTTCAGAGAGGCATCAACGTCCTTATCTTGACCTGGCTGGGGAAGGGGAACAATGACCTTGCCTTCGCTGGGTTCAAGAGGGGAAGCTTCTGGCTCTTCCGACTGTGAACTCCCTTTCCCTGACTCCAGCTCAGAGGGGTAGTATGAGTCGTCATGATTGTGTTTGGTGCCTCTGAAGGTAGCCACGTGCCAGGTCTGGTAATGCTGGTGGGCAGTGACATCCACTGCACTCAATATTCCTTTCATGGCAAGGCGCCAGAGGATGGGGAGAGCAACATCTGCTTCCACAAGATCGGAGCAGTCCAAGCCAGGAGAGATCTCTTTCGAAAAGTCCACCATGCGATCCCTCATTTTCCTCAGCCTGTTTTCGAGCATATCAGTAACTGCGTCCATGCTAGACTCAGGCACTAAAACCTGCAATGACTCCTGTCAACTGGGTTGGAAGCACTGCATAGACTGACAACTTACCCCATATGCCATATGCGAAGGGTCATTGCTACGGATGTTGATTGGACGGCTGTCTTTCCCCTTAATCCATATGAAGTATTCTACAGATTCGACTTGGCACCACTCGTGATCAGCGACCATCACGGGATGGTCAAATGATCAGGGCATAGATCATTGACCAATGAAGGATTTGAGAGGGAGGGGGTCAGGTTCTTTGTCACCATTGTGAAGGGTGGTCGATGCAGTGGAGTTGAGTTGAGGGCATGCATATGTTATTGCCTCATGGATCACCATGATCACAGCAAAGATGGTCTCAGGATGCGACTCAATCTCAGCCTCCATCTTATCAAAAGCATGCTCCTTATCCTCTGACAGTGCACACTCCCCTAATCCAGAGATCATGACCACTTCTGTGGGTCCATCAACGGAGGTGAGGGCGACCGTCATGTCGGGGGTCACCAACTGGCCCGCAATCTGCAGCTGGTAATTCATGTGAATTTGAGGACGAATCACATCGCGGTTGTAAGGAAGACTAGCAATTGCAAGAGTCATACATTCTTTGAGATAGTTGAAGGGCTCTTCATGCAGGGTGCTAGGCATTTCGATGGTGAGGATTTGTGCGATGTAGTCATAAGTAAGCCTAAATGAATTAAGCATTCCTTGAATCGGATAATGTTGTTGACTTACCACGGCTTCGTCAACACTCAGTCCAATTCTCCCACAGCTTGCTGTATTGATTTGAATTCCCGCACTCCCACACCAGGAAACTGCTGTGATGTTTGGTAAGTGTGTGTGTCCCAGTAGTATTAGTTGACTCAGAATACCAACCTTGCAGCTGCTCCCTGGAGTTGGCCTGGTCAAGTATCTTAAGACTCTTTCTACATCTTGAATCTGATAAGAATATGATAGCCAAAAGCTTTTATTGCGAACTTACTGGAGCTAAGGCGATCTAGATGAAGGGACTCATTGGGGGCAACGTCACTCAATAAGTCTGTTGAAGCCATGGTAGTGGCAGGCACAAGTTGAATTGCCTTGCTTTCCTGCACCTCCTGTTCTACCACTGGAGGTGTCTTGACCGATGAGCCTTTTGAATTTTTGTTTGCTAAAAGTAAATTTGCTCCTGCAAGTTTCTTGGAGTTTGGTTTACTATGTTCTGATTCCCAGTGTGCAGGCTTTGGCTGTACAGTGTTAGGGTTGTTTCGAGTGTTATAGCGCTTGCATGGGTTTGGAGCTAAAGAACAGTGGTAAGTACTGGTGTCAGCTTTAGCTACCAGGGCAGGCATAGCTGTTGGGTATTGAGGTGGGTGTTTGGTGTTGGATACTGAGTGGCTTCTAATCAGAGATTACAAATATGATTTGTGACTGATCTTTCAGGAATCGCCAGACAGGTAATTGCTGCTTTTGTGTGAATGATGTCAGAACTTCAAAAACTTGTCAGAGAAAAAGATCATATTAATGTGGGCACTTGAACTGTACATGTGGTGGTTAATGAGAGATTAAATTCAATTAAATCAAGAGGGATGTTCATCAAATATCATGCAATACATCAGGAAAATCATAAAATTTCTTAACATGATGAAAAAACACTTTGTGCAATGTAGCAAATATTTCAAGTACAATTAGGCAAAATTTGTCTAAGTAGGCCCTGACTTGAAACAAGTGAGGTCTTCTAATGAATCAGACTTTGCATATCTTGATTCCAGCCTTATTACAGCTGATTCTGAAACTATGTGGAATCGCAAAATCAAAACTTGAGTGTCGGAAATGGCCAAACAAGGACCCCATAAGCACATGACTGCAAGATTTGTAGTAGCGCTAGTGTAGTATATGCAATTCACTGAAAGATGATGTCATCACCATCAGATTCCTCCCCAGAGACACCTGGATTCACGGCAACATTCATTATTTACCTTGATACATACACCAAGACTACTACTGAAAATAATGGTAAAGCAAAAACCAAGGAAGTGAAATCTACAAAAGTCAAGGAACTGGTCTTTCAAGTCTCTGAGTCCAACTACATCAAATTTCTGACAACAATTCTCATGAAGCATGACAAATCACACTATAGGATCACTGAGAGGAAAAAATACACTTTCAAGTACCTCCTTGGCAACTCTTGTGGGCAAGTGATCTTTGTATTATTCATAGAAATTAAATTTATCTCACAGTGGTTGTTTATAGATGTGCTGAAGCAATGGATGTCGACAACCAAGCTGATTATGCAGAAATGGCAAAGAAACTCATCTCTGAAGAGCCTCCAAAGGTGAAAATATTTGTTGACATGAAAAATGTGGAGAAACTTCCAGCTTTGACTTGAAATGAGGTATGTTGCAGTGAGAATTGATTGTGTTATTGTTGTGGTTGATGAGGACAGACTGTGGGTGACACTGCAAGCCAAGATGGCAGTGGAGCATCAGACAATGATGAAATTGCAGTTGTGGATGGTGCTACAGAGCTAGACCAAGAAATTGCTCATTTTCATAGGCTTATCATCAAGAAATGGGGTAATGAGTATGATAATTCAGTCACATACATCCACCAAAGTGGCATGGAAATCCCATGTACACCAGCAATGATCAAGGACTGGGCTCGTGCAATGGTATGTTTCTGATACTCCAAGTCAAGGGACAGAGCTGTAAAACCTTGTACACAAGAGTCTTTTTTACTCCAAGTAGATGGCAGATATGTTTAATGGAGTGCCCACATCAACAGAGAACAGGGATTCGAGCCTTTAGATCGTTCAAAACAGTGCGTGGCAGCATTAATGAATGACACAGATGCTGTGCAGCACAAATCTCACAGTATGCTTACAGGGTCCTTGTTTGGCTGTTTCTGATGCTCAAGTTTTGATTTTGCGATTCCGCATAGTTTCGGAATCAGCTGTAACAACTAAAGTACAGAGCTAGTACTACTTACTAAGTAGTATACATTAGTGGTTCTCAAAGTTAACTTTGTAGAATTTTGAAAGGTCACAGATTTGTGAGTTGTCGGTAGTATTGAAGCTCCAACGCTGACAAATAAACCCTAAACATTGCACCATGACCATCATCATCTCCTGCTATAGTGTTCTGCAATTCCCTCAAAAAAATGAGCAATGATCTCACCATCATGCAATATATGGAATTAATTGAGTTTATGGTAGATCAGCTACTGGATGAAGACCATGATGAAGACTCTGATAAGGAATCTGATGACACTGCCAATGGACATAGTGGCTCGGATATCAGTATATGGACTGCATCACCAACATGGCCAGAGTCCCCAGTGTCCCCTACATTGTTGATTACCTCTGCCTTGTCAGACAACTCTCTGACATCACTCTTGACAGCATACTCTGAGTTCCTATTGCATGACATCCCAGACATGTGCAAACGAGTCTTTACTCAGTTTGCCGATGCAATCACTGCACTGCATGATGAGGTGGAGAAATGTTGAGTCCTTGATTTCCATCTGTCTCTGAGTCGTGTGCCTCAGCTACACTTGCTGGAGGAGTGGGCTCTATTCTTGCCTGAAAATTTTTGTTGCAAGCTCTGTGTTGATGTGGATGTGTTTGATGAACTTACAAAGTTGATTCAAGGACACACCATCTTCTACAACAATTTGAATAACCCCCAACTCCCTGTCCCAATACAGCTCACCATTTTTCTCAATGGCACTGGCCATTATGGCAATGCTGCAACCACTGAAGACATATCCGACTGAGCTGGAGTGTCTGTGGGGACCGTCTACAACTGCTATAAACGGGTGATGATTGCAATCCTGCAACTTCATGACCAGGCCATCCATTTTGATCCACTTGATCATGAGGATCAAATTGAGTGAGAGCAGGCAAAAACTTATGCGGAAAGTAGGACATGTCATGAATAGTGTGGAGGCTTTCTTTGTGTTGATGGGACTCCGTCCCCCTTACACAAGAAGCCAGGTTGGCATGGGGAGGGTTTCTTCGACAAGAATTCAGACTATTCTCTAACAGCGCAGGTAAGTGTCGGTTTGATGTGCAGTGCAGTGACTTACAATCAAAAAAGGTTGTTATATTCCCTCACAATCTTCATATCATGGACTATGTCATCAGTGTACCTGGAAGTCTCCACGACTCAAATGTGTTTGCACAGACAAGAGTTTCCCGGGATCCTGACTTGTTTTTTGGTGCAGGAGAGTGGTTGTGGGCAGACTCAGCATATGCTGCATGAACCTGGTGTGTACTGCCATATAAATGGCCACTGGGAGGGAGTTTGACCCTGGACCAAAAGAAGTTCAACTATAACCTATCAACAGTGAGTATGAATGGCAATATACATTCATAGTCCTTACCCAATGTCCAGGTCTGTGTTCATTCGGGGCATTTTGTTGGCTCTATCAAGGGCCAGTGTGCAAACACAACAATGGCTAGACTCTTGTTAAAGTGCCTAACCAAAAATATTGTTGTAGGTTGATGCTCTGCCTAGCTGCTACACTTGCAAGCAAGAATGTTCAACCCTAAAGGGAATTGCTACTGAGAACAGCCAATGATATTAAAGACCCGAAAGTGCGCAGAGTGCAGGAACAAGTGTGTGGGTATGTAGAGCGCGGGAATGCGGAAGTGCGGTCGATGAGCGGTTGATGCAGGAGTGCGAGATGCTAAGGTAAGGGGTAGGGAAGTCTTAAGGAATGGCGTGGGTAACAAGTGAGGGCAAGGGTATTGATTGCATGGGTAAGGAAAGTCAAGACAAGGTGTCCAGGTATAAGGTAACCAATAGGGGCTAAAAGCGCGCACTAATGGCAACTGCTCCTAAGTAAAACCTAAGGGAAGGAAATACTGTAGAAGGGGAGTAAATATGAAGTAGTCACTCTAGGCACTTTATACTAGCTAAACCCTCTCAAAGATGGAAGGGACAGGACAGACAGGCAGTAGGAATATGTAAAGACATGTAATAAGACTGCAACACTTGTTACAACACACAAGGCAAGACAAAATACATACCAATGAGGTAGGATGGACAATGGACTGATGTGGGACATTTGTAAGGTAGTCCGAAGGCACGGGAAATTGACCGCAGGTATGTGCACAGCGTGGGAGTGAATGCACATGTCCGCAGAGTGCAGGAATATGTGTCTGGAGCAGGTTGAGTGCGGGAAAAGCGGTTAATGGTTTTGTAGCTTTCCATCACCTATATCAAAAGATGGCCATTGCAAGCCTAGTGGGAATATGATTGTCACACTGGTTCCAATCACTGTGGGAGCTTCACATCCCAGTCCAAAGTCAGAAGGACCTTGACTATGCAAACATGTGGATCCGTTCATGCTTTGTTCTGCACAATTTAATTGTTGAAATTGAGGAAAAATCAAACCATGAGGACACAAATGTCTGTTTCTATCAGCAAACTCAGAGGTTGAGGCAAGCTGACAGTGACGCAGGAGAGGATGATCAGCAAGGGGGTGGTGCAGTAGGTGATCAGACTTACATTGGAACTGCAGGGCAGGATTTTCACAATGCATTAAAGATGTGGTTGCTTTCCTCATTGGAGTGAATTGCAACATGTTAAAGATGTGGTTGCTTTGTCAAGTAGAAGTTCTTCATCCTCTTTAGTACCCAACAAGGGAAATTTGTGCTCAAGCTTGGTGAACTCAAAGCACTTATCTTAAACCTGTAGCATTTGTTGTGTGTAGTCACACTTGCAATTGAGTACAAAATGGTATGCATTTCTGAGTCCTAAAAACGAGTTGCATGATGACACAGTATAGACCTACTTCAGTTTGGATCAGAACCATGCTCCATGGCAATACAATGAATCCAAGCCTCCTCCTCTTCTCAATGTGCACAAGATAGCTCAAGCTCAAGTCTTGCAAACTCAATTTCTTGAGTCATTCTCTCCTGCTGGTGGAGATGGTCTTGTTCTGCAAGATGCATCGCATGCTCCCGCTCATCACAAGCACTGCGAGCCTTGAGATCATGAGCTCAAATGTCACCCTGAAGTTTCATACATTTATAACTTTCATGCTCAGCACAACCCTCACGTTTGCTGTCAAGGTGCTTCATTAGGGAGTCTGCCATTTGGGACATTTTTTCTGCAGTGGCAGAGGTCTGGTCAAGAGCATTGCTGCCAGGGCATTTATGTGATGAAGAGGGGGGACGACTGAACTGAGGTGATGCACTTTGAGTAGGTGGATGAGACTGTTTTGTGGCAAGAGAAGGTAAACTTTCACGACTTCCCTTAATTGAGCTGACACAGAGAGACCGTAGTGCTTGGCTGGCACCAATATCTGAGTCTTCTGAGTCAATAGGCGTAGACTGACAGCTAGGTGAAGATTCCTTAAAATTGGAAAAAACAGACAGTGGATTATTGGGGGCACTTCAATTAGCTACTGACGAGTGCTCAGGAGAGTTCAACAATACCACTCCAAGTGTATCAGAAGTTGAGATGGGAGGGAGCTGAGGTCATTAGTACCAGTGTGGCAATGGAAGCAGTGAGAACAAGTCAGGTGTATTGCTAGGACCATGGTCCAAAGGTAACAGTGGTGATGACGAGGATTGTGATTCTATGTGGGGGGGCTGGTCAACCATCATATCATCTGTCATATCTACAATGGCACCATCATCCACACTGTGAGTATCGACCTCAACTATGTCTCCATCAGGATCATCATCTGTGCAAGCATCGTCATCGACTGTAGCCAATGATTTTGGGTGCTTGGAAAGATTAAAATGTTCCAGTGCAGCAGATGCAAAATCTTGCCCTGTGTCCACAGTAGAGAAGGCATGATTGAAGGCTGGATTTGTCTGCCACAAGCCATGAAGCTCAGGCCACCAGGGAAATTTTTTGAGCTTTGTATCTGACAGAGACATGGTTAGGACAGGTGCAGATTAACAGCAGTTGAAACTTACCAATCAAAGACTTCATCTTTGGATCTTCTTGCAGCTCCACATATGTCTTTCCTGCTCCTGACTGCTTGAGGTCCTTGTTGAATTCATTGTATTTTTTTCTCAGTCTGAAACAGCTGATCAGTAATTCCAGTGAGAAGATGGATGATGCAGGAACTAGATACTTACATGCAAAAACGGGTTGAAACTGGTTTTATGAATGCCTTGGGGTCCTCCTTGAAGAGTCGTTGAACCTCCAGATCCTTGTTATTCAAAAATACAGCTTGTGCAACCTGTGAATAGACAACATCTCTCGAAGTACCACTCTGCTTCTTCTTCTGACCTTGCCCCTTGGCATCTTTTGCAGAATCAGAGAAGAGCTTGATATGTGCGTCTTCATTTTCCTTGCACCAGGCAAGTAGGCATTCAGTACGCGCACTACGGACCCCCTCCCAATGAATAGTACACTTCTTTGAGGTGTCTGTACCAGTGGATGCATTGGTTCGACCTCTTTGATTGGATCATGACATGATCCAGGGTGTTCCTACTGACAGCAATTAAGAATTGGATTAAAGCTTTAGCAGTGTCGACACTGGCAGCAATGATATTGAGCATGCCAGCAGGGCAGGTCGGAGTTCAAAACCTGCCATATCGGCAGCATCTGAATTCACTATGAATTCTTTTCAAGGTTTGACTTTGAGAACCACTATTACTGTAGAGTTACAACACTACCTTTGACACCCTGGGCAGCACTTTCCTCCCATTCCCATGGTCTAAGAGACCTGGTTTTCTTGTAGAGTGCAACTGGTCTGTGAGACCTACCCTCTTGTGTGAGCACAAGAGCTCTCTGAGGATAGTGGTACCTCTCTCTTCCTGTGAGTTCTGTTGTCAGTTTCAATGCTCCCACTGCACCTCTCATAGCTCCTGCTCATACCTTCTAGTAGACCTCTAAGCGCCCACTGATATTCACATTTATGTTTTTTGCACTATATTTGTATGTAATAATACCTACCATTGATTCCCTGCACAATGCACCTGACAACTGAGTGACATGGCCATTAATATAGCCATCTGAGCACTGTCTATAGGGAAACATAATTCATAACAGAGTGCTCTGTGTGTAGAACTGCTGATGAGTATGAAGGGGAATTGATCAAGAGCAACACAGGACAATATGAGATGCATGTGACATAGTAAGACAGATAGGTGAGTAGAGAGATAATGAAGAACAGAAGGAAAAGGATGAAACAAGTTTGGGAAAGATGGTAGAACAATGGATGTGTTACAGAGATGGGACAAGTGATGGGAGAATATCAGTTGGATGGCTAGTAGCTTAGACAAGAGAGGACAAGTGGTTGAGACTTCTGAGGTTTTCTGACAAGCTTGGAGTGGGAAATCACTGAGTAGTATTCTGCTAGTGAAAATTGTGCATGCACTATATAAGTACATTCTGAGAGCATTTGATATGGCCAGAACTAGAAAGAGGTCATGGGGAAGAGAGAAGGTATATATGGTATAGGATGGTTTTGTGGTACATGAGTACAGGGTAGAGTGATGAGGGAGAATGTAGAATAACAAAAAGAAAATGGAGAGTAAGGGTTGTATCCTGTAAGTCTGATGTGAGGCATAGAGCTTGTTCACATCCATGACTCATGTGGACACACTTGATGTGAACTCTATTTGAAGGTCTGGTTGGTGCATAAGGGATATGAAATCCCTACATCTATAGCACTCAGTAGCACAATTGAACACACTGGACTAGAGATCACTCATATAAGTCACAAAATGCATTTATTATCAGTGGTACAAAAAAGACATAGTGAGTGATGTAACATTGTAGGACATGAAGAGCAGGACTGAAGCAACACTGAAGCAACACTGATGGGGGGACCACAGTAGGCATGAAGGTGAGTGGTGACATCAAGATGGTACAAGGGGAAGACTAGGCCAAAACACCAGACAAGAAGACATACAAAAGTTCATACTAGCAAGACAGTAGATGCCTCACATTTACCTTGGAATGGCTGCTCCTTCACATTTCTGCTCTGTCACCTGACTATGCAAGGTGAGTGGTACATTGGTGATGGGGCTCCAGCTCCCATGATGACCATCTGCTTGAGGAGGCTGGTGCTGATATGCACATTCATAGCCAGTATGACCTTTGCAACTGGTTGGACACATGTATTCTCCATGGGTATCTAGCAGGGGAGGTCCATGCAAGTGGTCATCCTGAAGTTCATGGTCTGGGTACTGTGTGTCATGATAATATGGTTGCCTATACCTACTGGGATCACAATGACCTGTGCTCTCATGGTAAGGAGCATGACTGTGACATCATTCCCCTTCTAGGGTGAGTGAGGATGAGTCTACAAGTTGAGCCTTTCAGCAGGATGTGAGACATAACCCCCATGGGTCATAGTCTGTGTTAGGGGCACATACTCAGATCTCAACCTCTAACATATGGCAGCAGGTGACAGAGGATGGGCAGCAGCAGCAGGCACGGAAATGAGGGCAGGCATGACAGGTTCAAACAAAGGCTTGGAGGGCAAGGGCATCTGGAGAGGCAAGGGAGAAGAGTTAGTACTAGGCAGCAGAGTATGGTAGTTTTTGTTGATATCAAACACATGAGGGTAAGGGGAATGTGGATGACAATGATGGAAGCATTTAATAAGTTCATTAAACAGAGTGGGGATGTCAGAAAGGGGAAGTCATGAATCATCTGATTCAGGTAGAGATTTCCACCATACAAGATATTCATAGTGATGGCCAGTTTTGTGACAGTCAAGGATTGACTTGATGTCATTGGTGGGATCTTCAGCAAGGTCGAAAGGGAGTGGTGAGGCATGGGTATGGAAGTTGGAAGGATCTGAATACAGTTCAAGAAGGGAACATTAAAGACAGGATAGAGGTAGGATAGGTAGGAAGGGAGTTGAAGAAGATAAGCAGAAGAACTAATTTTGCAAATGATGGGATATGGACCAAGGCGACAATGGTCAAGTTTCAAAGATGGGCATGTGGTTTTGATGTTACGGCACAAGAGCCAAACCAACTGACCTGGTTGAAACTCAGGTGCTGGTAATGCCTTCTTGTTGTAGTACTTTGTCCATATGTCTTATGTGAATTGCAGCTTGGCACGAAGCTCTGTGTGAATTGCATCAAGTCATGTGGCAAGGTTGGTGGCAGTGGGAATGGTTGAATGCTCAGTGATCTGTGGCCAAATGACAGGTGGAAAGCATAGTTAGTGAAAAATGGGGTCTGATGAGTAGAAGAGTTTTCAAGATTATTGAATGCAAACTCAGCAAGGGGGAGATAATCAACCTAATCATCTTGCTGGTATGAACAATAGGCATGGAGATAAGTCTCCAGTGTCTGGTTTGTGCATTCTGTCAGATCATCAGTCTGCAGATGGTACACTGTTGACATGTGAGTGTCTATTTTTAACAGAGAGGTGAGTTCAGACCAGACTTAGATATGAAAATAGAACCACAGTCAGAAATAATGGAGTCAGGAAGTCTGTGCAAATGGAAAATATGATCAAGAAATAACCAGGTGAGGTCAGGAGCTGATAGGGTCTCCTGACATGGAATGAAATGTGCATATTGTGAGACAATCACAAACAACCCAGATTGAATCATAGTTGTGTGATGTGGGGAGTTTGATGACAAAATCCATAGATATGACTTTCCATGGATGGGAAGGGATATCAAGGGGTTGGAGTAAGCTGTAGGGCTTGTGTTGAGGGGTTTTGATGTGTGTGCAGGTGTCACAGGCTTCTACATAGTGACAGACATATATTTGCATGCCAGGTCATGAGTAATCCCTGGAAACAAGTCCAAATGTTCAATTACGACCTGGATGACCTGCAATGATAGCATTATGATGGGAGAACAGAATGTCAGTACACAATGGGGAGGGGACAAAAAGTTTTCCCTTGTGGAACACCAGATTACTATCAGAGGCAAAGTCTGTGCTGCCACATGTGAGTGCCTCATGCCACTCAGTGTTCCCTTGAATTGCTGTTTTGAAGTGTTTGAGGAGGGCTGAGTTGTCAATGGTGAGAGTTGTGGTAGCATTGAGGCAGGGAGTGGCTGTGAATAATGAATCTGTGTGTTTAGGTATTAGTATGACACAATTTTGACCCAATAGGGTCTCATCCCCCTTCTTCAGGAGGAAGTCAGGCCAACAAGAAAGGGCATCAGCAATATTGCTTTTGCCCAGGGCCCAAGCTAGAGAGAAGTTGAAGTCAGATAGGAACATTGCCCAACACACTTGGCAGTGGTTGAGTACACACAAGGACATGAAGTATTCAAGATTTGTGGTCAGAGATGACTGAAATGGAGAAGGGCAAACCAAGTAACCATGCTCACATGTCACAAAAAGTGTCCACAACTGTGAACAGTTCTTTATCATGGACCTCATAGTTAATCTCTGCAGGGGATAACTTGTGGGAGTAGAATGCCACTAGGTGGAGGTGACCTTCATGGTTGGGTTGCTGGAAAACACCTGAGATGGCAAAGTCCGAAGCATCAGTCCCAACAATGCATGGCTTTTGCAGGTCAAAGTGCTGAAGGATCAGGGATCTGACAAATGCTCACTTGAGCATGTCAAAAGCACTGTGAGTAGTTCCTGAAAAATCAAAAGGTACATTTTTTCAAGTTAAGGCAGTTAGTGTCTGGGTGATGTGAGAGTAACCATCAATGAAACAGCAATAAAAATTAGCACACCCAAGAAATGATTGGACATCCTTGATGGATGTTGGTTCAGGCCAAGAAACAACAGTATTGAGCTTCCTCAGGTTCATTTTGATGCCATCAGCACCAATGACATACCCAAGGTACTTGACCTCCAATTTGTCCCATTCACACTTTGCAGGGTTAGCACAAAGGTGGGCATCACAAAGTCAGTCAAGTACAAGCTGAACATGCATGTCATGCTCATCCTGGTTATGGGAGAAAATTAGAATATCATCAAGATAGACAACACAGATGATATTGAGCAAGTCATGGAGGGTATCTTGGATGAAAGACTGAAAGGCAGCAGGAGCATTAGTAAGACCATAAGGCACAATAAGGTGTTTGAATAGTTTGAGTGGTGTCTGAAACACTATTTTCAACTCATCACCCTCCTTAATTCAAAGGTGGCTATAAGCAAATTTGAGGTCAATAACAGGAAATACTTTACACCCTTAAACACAATTGAGTAGATCATGGATGAGGGGAACTGGGTATTGATTTTTCTTAGTGATTGCATTGAGGCCACAATAATCAACACATAAGCAATCCAGTGAGAGCAATAATTCAAAACCAGGCGGATACTTAGTAGAAATCTTCCATAGAATGACTAAACGGCTGCAAGAGAGAAGAAGAGACAAAGATCATGACTTTCAACTAACGGTTCACTGGATACCAGGCCACAAGGTAATAGTAGGAAATGAATTAGCAGATGAAGCAGCAAAAGAAGCAGTGAGAGGAAGAGCATACTCAAGCAACAAGCAAACCCTACCCCACTACCTCCAGGAAGTAGACCTCCCATATAGCATCTCAGCCCTAAGACAATGGCATGAAATTGGACTGGCAAAGAAATGGTCTGCAGTATGGAAGAAGTTGCCCCGATATAAGAAGGCAAAGCTCATAGACCCATCAATGCCCTCCAACAAGTTCATGAAACTAGTCGCCACCCTCCCCAGACATCAAACGAGCATATACATCCAGCTCTGTACAAAACATGCCCTGCTCAATCACCATCTGCACTGTATAGGAAAGGTTGACTCCCCCCGCTGCCCATTCTGCCCAGAGAAAGACGAAACCCCTCATCACTATCTCCTCAACTGCCCACAATACGCACATGAAAGACACATCCTTACCAACTCCCTACATTGCCAAGCATCCTCCATCACCTTCCTTCTCACCTCCAAAAAAGCAATAGACCCTCTTATGCGCTTCATCAACAGCATGGGAAGATTCAAGTCTACCTTCGGTGAGATCCCACTAAATTAATAAAGATCAACTCACGCACATGCACACACACACACACAGAACATACCATATACACCAAAGTCACAACTGTACCAACAAAACCATCAAAACACTCCATACCTAGAGGGATTCGACTAAATGCAGGCTGTTCAGTCAATGTAGCCAAGTGAGACATAACAACCTCATCACCCACCACATCTATTTCCCCCTGTATGAACTCAGCATCAGCCTTTGCCTGACATCATGCTGATGGGGTACATGAATACCTACATAACACATGACAAGCATACATATACATACGATAGATAAATGGGAGTAAACCCCCCACATAAAGGGTTATGTCCAACATAGGGTCTTCAACCCCAAAGGACAATAAAACATGAGATAAAAAAAATAAAAATAAAACACATAAGCAAAGCTTACCAGTCTTCTTGCAAATGAAAAGGACAGGAGCACCCACAGATGAAGTGGAGCTGTGGATGTGACCACAATTGAGGTTCTTGTGAACATACTCAGCAAGTGCCTCATGTTCTGGGGGCATGAGACAGTAGATAGGTCTGAAAGGAGGTGTCTTCCCCTCCTCAAGCTTGATGAGAGGGTAGCTTCTTGAATTCAGAAGGGGAGAAAACTGTGAAGGCATAGTCTATATATTTGGTTGGGATGGCTTTGAGGATGTCCTCATCAATGTGGGGAGCAGTTGGGACTTCATCATTGACAGTGTCAACTGATGATAACATGGTGGTGTGGATGTAGATGGGAGAAGTCAGGGGGTGGTAATGGAGTAGACAGGCATCATCTGGATTAGTATGGGCTGTCTGCAAATTTCTTTGCTGAGATGAAGCAAATGCTGGGTGGCCAAGGAGTCAAGCTAGGGGGAACAGAGTGACCATAGCCATTCTGTGCAACAAGAGACAAGAGGAATAAGGTCTTCATACTACCAAGACTAGGGTCCAGAGTAGTCTTAGGTGGGTCAGGAGGTGGTGCTGGGGGTGTTGAGAGTGTGTGAGTCAAGTATGAAGTGGTGTCAGATAGACCAAAGCCTGTTCCAACAATAGTTGAAGAGTTGAGTTTTGAGGGTGACAAAGGTAGCTTAGGACCAAAGCCCTTCACTGTGACAATAACAGGATTTTTGTGAGTGAGTCCACAACAGTTGAGAGAGAGAGTAGACTCTTCCCAATTGATATCAGAATTATGCTGGTGAAGCCAGTCCAAACATAAAATGATAGGGTAAGCAACAGACATGACCACAAGTGGTCATATCTCTTTGTGTCTGGAGACAGAAATATGAGTGATGACATCATGGGTGATTAGCCCAGATGCAATAGGATAGTTGTCAACTGCCATTATAGGTATCAGTGTCTCTTTGACATGATGTGGAAGTGAATAACAAGATGCAAAACAATCAGAAACACACAACATGGTAGCACCACAATCAATAAACACAAAAGCGTTAATGGGTTCCTTGTTAGGAAAGGAAAGACAAACGGAGATAAAGAAATACAAGGGAGAATTCAAGTAGGAATTAGAAGCAAAAATGTAGGCAGGAGCAGACTTTACAAGTGGGGTATACCATTTGTCTGAGAGATGGACGAACATGGGATCCAGCACTGTGAGATGGTTCTGACGCATCCCATCATCTTCAACCAGATGCCCTGGGACAGAAGGACAGCCTGTTAGGCTTTTCCCGAGTCGTTCCATGCATTGAATTTCTTCTTTGCATGTTCTGACATATTCAGGCAGTTTTTGACAGTGTGCTCAGCACCCCCACAGTACAAGCAGAGGCCCTGCGTGAAACAACAGTCATGTTCCTCTTTGGTAAGAGGTTGGCATGGCACTGGCTTCATGGTATCAATTTCCATTGGGATGCCTGGGGGGAGTGAGGTCAAAGTCAATGGTCTTGACTGGGTGTGGCATTGTGCAACAGCATCAGTGCTGGTCTGCTGGTGGGGTGTAGGCTTCTTGGCAGTCTTGCACTCAATCTCTTGACAGTGCAGTCAATTGTTGATGGCAATCATGAGGTCGACATATTCATTGAAGTCTATGGGAGGATCATGAACAGTTAGCAATAAATCTTTGACTTCATCCTTCAACCCCTCATAGCACTCTTAAACTGTAGTCAAAGTGTTGAAGTTGACATAGACAAGTAGCTCATGGAATTTGGACACATAGCTTGCGCAACTCCTGGTTTGTTGGAGATTTTCAATCTTTCAGAGGGCAGTGCCCTCAGTGTCAGGGTCCCCAAAGTGTTGCCTGAAATCATTGATTAGTGAGTCAAAATTGTGGAGTAAGTCGTCATTGGTGTGGCAGACAGCCATGAACCAAGAGCATGGCAACCCATTATCTAGATAGGTGGACAAGTACAAAGCCTTGTCCATGTCAGTAGGCAGTGATGATCATGAGAGTTCAACAGCACTAAGTATCTCATCCATGAAGGCATTGACTTCAGTCACACTGCCTTTAAACAGTTGTGGCTCCCAGAATTTGGCAATGCCCCATGGGGCAACTGAGTCCAAGTGACCTTGGTGCCCCATAGTGCTGGTGGGCATAGTGGCAATTTTGTCAGTGATATCCTCAAGGGTGTGACCTATAGTGTGCTGGTGTTCATTGAGGTGGTAAGAACTTTGTCCAAGCACCATAATGGCCTGTAAGACTTCATGGAAGTTCTCTAGGGTAGGGACAAAGGTGTATTGAGAGGGAAGTGGGGTCTCCATGTCTGGGTTAGAACTAATGGGATCAGACATGTTAGTAGAATGGTGCCTTGAGGCAATAGTAGAATAGATTAATGAAATATATGAGGTTCAAGAGTCAAGTTGTCGAGTGTGTGGTCAAATCAAACTGTAATGGGCACTCAATGAGCAGAGTAAATAGGTGAGGGATGAGAGGAGAAAGGGAGGCCAGGAACTGGTGTTGATTCAATGAAGAAACAGGTACAAAGCCTTGAGCCACATATAAGTACCCAGGAAATGATATGTAAGGTGAAACATAGGAATGAGACCAGGTATAGTAAATGCATCAATGAGATATCGGGTCCATAGATGTCTGAACAAGCTATTCCACATGGAACGGAGTACATTGGCACAACACTGGTATCATAAAGTGACTGTGAGCTAAGTAGAATGGCCGTGGACTATGTAGAGTGACCATGACCATGACACATAGACTTAAAATTAGCACATCAGCAAATCACTTTGCCTCTGTGGGCTCTGCACAGCTCTGTACAGAAGGGACCAAGCTGTGGCCAGCCATTTTTTGGTGGTGGGAAAAACAGTGTTTTACTGATGCACTGTGTGCTTGTCATTTATTTCCTTTGTGCTCAATGCTAAAGTCAATGAATTTTTCAAATATTATATTCTCACTAAAAAGACTTGAGTCATTTCAGTGATGAACACCATGTAAATCAATTGATTCTATGTCCATTGTTATAGAATTAATCAGGCATGCAGAGTCAGTGGTCCACACAATACAAATATATCTTGGGGTTATTATGTAACTGCAACCATTACCATTTTGGGGCTGTACCATGGTAGTCGACAATGGTTGGCAGTGTGCTATTCCAACAATTGTCCAGTACTAGTGCCTTCTTAATCTGCTCCTGGACCAATCTCATCTACTAGCAACTGTTTTGTCTGTCTCCGCAGCACTGATCTCTCAGAAAATAACAATCACACCTAAGTCCAGCATCTCACTGCAACATCTCTATCAGTACTAGACATCAAGGCAATCCATGGAAGCCTCTCTTGAGGAGCAGAAAAAGATTTAGATACGGTACAATCGGTGGGGTATAGTTTGTCGGTTATCGACAATGTATGATGTGATCAACAACTTACTTGCACATGTCTCTAGGTTGGACTCAGCTTTCCGTGCATTTTCTGAGCCTTGTTTTGACTTTGCATTCTGATGAACCTTCACCATCCCTTTGCTGAACAGGTCACCCTGTAGTGTGCTGCGACGCAAACACTACCACACGTACACCATCTCCTCCACTTCAAAGGGTACCTCTTTTATCATTGGTCAATGACAAGGGCTGATGCACCAGGCTTTAGAATACTTGGACACATTGACAGGCACAGATGAACCTCTTCCTGTCACCACACCACCATCATCATGATATTGGTTGAAATTTGGGTCTCAGTTTCCTTCTGTGCAGCACTCTTTTGAGATGCTTTCCCCCGCTAGCTGGAACATGAAACGTGTGTATCTCACTTTCTTATGCTGAATTTATAAACACTGCCTTGTCTCTCTCACCACCGCTCATGCATTTCAATTACTTTGACTGATGTTCATTCACACATTGCTGATGTGGACACCAATTCGTCATCGTCAACGTCTCCATGAATTATCATTTCACCTAATGATCTCCTGTACACATGCCTGCAGCCAAAAACTCGCATTGTGCTCTGGGTAAGTTTTCATTCCTAATTACTTCAAAAGACTCTTCTCCCCCTTACCCACCCTGATGAGTATTCATGGGCAGACATAGAATGTTCCATGTCTCATCTTTTCATTCATTGGCCTGGTCCATACTACAATCTGATCTAGCAAACTAATTAAGTACAGTAGGGCATGCTGTCATCCGAACTGAGTCAGCTTGAAGCTTTAACTTTCAGAAGGCGGTGACTAGACTAACTACATAATCCTTATGGAGCTATACACCAATCTGCTCCCTTAGGGATTCAAGTTGGGGTTGAACCTCAAGAACCTGACTTACCAGCCTAACTCCTGGGCCATCATCCTCACCTGCGAGTCACCACGCCCCAACCCTTATTTTATTCAGCACACTACTATTGAAAACACATGCTACAGTATGTAATTTTTTACCATTTCTATTAGGGTTTAAATACTGACGGTTACTTTTGTGTTTGACTTATGGTCACACTTGGAGTACCACAAGTCAGACTGTGCAGAACTTGTAGTCTCAGTAACTTGCCATCCCAGTGAGCGACTCGATGCCCCCAAGTACGCATCTCCCCACTTTTATCACCTGCATCATCCTAAACATATGATAGAAAGCCACAGGTGATGTGTCGACGTCTACCAGGACATGACCTTCATCAATGTTGATGCTGCACAGCATGCAGCTGGGACTTCAAGGGCTGTTTGCCATCATCACCAGGTCTACAGCAATCATGATGCCTTCTTACTGACAGGTACATACCACTAGTACTTCACAGGCCAGCAATTCAGAGCCAGATAAGATGACCCATTCCTCCACTATGAGATCCCACTGGAAGAAGACACCACCCTGTCTCTCAGTTTACCGTCACCACTGCCCTTAGCACTGCCCCCACCCCCACCTCCACCGCCATTGTCTCCCAATTTGGAGTTGCCACAGGTACCACCAATGCCTCATTCATCACCCATACTTGGTCCATGTCCATTAGGCTCAACCACTGCCAGGGACTCCGAGTTGGACTTGGACTTAGAGGGCCAGGCATTCATGTGGTTACTGGTAGAGGGCGTGTGGGGAGTGTGGGATATGCAAAACCCTGAATTTTGGGCTCATTGGATAGATTGGCCTTAAAGATTAGTTCCTCACACTATTACTTAGTACCAATCATCAATTGTGTTCGGAGTCTTATCAGAGTGCCAAGCTAATCCATGGCATGTACTTAATAGGAACTCCCCAATAAAGTCAGATGCAGTGCAAATATGTAATAATGAGTAGGTCTAGGTCCTAAGGCACTCTTTTCGGTGGCAAACTGGCGTCACCAATCACTGTGAAATATTGGCTTCACTGTAAGATTCTGAGGGTGTTTATGTGTACAACCTGATGTGGTACAGACATAAGACCTTCTTCCAGACTCAAACTCAACCTCAACATGGACGAAATTCGAGCCTCATCTGGAAGTTGCAAGACACAGCACATAAACAGACGCAAATCTTATCTTGTCAATTCAAACTTGTAAGTGACTATCCTATCATTAACTCGACCCAATGCAGACTTAACTCATTTTCAAATTTCACCTTTCGCTCGGTGACTGCATTCATAACTTAACTGTATCCACCCCCCAGGCTGGAAAGACATCTTCATAACCCGACCCTCGAGTTTATACTATGAGGTGAGTTCCCTCATTTGTCTGTTTTTTTGTCAGGGTCCTTTCAACTTGAAGTTCGACCAGAACCAACTCATGCAACCTCCTAACAGCTTATCATGTCGCCCACTGTCTCAGCTGCCTTCGCAAGCATTCTTCCCTTGTCTCCTAATATTTTCCAGCAACACAACCTCTGCTGTGTACTGAAGACATCTCACAAAGTCTCACTTAATTGTTCATGCTGGAACTTGAGGAGTAGTCTGAGGGGCGAGTATCTATACTAGGACGATGCTGCCGTGGGGTGGACGCTGTCATAATTTTCCTGTCACCATTTTATTAGTGGGTATATTTAGAATCATCTCATTTGTTATACTGAACATCACACCCAGCTCGCCGTAAATGGGGTGGTTCGCAATCAGTAAACAATTCTGGGGATGCTGCTATCACTGCAGGTGCCATGCTGTCGTTTAGTTGTGTTTCTTGCTCTGTTTCTATCCGTAGTACTGACCTAGGACCTCAAAAAGACCAAGCTGCTGTGTTGCGCTGATGACATGGCTCTTCAATAGGCCCATGAAGGCACAGTCAGCCAGGAACGATCAATTGTAACTTTTAGCTTAGTACAAGCTTCTCGCGTGGATCTATTAAGAACAGATACACTCAGATCGAGCACGCGGATGTGAACGTCTTATCAATATTCACCTATTAAGAACAGATACACTAAGACTAGTTAGCAAAGGTGAATATGTGTGAAAACAAAGTGTCATACCTCAGATCGAGCACGCGGATGTGAACGTCTGAGGTATCAAGTCCAATATACACTGATTAAATAGAGAAAACGGGTCTTGTTAGAGGTAAACGAGACTGAAACATACATAATGGTACACCTGGCACTGGCCAAAGCAGTCAATGGAGTCACAAGTACAAAAGGTGAATCAACATATAAGAGCGCATAAAGCACGAGTATGAGACAATAGAGTGAACATACGAGACAAGGGTATAAGGTTTGATGGCTTAGTGCGTGCTTGTTATTCCAACAGTAACTCACTCTGAGTCACTTCTCCCTGGGCTCTCGTCTCCATCAGCTCCCTTCCACTTTGACGTCTCTGAGTCCTGGTAAGCATGGCAATGGCAGTTCAAGTCTATAGTGCCACTCATTATGCTGACTGAGTTGTGAAGCCATCATCATTGCCACCGGAGAGCCAGATTCTTCTCAACAGGTCACCTTCAACATCATTGAAGGCTTTTGCATGTTTTTTTGGACCTGTCCGAATAGGTAATGCCTTTGTATGTGTTCATGGCAGGCACTAAGTCACTCCTACTACAATTAATTGATGCAAATCTAGGCCAGTGACTACACATCTACAGTACATGGATTTTACCTCAGTTGCCTTCCCAACGTGACATATGATAGGTGAGTGATGGTTATCAGTTTATTGTCAATGACCCAGTACCAACTCGAACTTCCTCACATCCCAGACCTGAAGGCGCAATAGTGTATGTCATGGTGCCATATTTCAAGAGGCAAAACTTGCTTATGTCCAAATCTCAGTTGTGCAGCCCCCATGCCATCCTCATCAGGGATTTCCCTATAAGTCTTGATGCTTAGCAAGTGAGTATATAACGGTTCACTTTGAGTTTCTTACTTGCATCTTCTCTGTCTCTCCCTCTCCCTCTCTCTCTCTAACTTTTATCACTAGTCATTCTTTGTTTGTCTTGACTTCACCTCGCCCTGACACTCTCACTTCTACAATGTCTGCTCCACAGCCTTACATTCAAAATCATACACACACTCTCGCACTTCCAGACCAGTCTGGGGCAGTCCCTATCTCCACAGAGGCAAGAGCCAAGCGTCACATTGCCGCATTGGAAGACCAACTGGAAACAATGAAGCAAGAAAGAGGAACTAAGCAGAGGTTTGTCAGGTTCCCGCTACTTGGCGCATACCTCTTGCTCATTAAACCTTGAAGAAAAACAACTTACTACATTGCTCAAGGCAGGGCAGTTCATCATATGGTTGTTCTTTACACTAGCTTGGAAGACTTAGTTGCCGAAAATGATCACAGGTATGAGGAGCTCCCAGAGAGCAGCACCACAGAGTATGTAGTCTTTTTTTCATTCTGTAACAGAGTTTCATTCAGAAATTTAGACAAGATCATTTGCAACACAGTTACATTTCACTCGTGCATGTTCTACCGTGGCTGCATGGTAAGCTTTCAGAACTCGATGTGGATGACACCAAAGACATGCGGAAAAAGGTGTGTTCTTGGTTTCTAAGTTTTTGCACTGTCTACTTATTTATAACACTGTAGCTTAAAAAAAGAGCAGATGCAGCCCGCAGCAATGACACATCTACTCTCAAGGACCTCATTGCTACCTGGGTCAATCAAGACTTCTGTCCGTCCTCTCTACTTAGACCCGACAACAAACAGTCACGTGGATTTGCACATGATGTTTGTGGGAAGTTGCTCTGCCCTGCCAAGTGGGACTGGAATGACAACCTGTGAGCAATGATTTTCATCAGCTATTATACGTTGCTGATGATTTGACAGTGTGAAGGCTGGGATTCGTGACCAAACATCAGAATATATCATGTCGGAAAACTCTTGGCCACTCTTCATGTATGAAAACTATGCAGTCAATGGTGGCAATCTCGAGCAAGGCCTCTTCAAGTCAAAGATTCTGGTTCAGGTCAGTACCCTGGGGCTGCAGTTCTGATTATTCTCACAACTACGATGATAGGCTTTCAAAGCTGTATTTACTTCTCCATCTTCCGCAAAAGAAGCTGATTGTGATGGCAACGGAGCTGATATTCTTGAGAAAAATCAGCACGCCTGCCAGCAGTTGAACAACGTCAAGGTCAAAACCTGTGTGGCCTCCATTATCAACATGAAGAAAGTCACTCCCTGCTCTCTCGCTTACATCATGTGTCAGGTAAGTAAGTGTGGTCACTTACAGCTGATGCCCAATTTACTATCTTTTGGCAGGTTCGTTTCACCCTATCGGGCATCTTGTCTTGGTGCACTGTGAATGGTGACTTTGACTATGTGTTACAGCAAACTAGGATAGGTGCAATGACAGATACTCGATAAGAGTAATGTCTGAAGTTGGATCAAGACCTCACAAATGTAAGGTTTCTTAAGACAAGTCAAAGAGAGTGTCTCTGGCTTGAATATCGGTATCAGACAACTTAGGATTGGAGGTCCTAAGCGAAGGATGTTTCAGGTGAGAACCTAGTAGATTAAAGTGAAGTTCTAGTAAGTACATGGCTGAGTTTATATAGACATAAGTACTTTAGGGCAGGTACGTATACATCAGTGATGAGTCAGAGGTGAGTCATAGATAAGAAGAGGATGAGTCAGAGATCAGAGATAAGAAGAGAATGAGTCATCTAGTGACGGCAGTGGCAATCGTGATGTAATACAGATATGGTAAGTCTAGTGATGGCACAACAATACGTGGTCATGACGTAATACACAAGAGTAGGAGGAAAATGAATAGGGGCAAGCATTACTGTAACATTACCCCTTGTTTAGGAATGAAGTCACCAACTTCAGTTATCCTGGTTGGCCCAGTAGATAGGGTCCGCGTCATAGTTTGAATACAATAAATTGTCCTGCTCCTCACTGATAGGGTGTGACCTATTGTTCATTTCGGCAGCATGGTAGATGGCCTCTTGCTCTATCTCCCAATGAGCGAGGGCCTCATAAAAACCAGCGTCAGACCAAACCAGCGGGATGACTGCTTCGCCTTTCAGGTCTTTACAAAAGACCGATAGGTGTCCAGGTGCATGTTCTTTGCAAACCCAACAGAAATATGCGGGACAGTTCTTATGGCGGTGTCCAGTAGTGCAACAGTTACAACATACAACGTTATCGACTGGTGCCATTTTTACGACGGTGACAGAGGTGGATTGTTCAGGGGGAGAGGGAGATCTGGATTGTTTAGTTGGTTTGTGGGGGGAAACTGATGCAGCTCGTTTAGCGGCAATGCGAGATGATCTCCACTTGAGCGGGTATCTTTGTGTGGAGCATGTGATGGGGGCAGGCAACAGAGAAACTGGTACGTCGAGTACAGCAATAGGAGGGATGTTATCATCCTGATGCTCAGCGGTAACTGCTTCAGGAGTCGGCAGAGGAATGGGGATGGCAACATGCGGGGATGGGGGTCGTGCGACTGGGTCGAGGACAATACGTTCTGTGACGATGTGGATGGCTTCTCTGATAGCTTCTCTAGTATTGTCAGGCAGTAAGCGGATCGCAGTATTGCGAATACGTATATGAAGGTGGTGGAAGATAGTTTTATGGCACTCATTGTCCAAAAGATTGGCGGTGCACTCAATGAGACTGGCGTCTCTGATAATCCTTATTATGAGCCCACTAGATATTGCCCCTCTTTCTCCTAGAAGGCAATCTATTTCTATAGCGTACTGCTGGGACGTGATAGCAGATTCGAATAGGGCGCTGGTTTCAACCTGGTCAATGACTGAAAAATAATCGGTAAGAATGGAGTTGTCGGTAAGGGTGAGGGTTGAGTCAGAGGTTGGTGGGGATGTTACTGGAGGTTGTTCATCGCGAGCGAAATTAGTGGTGGTCTGATAGTCAAGGAGGGACAGTGGGTAAGTGTTTTCTTCGGCAACAGTGTTCATGGCAGTGGTGAGTTCTTCAATACGTAATATGCAGAGGCGTAGTCATTCGAGGGAAGACATTGTGAGTCTTATAACCTATGGGCCTTTTTATAGGCAGTAAGGATGTTGGAAGCATTGCTAAGGTTTTCTTCTGGAACCCACTCGTTGCTGGTGGAAGAATATCCTTTCCAGGATAAGAGATAGTGTCTTCATTTACCCGTTCCTTTGTGCGATAAGATTGCATCAATTTCATATTCTTCCTTGTTATCGATGATGTCAGGAGGTGGGTCGTGGAAATTTGGACCATGAACTTCTGTTTCATGATAGGACGATAATTCAGAAGCATGGAATGTGGGGTGAACTTTCCATTGGGGAGGTAATCAGAGTGTGAATGTGATAGGGGAAAGGACGGCGGTGATCGGGAAGGGGCCGTATCATTTGGGTGCGAGTTTTCACAATGGCAACTGTGTGATTAGGTTCTTTCCAGATAACCAAACCTTATCTCCTATCTTCCATGGGTGATACTTCTGCCCATGAGTTCATTCTGCCATTTGTTGCATAGCAAGGTTATGGCAAGAAAGTGCTTCTTCTCTTGACTTCTGGAGAGAGCGGAGTCTATCTTCTGCTGCAGGGATCGTAGAATCGGGAAGTGTATGGGGAAGGGCTCGTGGTTCATATCCCATCATTAGAAAGAATGGCGACACGTTGCGAGAGTCGTGTTTTTGGTGGTTATGCACGAATTCTGCCATAGGGAGGTGTTCTACCCAATCTTCAGGGTGATTCTGACAATAGATCCGGAGATACGTTTCGAGCTCCTGATTGAGTCGTTCAGTTTGGCCGTCAGTCTGAGGGTGATAAGCGGTAGATGTGGCTATATCATATTTCAAGAGTTTGGCAAGGGCTCGTGAGAACTTGGATACAAATTGTGGTCTGTGATCAGAAATGACTTTCTCATGCAAGCCAAATCAGCAATAGACATATTTGAAGAATTTCTTGGCAACCCCTTCAGAAGTAATGGTTTTAGTGCATGGGATAAGAATTACCCCCTTCGTAAGCCCATGGTCTACCACGACCATGACAGAATCAAAGCTGGTGCAAGGGGGGAGATCAGTGATGAGATCAACGGAGACCTGGGTGAAGGGAGCCACAGCGACGGATGAGATTGGGACAAGGGGGTGGGTTGTTGGGTGAGTGTCAGACTTCATCTGCTGGCAAAGGGTGCAGCCTTCTACGTATTTACGGATATAGGTACCCATAGAGGGCCACCAGAAGTCTCGCTTGACTAGTTCTTCCATTTTAAAATGTCCAGGATGACCAGCAGTGGGGTGATCATGACATCATTCTAAAATAAGGTGCTGTCTGGCAGGGCAGACGTAAGCGCGGTCCTTATAGTAGAGGACATCATCCTTAATTGCCCAATCCGCTAGGGCGGATTTCATCAGAGGAAGAGAAAGACCATCCAATGCATCAGAAGTGGCAGTGAAGATGGGGTCAGGGTCAGAGGGATCAGGGTTTGCGAGGGTGGTCATGAGTTCAACATCAAGAAGTCGGATGAACATGGAATTGGGGAGGAGGGTTTCATTGGTATTATCTTCTGAGGAACCCAATCCATGGTCAGGTCGGCGGGAGAGCGTGTCAGGGGCAACTAGTTTAGTTCCAGCAATGTGGTGGAGTTCAATATCATAACACGACAAGATCAATTGCCATCGAGCTTGACGATGAGTTAACTTCTGTGCTGTCCTGAAATATAATAGGTTTTTATGGTCTGTAAAGACAATGACAGGATGAGGATTGCCTTCCAGGTAATGACACCATTCAGTCAGGGCGCGAATAACTGCAAGGAGTTCACGGTCAAAAATCTGGTAGTTCCGTTCCGTGGGATTCAGAGTCTGCGATAAATATCCACATGGGTGATAAACACCATTGTCATTGGTTTGGAGTAATACTGCACCCGTAGCAATGAGGGATGCATCGGTGGCAGCCACGAATTGTCAACTGGGATCAGGGTTTCGAAGGACCAGTTGCTTCAGGAAGCATTCTTTTAGAGTGGAGAAGGCGGACGTGCACTGTTCTGACCAAGAGAATTTGACGTCTTTCTTGGTGAGGTCAATCAAGGGTCTTGTGATGTTGGAATAATGGGAAATGAAATTGCAATAGAAATTGCAAAATCCCAAAAATGATCGAACTTCTTTCATGGTTGTAGGAGTAGGCCAATCGCGGATACCGTTGGTTTTGGCATTATCCATTGCCACGCACCCAGGGCGAATGATCATTCCAAGATATTCTACTTCCTGAGCGTCAAATGTGCATTTCTCAGTTTGAGGAAGAGTTTCTCCTGTCGGATTCTTTTGAGGACGTGTCAAGTTCATTTGTGGTGGGAAGTGAGTTTGTTTGAGAAGATCAGAATATCATCCATGTATATGATGAGCCATCCTTCGTTAATCTCCTGTTGAAACGTTCTATTCATATACGCCTGAAATGTAGTGGGAGAATTGCAAAGGCCAAAGAACATGATGTTTGGTTCGAAAAGACCATATTCCGTGGTAAAGGCAGCTTTCCATCGATCATCTGGGTGAATGTGGATATTGTTATACCCTGAACGGACATCCATCTTTGTGAAGTATTTGGCACCATGTAACCGAGCAACCAATGAGAGTGGTAATGGGAGTGGGTAAGCATTCTTAACCATCCATTCGTTGATGTACCAGTAGTCTTGACAGGGACGAAGGTCTCTGCTTTTCTTTCCTACAAGAAGAAGCCACTCACCTGCAGCGACTTTGACTCGGAAATAAATCCCTTCTTTACATTTTCATCAATGAAGGTTTTGACTGCTGCGCGTTCTGCTTCTGATAATGGGTACACCTTGGATGTTTTGGGGATAAAACCGGGTTTAGTTTCAATCCGGTGATCTATACCAGGTCGCTTGGGCAGTAGCTGGTTCAGGCCATCTTTTGCGAAGATGTCAGCGAAATCATGAAGGTAGGAGGGAACGAGTTCTTCAAATGACTTCTTCTTCTGCTCAAGCCCAGCGGCTAGCGCAAACTGTTGTGCTTTGTTACTGGTTTTGGTGTATTTGGTGGGCCGTGACAGGGGTGTAACTGTGGATCGCTGTTTCGCAATGCTGGTACCATCTTTGGTTAAATGGGTATCCAATGAGACATTGGTGATTACCTGAAGCTCGGAGGCGTCGGTGGGGTATTCAACCAGAAATTCGTCATCTTCTAGATGGTAAGTAGAGATTTCGCATATGGGTGGCGCATAATTTGTCATCCATACGTCATCTTTCGTGTCAAAAGAGTCGTCATTGTCATCAGGGATGGGGTCAAGATTAGGCAATTCCAGTGGGGCTTCTTCTTCCTCAGGGACTTCTTCAATAGTAGCTTGGGGCACCGGTTCTCTGGGTGGTGTAACCGATTCTACAGGAGGCACCTTCAGCAGCACTACAACTGGCATTGGGTCTGTCTTCTGGCTTATCTTTTTTGATTTTCGAAAAAGAGGAGGGAGTCCATTCTTCTTTCGTTCGTTATCAACTTCTTCTTCAATCTGGTCACTCTTCTCCGTTCTGGGGAGTTCTAGCGTTTCCACTTTCCATCGGATTACTGGGTCCATAGCACATAGCCAAGGGATCCCAAGTAAGATCTGGTCATGTCAGCCAAGCCACGTGATATTAAACTTTCCAATCATGGATCGTTCATCTATTTTGACGATGAGGACGCAATATTGGGTGATAGCGCCCCCTTTCACATAACTTCCATCCGCAGTAGTAACTCAGAATGGTTTCGATAGTTTGTGTGTACGAATTCCATGAGTCTTAACAAACTCCTCGGAGATAAAGGTTCCGGCGGCACCGGAGTCAACAACAGCTGTTGTTTCAACGGTTTTCAGACGAGTCTTGGAGATGAGGGAAATGGGGACACGAAGTTCCTTTCTAATTCCAATACTCTGTACAAGTCTGATAGGTACATTGGAAGATACTGACGTCGATCCAGTCTTCCACATTAAAAATCCTTGGCAAGGCGACAGATCGTTGTATCTTCTTCCTCATCGCTGTCGCTCATCTCTTCTCAGCGAACAGGGATCTTCTTCTTCTGCGGGCATGCTTTGGTCATATGCCCTTTCTGATGACATGTGAAGCATAATCCTTTCTTCAAGTGGTCATTTCTTTTGGCTTCTGTGAGCCGATCCACTTCCATGGCATTTGGATCGTGTCAATCAATGGAGGGTCTTGGTACGTAACACTGTCCCATTGGTCTAGTGGTAAGATGATGGTTCTGTCAATATGCGGCACCTCTCTGATAGTTGCTGTCAAGCCTGGTAGTGGCAGCAATGTACTTGTCGAAATCTGTGGGGATGGTTTCCATTTGAAAGATGGAATTGACAATCCCTTTCTTTAACCCATCATTGAAGAAGGATATTAAGATGGCATCTTGCTTTACAGAGGCTTGTGCAGCAAGGGTCTTAAAACTAGAGACGTAGGAGGAAAGGTCGCCTGTCTGCTTCAGAGTTCGGAGTTTGTTCATGGCGGTGCTGATGGCATCAGCTGGTACAAAGGCTTCCTTGAATTTGGTTTCAAAGTTCGCGAAAGTTCCGTAGGACTTGGAGGCGGAGTTATCGACCTCAGTGTAGAAGGTGAGTGCCCAACCCATAGTGCTGTCCTCAGTCATATATGCAAGGGCAGTGATAACTTTCTTCTCATCATTGTTATAGATCGTAGCGTTAAGCGCGAAATACACCTTAATCGCATACAACCATTGTAGAGCCTGCTGAGGGCTTCCATCATAAGTGGAAGGAGCTCCGGCTTTAAGTTCTGGGACATTGGTGATGGTGGACATCCTGAGCGTTCTGGTCTAGTGATGTTTTCTGTTTCAGGGGACTTTTATGGTCTCTCTCTGATTCGTTCTGGGTTTGGGACCTCTTCGGATGGAGAGGGTTGATAGGTGACTTTAATCTTTTGTTACAGCGAACTAGGATAGGCGCAATGACAGATACTTGATAAGAGTAACGTCTGAAGTTGGATCAAGACCTCACAAATGTAAGGTTTCTTAAGACAAGTCAAAGAGAGTGTCTCTGGCTTGAATATCGGTATCAGACAACTTAGGATTGGAGGTCCTAAGCGAAGGATGTTTCAGGTGAGAACCTAGTAGATTAAAGTGAAGTTCTAGTAAGTACACGGCTGAGTTTATATAGACATAAGTACTTTAGGGCAGGTATGTATACGTCAGCGATGAGTCAGAGGCGAGTCATAGATAAGAAGAGGATGAGTCAGAGATCAGAGATAAGAAGAGAATGAGTCATCTAGTGATGGCAGCGGCGATCATGATGTAATACAGATATGGTAAGTCTAGTGATGATGCAACGATACACGGTCATGACGTAATACACAAGAGTAGGAGGAAAATGAATAGGGGCAAGCGTTACTGTAACACTACAAAGCATTCTGGAATAATATTGCGGACTTTTTTGAGAACTGCCCTGGCCCTGCCGCACAAGGCAGGGTGAACAAACTTTTGGAATGGTGGACTAGGTATGGACTGTCTTGTGGCCTATGTATCAAATGTCTAACATCTACTGTCCAGGAGAATTTTTGGGAAAAACCACTGTGTGGACTTGACACCAGATGTTGTATCCCAGATGTCCATTACAGCATTGGCAAACCAGAGGAGGGCACTAGAGGAAACAGCTTTTGACTTGGACTGACTTCATCCTTACGTTCCATTATTGTGTCTATCACTACAATAGTTGTCTTGGGCAATCGTAATGTTGCTCTTAGCATTATGCAATAAAGTTTGCATGCCTGTCATTTGAAGTGCAGATGGATTCACCAACAATAATAGTACAACACTGTTTAACCAATCATCTACTATCAAATTTATTGCTGCTTCCAATCCGGCCAAACTATAGAAACACTCTGCATGAGCATCACTGTACTCATGATTGTGATAACAGGCCTTGTGTTACTGTATGGGACATGAACTGTAGAAAGTTATGTGATTAGAACATGCGTGGTGAGGGCAGTCGCCTGCAGTCTCAAACTAAAGAACATTGATGGACATTCTCAAACATGAGAATCATATTGCATACCTGACACAGAACTGTGGCGCACTTGGGAGTATCAAAAAACCTCAGAGCGCATAGGAGAGTTGATGAATAAAGTCTCTCCTGGTAATAAGTTGTTCTGTTGATGAAAATCTGCAATTCATGCGACACTCCACATCATCAGAGGATAGACTGATTAAGTTGTTGAATGAAGCTCCAGATAAACCCTGTAATCCCTTTATAACTCTATTGCCCAGCACCTCCATCCTCGAGATGCAAATCCTTGTTCTATCCCAGAATTGTTACACTTGAACTGCCTGTGGAGCAGTGAGATGATTGTTTTCATCATTACACCTCTTGACCAAAGCTTACTATGACTAATCCAGGTGCCCTGTGGATACAATTCTAGAGCTGCGTGCCCAGACTTTTGTTCCTGTGGTTTTTGCTGGCAGAAGATTTTACCTGTCCTAATTAGAACCTAGCACTGGCTGAGCACTCGGTCGCATTTGGCATGCGCGTGTCGTGCTTTCCATCTCTGTGATACACTGGGTGAATGATAAGATAGCACGCACGTTGAACGAACCGCCAATACTGATGGCAAGAATCATTCATGCTCAAATCAGGTATTTTCTTCAGCAACTGTGCTGTCAGTTGAAGTATATTTCACTGTGCTAACACTTGCCTCAGGTCCTCCATTGACTAAATGCACCACTTGTGTTAGAGCTTTGACTTACATAGTATTTAGTAAAGGGTAGAAAGACATAGCAATATGTCATTCGATTCAGCAGTCAGGCAATATCTTGCTCAATATGGCAGTCTTGACCCATGGCTTACAAAGATTCACCCATCAAGTGACTGCTTAGATTATATGTCACAAGTAATGTCGTCTAAGACCTCAGGTGCTGTAGATTGACGCAGGTCTTCTAAGGAGTGCCGGAACCATGTCATCAACCAAATGCTTTAACGACGAATTTGATGTAGAATACAGGCAGGATTCTGTGTGAAGCACCCCACAGGTGTTTTAGTGATCCTGGGCAAGTATTTGCCATGCATGAGTCAAGTGTCCAGTAGTTCACAGAACAAGGAAGCTGTAATACTCAAAGTTGTATTTTCTCATCCTGCAGTCAAATGTTAACTACAACAATTTACAAGGAGAATGAAGTATTCTAGCCATCGCGCCAGGCAGCTGGTCTTAATGATTGTCGCGTGATAGAAGGACCTCGCAAGCACAGTAGATGGTGACATTGTACTTATCTTGACCCTTGTACGGCGGTGAATCCGTTAGTCGGCTTGAGTTTCATCCATGCTTTGTAGGAAGGTTCGAGCACAAGATGGTCCATCAAACATGGGACAGATTAATCAGTCACCTCCCAAAATCGTCGTTCCTACATAAGGCCAGATATTTATGTGTAACTACCCCCTCCACATTTACGTAGATGGTTGTGATTGTTATCAATGTATAGCCTGATATGATATTTTAATTTGTTCATCAGTTCACTGATGGCACAGTAAGCATGAGCAGAGTCAGAATACACCGCTCGCATCCTCTTCAAGACAGGCAAGGGACGCAACGGTTATTCCACAACCAATAACATTATTGCCCACACCAACCAGGCGATGAATATTCTCAAAAAACACTTCCCCGTGACAGCCGCATCTTTGTGAAGGTTGACAATGCGATTGCTCACCAAAAACGTGTGGATGATGCCCCTGCAACCGTCAACACGACAAAAAAACCTGCAAAGCATGGGGTGTTATCAATGTCATCGACATCAGAGATGCACATCAAACACTGTCGAAGCTGAGTAACACCAAAAGACACAAGAGCGCACCGAAATTGTCAGAAAACCAAGAAAACCAAACGGGTTCTCGACCCACCAAATCACATCACCACGCATTCTGTGCAATAATGGAATCCAAATTATTTAATATCATGAATTACAAATGTTTAACGTCCTCGAGGACAACTTGCAAGACGACCATAGACTAATAATCAGCATCAACAAAGATAAGCTAGAGACAAAGGACAAGAACAAACTATGGAAGTAGAACATCTGATGCTCACAATACCCCCAGCACGACAATGATTCAGAAAAAATCAATCAACCACTCCTCTGCCAGTGGTGAGTCGGGGACGTTGAGATTTTGAGATTGGGAATTGTCAAGGTTTTGCAACTGAGATTGCAATTGTGACAGCTATGTGGACGCAAGTTAAGTCCCACATACACACTACTGAACTCAATGATCACCTCTCTGCGGAGAAATCATTTAGAAAGTATTCGTCGTTTACAAGTAGTAACTCACAGGGCATGTTCGATTTCTATTTCCTCGATCCTAGTAAGGTTGTCTTCCATCGCACGAGATGCTCTGGAGCCAAAATCTATGGTTAGAAAAATATTCGTTACTTGCAAGTAGCAACTCACAAGGCATGTTCAGTCTCTATTTCCTCGATCCTAGCGATACTGTCTTCCACAGCACGAGATGTCCTGGAGCCATGGCCTGTGGTTAGTGTGCTGTTGCGTAGCAGATCACGAAGGCGATATTCCGCTTTTTCACGCTCGTTCTCAAGTTGAAGAGCTTTGTATCGGTGGAGGGAATACAAGGCAGCTCGAAGTGGTATATGCTAAAAACGCCGCATATGAGAAATTCGATAAGAACTGGGTAAGGTGGTGACAACAAGCATCACGTTTACGATGCGCCTGCAGACTCACAGAATAGGGGTCATCCGGTTGAGACTCCAGCCATTCCTGCACTTCGGAGACTACTTCAGCGACATCAGCTTCGGGCACGCCTTCGCCTGAAATTAGAGACATCCGATGAAGGAGGAAATTAGCATGATCATGGACAACACCCTGTTTAGCATTGTCTCGTTTGGCATTGTCCTGATCAGCATTGTCTCGTTCAGCATCTTCTCGTTCAGGTGCATTTCCGACGTGGAGTTTCTTGGCACCATCTAGGTCGAAAACTTCGCGGCAGAAGGGACATGTGCTTGTGTCAAAGGAGTAAAGGCACCTTGGATTGTGAGATGAGAGATTAATTATTGCTCGGCGCAAGCTAGCCTTGAGTACTAGTAGAAATTTAGACGCACCTGAAGCAGAAGATGTGACCACACTGGATTGCATGTGGAGAAGTAGCAAGATCTGAGGTAGAATAGAGATCAAGGCAGATATCACAACAACTCGAAGGATGTATGACAAGCATACCTGGTTCATAACAAAATTGGCCAACAGGACTCCTTAACCGTGAGTGTGGAGTTTTATCATTAGCTACTGTTAGAACCGGTGCGCAATTCAAACCCAGCCTAATCAATGCACATGAGTTCATCACAAATGGGATGTGGGACACTGCATATTGCTGTATACAGTGGCTTGGTGCTCAAGTACTCAGGCCTCAGGCCCAGGCCTAGTGCTAGAGTGAGAACATGTACAGGTGGCGAAACAGGTGACCGTTACGTTGACACGTCAAAACGTGGTCTTTGTAAGCAGGTCCCATGAACGTGTGCTTCGATTGCACATATTTCGGTCGCCCCATTCTTAAGAACTCCACTTAAGAATTTGTTCCCCTCTTCTTCTCCCCATTTGCGCCACCCGACGATGTTTGTCCACCCACCTATCTTCTACTGAGCTGGTGTGTTTTGGTCTGTCTTTCGGACCCTTCGGTCTCTACATGTCCTCAGACGGATCATGTTAGACTCGTAACCATTCTGCCTACGTGCGTTTTTTTCGAGATGGTGTGATTTCTGCCCGCCATTCGAGCATCCGTGGTAGTATACGCCAGGCTGGTTACGAGCCTAGGATCATGCTCCGATGGTTCTACTTTGTCCTCAAGCTTCTCCAATTCCGAACGATTCACCATGATGTACATGATCTCCTCTGGCACTATCAGGGACATGTCATATGTACCAATACCACTGGAACAGGCGAAGAAGAAGGTACTTGGTCAGATGCAGAGGAGTGGCGAATGGCGAGCGCTACAGCGAGGTCAGGAAGGTTTATTTATTTTTATCATGTCTCATTCTGGCACCAACGTATATCCATGTGTATTGACATATTTCATTCTCCATGAACGTGGTTCAATTGTGAATATAAAAACTAGCTGGAACGAGATCGAACGCATAATATCTATCAACAAAATCGACAAAGGTCTCATTTTTCACAATACACATCAATTCATATTGAACTCATATTAACAGTTATCGATACACATCGACCTTATTCTCACTGGGACTGAGTACCTACACATGAAACTTAATGGCGTCCACGCCTAGTTTCTTATGGTGTAAAATCCTGCGCAAAGCCCTCTTTGCCCTCGATTGACCGATGTTGTTGCGTTTAGAAGATCCACGACGTACGACCCCTTTGCCCTCCACGCCTGATGGAGACTTCTTGCCGTGAGCCATGGATCGGTACCTGTTCGATGTTTGCCTGGTCGGAGCAGAAACCCGATTAGGTTCTGGCAAACATGATCAGTAAATCGTTAGTAGAATCGGGTACTAGTGGGAAACCTTGGGCTTTGGAGGTAATCCCGGACGAGGAAGGAACAAGGTGGAAAGGAGAGGCAAGACAGTTAAGCTGGTCACAGTATTCGTTGGAGGCATCTTCGCTTCTCGCACAATCCTCGACAGTTTCATCGGCAGATGGACACAACAAAGCTTCGTCGTCGTCGTCATTTTCCCAAACTACTTCATGATCCCTCCCGTAGATCGAAAGATCGGCGAGACTCAGTGGGGAGAAGTCAGCCATAGTCTGTAGAGAGTCCTGGTTGGCACATCCAGGTCCATGAACGTCGTATAGCCCTCGAAGGCGAGGTGACAGGGAATGGCTGTTACGTGTGGAGGTGGGTGTGTCCTGCATCTGTTTAAGTTGCTGTGTAACGATAGACTCCGACAAAGCATCTCGAAGCCTCCGATTCGGAGTGAACGCCTCCAGAAAGTGCAGCTTCTGTCTTTTAGCTTCGACGCGGTGTTGTGTCTCGTCACGGAGTCGCTCGAGAGTCTGTATATGTTCGAGAAGGATACATGCAGTCGTGAGTGCGTTGAAATGATTCAAAGGGGTACGTGTGCTTGTCTGCCTGCGTGGCTGGACATTGCCAGCTGGGATTGGAGAAACCATGATTGCATCAACAGACGGAGCTGAATGATAATTCCTGCGAATGTTTGTTGACTCAGTGAACGCAGCGGGAACAACTAACGTCCCACGATAGTATCCCGTGCGTGAATACAGATGCCCGTCCGAACTGAAATAATCGTCTGAGACGTAAATAGAAAACGCATCAAGTACGTATACATAGACAAGGGAACGGCTACAAACGGAAGTTTGAGGTTTCCGATGTCATGTACGGAGTCATTGCGCTCTGCTGAGATCAGCAGCTGAGCAGGCCGCATAAGGCCTTGTTACGGCGATTCCACAGCCTTATTGATATCGCATACACTCCCGATGACGGTCCTAGAGAAAACTTCTGTATGTGGGTTAACACGATACCGATATGATTCGGATGACGTTAGAACAATGTGGCATCGTGGCAGTGCTCAGGGCGCACACCTCTGACATAAAAGTTAACCTTAACATTCGTCTCCACCTCCACAACTCGAAAGCGCCGCTTTATCTTCGTCTCTGACGTCGCTCATTCGCAACAATTAAAAGCCAACAAAAAACTAATTCAATCAAACTGGCGAAGATGTCAAGAACATACTGTATTCCAGGCGTCTTCTTCCTCTTCTCTGCCTGGTTCCTCCTTTTCATCGTCTCAATTTCTCTCCCGAGTTTTCAGGCGATGGACATTACTCGCGTGCACTCTAGTGGAGGGGTTGCAAATAATGGTGATCAGGCATTCACGCAACTTAGAGTGAGTAGCAGTCGAGTTGAGTTGAGGTGCTTGAACTTATAGTTCCTCGTTGTACCACCTAGCTCGGGATTTGGTAAGTATACATTATTATACGAGGCAGCACAATTAAACTATCTTCAGGGGTTACTGTGTTGACTTTTCTTCGGGCCGCCAATGTTTCAATACTGGTGAACACATTTACTGATATTGCTACAATCTTATTCTTATTGAATACAGGCCATGGATACTCGCTCACTGTCACAGGCGCGCAGAATGCCCAAGTTACAATAGGTCCTTCATGGACTCGCGGACTCGCTGTTCTTCCCGTCGGTCAGTTGTACTCTATGCAATACGATCGTAATCTGACTTCGCTTCTTCCTTAGCTTGCTGTGTCGCATTTATTGCGCTTCTTCTATCCATCTCCCAGCACATCACAATTACCTTGGTGGCTTCTCTAGTGTCATTCCTTGCGGCCCTGCTTACCCTCATCGCATTTGCCATCAACATCGCTCTCTTTGCCTATGTCAAGCATGAATTGGGTACACTAAGTATTAGTGAGACGACTATCACTGGTCCTGGTTAGTTTCTCTTTTACTCAGCTTACCACGTGTCTCAACACTACGACAGGTTTTTGGCTCACATTTGTATCCCTACTTCTGCTTGTCTTGGCTGGATGCACTGTGTGCTTTGGCCGTCGTCGCGACAGAATGGCGGGTGCTAATAATAACTCATACCAGCTCAACGGTCCCAAGACCGGGTTCCTTTCGCGCTTCGGTCGCAACTAGGAGTCACGACTTTTACGGATGAATGGACAGATTGATGACCTTACTATATATACCAACTGGACGCTGTACGCATGCATCATTTGTTACGGAGGCTCTTTTAGTGGACAAGTGTGTTCATTCCATTGGTTTGTCTTGTATACCATGTTGAAACCATTTATGAAATTGGCATCTATATTTGGAGTCCCCTAGTACCTGGTGAAGGGTAGACTATGGTTTGCCTATAGACAGGACTGGTTACCGATCTAGGTGAAGCTTAAGCCTTGAATGTACTCCGATTGGATAGCGTCCGTGTCCACTGCCACGCCTACACATGGGGTGACTAAGCTACTCGAACTTCTGGCTTCTACCCCTGCTTAGGCCCACTCCAGCGCCCACGTGGGGTGCATTAAGGCCAACTAAAGGCGATAAGGTGATATGGGTCAGGACCCTATCCTATCAGCTGTTGTTGGCTGGTGGCGATGCTCTAGTCCTTGAGGCGATGCTGTGCCATCTAAATAAGATCATGACCGTTAACAGTAACTCTGCTCCCCCCGGCTGGCATTGATAGGCTCCCAGGTCGTCCTAGTTTGACCTTCCTGTCCCCAAGTCTTGTCAATGAAGGTGAGACCCCTATAACATCAACGACATCCATAATCGAGCTTTAAATGAAAGATATCTACTCTCAAGAACGTCGATAATGGTCAACGCGTGGCACTGCTGAGTGGGACGATAGCAGTGATCGATACCGCAAAGGCTGTTGTACCTAGTGTCCTCGTGCAAGGTATTCTTTCTACAGTTTCAAACATCTTGGCTATTGCAAAAGTAAGTCATTCCTGGACGACTTTAGATGGCGTTTTGATATCTTTGTATAGAATACCCTGCAAAATGAAGGCGATTTCCGTGGATTGATCGAACAGTGCCGAGTTATTTGTGATATTGTCGTAAGGGCTACAGAAGGTCAGACTGATGGCGACTTGGACAGTGAACTCAGTGACATCATTATCGATCTTAAGAGGTAGTGTGTTTTTTCAGATACATCAGGGACCACCTGACACTAGCGTAGCTTTGTCGAGAGCATTCTCGAGGCAGTCGTGTCTGCAAATGAGCGCAGCGTCGCCCAGAGAGCCATTTCCGCACTGTCTGACAAGGACAGAATCGCATCTTGGGCGCGGGAACTGGATAGGCGCGTGTTGCTCATTAACGTAAGCCATGATTTCCTTCCAGGCTACCATTAATGAACTGACCATTTGCTAAAGATGCACCTAAGCATGATAACCCAGCGCAGAATATATCAACAGAGCAGACAGGTCAATAAACCGAGCATGTCTACCGCATATGAAGACTGGCGCGTCGTCCTCCCGAGCGTGCCTTCCCCTTTCTTTGGAAGAGATCATCTCATTGCCCGTGCCACGAAACTACTTCTCAATCGACGTCATGTCACACTTTTCGGCCCAGGAGGTATCGGCAAAACCTCCCTAGCAAAAGCTATCATTCATGACTCAGTCATAGCTGAGAGGTTTCAAGGTCGCCGGTACTTTGTATCGTTCGATGGACTTGATGCCTCTCGGATATCCACAGGAATAGTCAGGGAGCGGATTTGCAGAGCCGCCGGGTTGGATGGGCGCCTCAGTGAGCGGTGGGAGGAAGTGACGGAATTTCTGACAGGCGCAGAGACAATCTTGGTCATCGACCATGCAGATGCTCTTACTGCAGCTCGAAACGCAGACTCCGTAGTCCGTATCATTGACGACCTCGCATCATCATCGTCTGTGGTCCTCTTGTTGACGACCCGAAGCAAACACACTGCACCTTACTTTGTCACACAAATTGTGAGTGTTTCGACATTAGAACGCAAGTTCGCGAGGAAGACCTTCGAGCACGTCTGCCCGCAACACATTCCTACGGAGATAATCGATGAATTATCGGATGGCGTCGATAACCATCCGTTATCGGTCAATATCATTGCTCGTCAGGCGGCTCAACATGAATGGTCTGGAGCAGAACTACTTTCCGCATGGAAAACAAACCAAGCAACGTTATTGGAGAACGGCGAAGGAAAATCTCGCAGCCTTCGTGCTACAGTCGAACTCTCTTTGAATACTCCGTCAGTGATGGCCCTTGGCGATGATGCTCGAAAGCTTCTCGAGATCATCGCCTTTTTCCCGCAGGGCCTCAACACTATGAGGGTGAAAGCTCTTTATCCTTCTGCGACCGCGGACGCGGATGTGCTCTGCGCGCATTCAATCATTCATTGCGAGGGAAATCGTTTCACCATATTGGCGCCTGTGCGACTGTACTTGGGTCACAAAGCGCCAAACCCTGATGCAGGGTTTCTGAATACGATCAGGAACATATACTACAGAGAGCTCTCTGGTCCCATCGAACGACGTCAAGCTCTCGTTGAGGCCGAAGATGTCAACGTCGAACGTCTTATTGCCTTCGACTTCAACAAGGCCATCAATTTAGACGACAGCTCCCGTGCTTGTACATCATTCCTAGACAACCTCGCAATATGCAAACCTCGGGTGACCATTCTCACTACAATGCTCAGAGAACTTCCTGTGAGGTCCTCGGGAATCCTTGCTAAAGTCACTGGTTGGCCCGCCAGGTCAAAGGCAGTCTCACTTCGCAAGAAGACCCTGCTCGTGAAGTCCGCTGGGACGCTCGCATCATCTATAAGACGCAGCACGTTGACGTCTACCTTTCTGAGAACGCTTTTTGTTCGGTAAGGAAACCTTTCTTCCGATTCTCTCTTATATTAATATATACCACTAGTGTCAATCTCCAGAACAGCACACTCCCCATCGAGAATCTGCGCACATCAACGAATCCTAGACGTTTACGCCAATTAAAAACTGCTGCACGGCCATTCCTGCGTATTAATCGTCAACCATTGTCAACCACCACCCCTACAGCCACGATCAAACGTATTCACTCTTGTGCATCTCTTCCATCGTTTTATTCTCTTCTGCAAGAGCACCATGGTGTTCTTGCGTTCTTCACTACAGAAATCTGCCACCTGAGTCGCAAGGCACAACCATTATTTGAAGAGTTTGCGCAAGACAAAAACTCGAATAATAGCCCTGTCGCCTTTGTGCAGGTGGATCTCAACGCCTCACGTGGTGCAGCGGCAGTTGGAATCGAGTTTGGTGTTCGCGCCACCCCAACATTTCTGTTCTTCGTAGGAGGAATGAAGGTTAGGCTTTCCGCAAGCTTCATCCCAATCGGCGACTTATCTTACGTTGCAGGTATATGAGATACAAGGATGCGACGTTCAACAACTACGAATGCAGCTTTCAATGTTTTTACATCCAGGTTTGCCAAATTCAACTTATTATACATCGCATTCTAGCTAATACCATTCGCCATGCCATAGTCCATCCACACTTATCGCTATCCCTTCTGGCTTTGGACTTACTGGGCCTTGAGCCCATTTGATTCAATAAGGTCCCTGATCTCGCTGTTGTATCAATGAAATTGAGGGGTTTCCTTGATTCTGCTACAACCTGGTTCCAGCCATTCGATACCTCCCTATCCAAAGCTGACACCATGGAAATTCTCGTTGGGACCATGATTCCGTACGTCAAGGCGTTCACCACCTCGCAATGCTTGCCTCTGCACCCTCTTTTTGATCTCTGGCATGACGTCACGAGTTCTATGTCGTGGAATATGCCAGAAGACCAACTATTTCCACTGGTGGATTTATGGCGAATAGCACTCCTGGACGAAAAGGTCTCCTCTTGGTGTGCCGATCGTAATGGTCTCGACAGCCCCCTTGTGCTGCTGTTGTCCAAGGCGTGCGAATGGTCTTCAAAAAAGTATCTGTTGGCACTCCTTCGTATGCTCTCCAACGCATTCAGTAACAGGGCTTTGGGATGGAAAATTCTCTTGTCAGCCCAAAACAATCTCGCCATCCTGCTGGAACATACTTTGGTTCATGAAGACACTGGTGTTCGGAAAAGCGCGTCGAGCTTGACTTTCAATACCTTTGCGCATCTGCAAGAGCTCAGAATAGAGAATTTATGCAAGGGCGATGAAGAAGGAGCTGATCATTTGGAGATGGACATATCGATGACTCTGCTAAATGCAGAATGGGAAGCGTCGATTGCATGCGCGGTCCTTGCGGCTATCGAATACGAGAGCGATGGTGACACAGGTATTATTGGTTGTCCTTTATTCATGTTTGCGATTTATTTATCACTTTCCGACAGTCCACCGCCAAGTCGCAGCATTAGGACTGATTGTGCGTTTTTCCCCTTTCATCGATCACTTGTTGCCACTTCTCGGAGCCTTGCACGCTCAAAGGACTCTAAAGAACAAGTTCAGAGGAAACGGGAGGAATTGGAATATGAAGGAAACCGCGTGCGTGCTTTTGCAGGAAGTCGCTGATAAATTGTGCCCTCCGAGTATTTCGATTTGAATAATGGTATTGATGTTCTTTCTTCATAAGCCCATCGGGACGATCTACGTGTTTGGACTGTCATGTTGTTTTATTCGATTTCTCTTAGGCTAGCGCCCTTAGTCTCTACGTATCTACCATTGTTCCATAATACCAGATCGCATGAGTGTTTATCTGTGAAGAAAATACAAAGATGTCCTGCTGTGAGGGCTATTGTATGACAATATTGTGTATGGCACCAAACGGAAGTATGATGATGGATGAGCAAGAACAACAAAAAAGCAGGTAACAAAGCTTGCATGAAGGAAGGACGATGGACCCTGTACTAATGAAAACCATCAGAAGCTTTAGTGGACGTGCAGCAGCTACAAGACCAAAAGCGAGTCCAGCATCCAGCCTGTCTTTTAGAATCATCGGGCGTATCTGTTATGGCTAAGGGGCCACTAGCAAGAGGAGGGGGCATCAGTGGCGGCATTGTAGTGGCAACTGCTGACTGTAGGTTCGATGGTGGCAATGATGGCACACCAACTTGTGAGGGAACTTGTTTTGGCTGTGCTTGTGAGGCAGCTTGTGTTTTTGGTGGCTGAGCAGCATGTCTTCGCTTTGGAATAAATGAGTATAGGAATGAAGAGGTTAGAAGAGAACATACCTTATCCTTTTGAGCAACAGCACGAGGGTTAGGAGCACAATGAGAGAAAAACCTTAGCCATGGGCATGGTGAAGCATGTGGTATGACATCAGCATCAGGCTGTGAGTGGCCTTGCCACAATGCAGAAGTCAACTGCCATGCTTGACCATGGAGCATCTGCAGCCAGTCTCATCCACTCTGTGTCTGCAGCCAATCTTGTCTGCCTTTGGTCTGAAGCTACTCTTGTCCGCTCTGGGTCTGCAGCCAGTATTGGCCACTGGAGGCATCCAGCCACATCAGGAAAACCCTCCTGGGCTAAATATTGGTGATCATCAAAAAATATTGACAGATTACTCCAAGGTCAAGCAGTTCAAAGGCGTTCACCTCGATGTGATCCCCAGTAGCGCCATTGCATTTCAACTTACTGTAAGCCAAGTGACGAGTCAGTAATGAGCATTGAGAACTAAGAACACTTACTGTGCAGCCTCATAAGTATCTGCCATCATATAATGGAACTTTCCAGGTGTGTCGTGCTTCAGCTGTTTGAGAGACTTGATGTGGTAGCTGTAAACTTCCCTGGAGAACCAAGCGACTTCCATAAAAGAGTGGAATAGACCTATGAAAAGTTGAGCAGCATATTCACCAAGTAAAGACAAGCACACTACTGCTGTTGCCACCAGTGCGAGGAAGGGAATTGGAATTTTGGGATGCTTTGACTTGTTCTTGGCAATTTCGACAAAGTGTGACACAAATTTCATGCCAATGGCCCTTGAGCTATGAAAGAGCTGGTTAGATATCAACAATACGAGGAGTTCACCCTGGTAGGGCCTGTTCCTGATGGGTGTGGCATTATTATTGAGCTGAAAAAGAGGTACAACTATCAGCAACAGGCAGAGAAAGTGTAAAGGACTCACATCAAACTTCATAGCATAGATGTAAACTAGCTTTTCCATCAATGTTTTCACCTTTGCAAAGTCCTTGTGCCCAAGGCAGAAGTAGCCATCAACATTTGTGCAAGCATCATCTTTCAGCTTGCAGTGCATTATTGGGATGTGTGCATCCACCTCAGATAAATTAAGGACAATTAGAATTATCCTGGGTAAGCACTGCAACTGAATCAACTCACCAAGGCACTGAGCTGTAAAGCATACAGCTCATCTACTTGAAGATGTTCTTTGATTGTGTCCACACTACACTTCTCAGCGATGGATAACAAAGTTCACATTGAGAGCTGGTGTGGGAAACACAACAAGAAGAGAACTGGAAAGTAGACTTCTAATGTTGGGCTAAATGTGCTATGCCTAGCTTCTATTCAACCCTAAAGGGTTTCTGGACTAAGCTCAGTGCTCAGAGAGGATAGGAAATCATGCTAAAAACTCTCAGTCTCAGACTGGTACTGGTAGATGGTGAAAACTATGATGATTACATACAGTGGCTCAAAAAACTGTCCACATGTTTTGACATTTTTCACTATCTATGATATTGTGTGAGAACGAACAAATGCCTCAAGGACATGCTTATAGCACGTTGTAGTATGGCTTCAGGGCTTTCATTTGAGGCCTACACCGTGGGAATCGGTGGAGATATGGTGGAGACATAAGGCTTATAAAATGATGACTCATGTGGACAGTTTTTTGAGTGTATATTAAAACTATATAAATGATTATTTATGACACCACAAAAATCATGCCACTATTATATAAATTATGAAGTGGTATCATTATGTTATTTTATGACTATATCTAACTATATAAACCAGGATATCTCATGTATCATAGTCATAATCACCATGAAAGCCATCTCCTCTGCTCAAAGAGATAATATCCTCTCTCTGTCTTATGCTGGCCTCTCTGCTTGCCAAATTTCCTCTAGAACTGGAGTATGCAAGTCCACTGTGGCCAAGTTTATCAAAGAAAGCCACCCAGACAAGGAAAACTCTTGTGAAGGATGTCCATCCAAGCTTACCTCTACTGACAAAAGGGCTATTATCCAACATATCACTACAGGAAAGGCTGATAATGCTGTCCAAGCCACCCATTATATCAATTCCACCATCACTACCCCTGTCTCTTCACAAACTGTGAGGAATGTTCTCAAGGCAGCTCATCTCAAGGCAGTAACAAAGAAGAAAAAGCCTCTTCTCTCCATCAAACATAGGTAGAGAAGACTAGCCTTTGCCTTAGCTCATCAACACTGGACTGTAGAGGACTGGAAGCATGTTATATGGTCAGATGAGACCAAAATCAATAGGATTGGGTCAGATGGGAAGGTATATGTATGGAAAAAGAAGGGAGATGGCCTAACAGACAGAGAGGTTAATGGGACTGTCAAGTTTGGAGGAGGTTCTTTAATGGTATGGGGCTGTATGGGATGGAATGGTGTGGGAATGCTTGCTGAGGTTGAGGGGAAGATGAATGCTGAGCAGTATGTGGACATTTTAAATGACCACTTGCTGCCTAGCTTGGCAGAATCAGGGATTGATGAAGAAGATATCATTTTCCAACAGGATAATGATCCCAAGCACACATCCAGAAGAGCTAAGGAATGGTTTGAAGAACATAACATCAATGTTCTTGACTGGCCAGCACAGTCTCCTGATGTCAATGTCATTGAACATCTCTGGGGAACACTCAAGAAAAAGCTTCAAGCCTATGAAAACCCCCCTAAAGGAGTATGGGAGCTTTGGGAGAGAGTAGCAGTGGAATGGGGGAAGATCACAGCTGAGGATTGCCAGAAATTAATTGAGAGTATGCCTAGAAGGATAGAGGCAGTAATTAAAGCCAAGGGAGGTCATACAAAATACTAGAATACCTGGTTATTATTGTAAAATACTTGAGTCAAAAAACTGTCCGCATGAGTCACCATTTTGTGAGCCTTGTATCTCCACCATATCTCCACCTATTCCCATGGTGTAGGCCTCAAATGAAAGCCCTGAAGCCATACTACAATGTGCTATAAGCATGTCCTTGAGGCATTTGTTCGTTCTCACACAATATCATAGATAGTGAAAAATGTCAAAACATGTGGACAGTTTTTTGAGCCACTGTAAGCACCAAAAGTGCGAACATAACACTAAGTAATATCTGCCTATACAAGCCCACAGAATATGAAATCCCTACACTGGTTCTTTTTGACTAATTCCAGGTACCCATGGACAAACATCACATGGCACTTGACTTCAGAGATAGCAGCTTGAATGACCTGGCAAGTCTGTAGATTCTGATTGAGAAGTTTGATTTTGCCTTTCTTGGTTTGAACAAGTGAGGTAACACTTTTTTTGCAGGGGTTTGGACAAGTTTTGCAGTATCTTCATTCAAGTCAGAGGAAATTGACAATTCACCACTGGTAGTGGTACTTTCAGCAGACTCTGAAACAGTGTCATTGACATCGCCCCAGGTCAGAGTCTAATGCATCAAGGACCATGATCAAAAAAAATTGATTTAAATTGAACAGTTCTCACCTCTGTTGCTTGTTTCCTATCAGCAGCAGATGAGCAGTCAGCACCAGAGTCAGACACCTTTGAAGACTTCCAAGGTTTCTGGCTGTGTGTGACCAGTGAAGCAACCTTTTTGTTTGTGAGGACTTATCATATGATGTTGACGAAATGTTAAAGTACTACTCACCTCATCTGAAAGCATCCTTGCAGCTGCATCTAAATCATCATCTTCTGAGTCATTGCCAAGACCTGCTGTGTCAGCATCACTGTCACTGTCATGCCAGTCACTGTCAACACCTGCATCATGGACATTGCACTGAGCATCATCCGAGTTGACATCACTCTGCTCATTCTCTGAGATCGGTAACATGACATTCACATCTTGCATGGCAAAAGTGTGACGAAGTTTGGTAGGGCACCAATAATGGGACACTGTGCACACATGACTTATAAGACTTCCTTTTTGGCCAGTGAACAAGATGACTAACCTTTCTTATCTCCTTCACTAAAGCTATCATGTTCACTGGCCTCTGACTCAGATTTGATGTGCTGACGCTCTGCACAATTTGTTGTACATTAGTAAGTGGCAATTTATATCATGCAAGAAACACATGTACTCAGTGTCAAAGGTTTCTGTGCCAGACTCTGTTTATGAGGTGTTTTGGATACTTTGGTGCTGGGAGCTCTCTTCTTTGCGCCTTGCTTGGCTGGTGATGTCTGACACTTGCGTTTGGCCAAGCCTCTTGCACCTTGCTTGGCTGGCAATGTCTGATGCTTGAATTTGTCCTGCTTCCACACTGTTTTCAGGTTAGTAGTGAGTTTTTCCTTGTGTCCTTCTCACTCACCTGCATTCTTCAAAGCCCTTGTTTTTGTGCCATGTGCCAGTGACTCCAACTCTATGGAGGTTTTTTGAGACTGTGTCTGTGCTTGTCTTTACTGTCACTTACTCTGAGGTGTGGTCATTTTTACTTGTTCTGTTGGGACTTCAATTACTAAAAAAAATTAAGTAGGGAGTGGAAATTTTGGTCTGCCAGGGAGTGTGATTGTTGGGGACTTGTAGGGAGTGTGATTGATGGATGCTGCTAGGGAGACTGGTAGGGGTAGGGAGTGAGATGCTAGAGAGACTGGTAGGGAGAAGGTAAGAGTAAAATAATTTGAGTTTCAGAATGGATGGCACTAAATTTTGTAGTACAGCTGCACGCATCATGGACACAGTCTGTCCCTGACTTGACTACACTAGGTGGGTTGGCAGTCTCAAACAATTACCTCAGGCTTACCCTCTTCTGCTTTCGCCCACTTATTTACTCATTTTCTTTAGTATGACCCTCCAGATGTGCCCAGCATGTGGCCGTGACAATTTCACTATCACTGGCCTTAGCCAGCATCTTGCAAAGAGCCACAACTCCTGGTGTCAAGCACTCTACAGGAATTCACACTCCTGAACAAACCCAAACCCAGTCAATGAAATCACCAAAAATTTCACACCTGAGTCAGGACATCCCAAGGTTCACCACTTTCTTTGGTTAATTTGAAGCTGAAGGTTCTAACTGCTCTTACTCTCAGTTTGACTACTCTGGTTACTTTGAAGCCAATGGTGATGCCTCTGAACACTCTAGCGACTTGGACAATAATCCTGTGAGTTTACTTTGGTTACTTTGAAGCTGAAGGCTCAGTTCTTATTCACTCTCATTCACAGGGAGAGGATAGTGACTTGGACAATAATCCTGTGAGTTTACTTTGGTTACTTTGAAGCTGAAGGTTTGGCACTGAATCCTCTTGTTATCAGGGAGAGGACATTGATGACTCATTCTTTGAACCTGAATGGGAGGTGCCAGTGCAGTTGCTACCTGAGGATGGCACCCTCGATGATATCAACCTACCTGAGGATGGATCCTTTGACAATCTCAATGATGGTGAAGCTCACAATACTAATACTTGTCAAGGCTTGGGCACAGGGGCAGCGTGGATGTGTAGTTATGCCTTAGCCTGACCCACGTGCTGATCAAAGAACATTGCATCTTTCACCTGATCAGGCTGCAAATGTGATGTATGAAGCACAACTCATTGATGCCAAGGATGAGAAGAACCTGTACTACCCATTCACTTCGAAGATCAAATGGGAGGTAGCACATTGGGCCAAGCTTCGTGGGTCAAGCTCTACTGTGTTTACAGACTTGCTATCTATTGATGGGGTGAGGGATTTTATTTGTTGCACATGTATCTAATTGACAGCAATACTACTAGGTCAGTGAATGGCTGGGACTGTCATTCAAAAACATGAACAAGCCGAACAAGCTCATTGACCACAAGCTTCCAACAGGATGACCAAAATTCAAACAAGAACAGGTCATCGTCGCTGGTGAATCATTTGATGTATATTACCATGATATCATTGAATGCATTAAGTCATTATATGGGGATCCTGACTTTGCCCGATATCTCACATTTTCCCCGGAGTGGCACTATGCTGATGATGATGAGACTGTTCATTTATTCCACAACATGCATATTGGCAAATGGTGGTGGGAAATGCAGGTATGTTAGACTTGTTATGATATCAGACTTCATTGCTCAATGTCCTTAGAAAAAACTTGATGCACAACATCCTGGTGGAACTATAGTTCCAATTATCATTTCCTCCGACAAAATGCAAGTGACAATGTTTCGCAACATACCAAAGGAACTTCACCACAAGCCTTCATCTGGTAGTCATGTCCTTCTTGCTTATCTGCCAACAAGCTGCCTCAAACACATTACAAACAAAGTGTCTCATTGTCGTGCTATTGTGAATTTGTACCACATGTGTTTACACTGTGTGCTTGCTCCACTCATACCTGCTAGAACAGAGGGCATTTCAATGTGTAGCAGTGATGGTGCTTGTTGTCATTGTCATCCAATATTTGCTAGTTTTGTCAGTGACTACCCAGAACAACTCCTGACTACAGGTGTCAAGTTTGGAGAGTGCCCAAAGTGTGATGTCAATGCCAAGGATACAGGAAGTAATACAATGCAATTTCACTTGCAAAAACTTAGTGAGGTACTGGACGCACTTGCTGCATTCAACGACGGAAACTTAGTGTTTGTTTGTGCATGTGCTGCTGCTGGCATCAGACCTATCATTCATCCTTTTTGGGAGGATCTTCCTTTCACGAATATCTTTCGTGCTATCACACCAGATGTCCTGCACCAGCTATATCAAGGTTTGATCAAGCACCTCCTGTCATGGTTGTCAGCAGCTTGTGGAGGGGCCAAGATTGATGCCCATTGTTGACAGCTCCCTCCTAACCATCATATCTGCCTATTCACTAAAGGCATCACCTGCCTGTCATGCGTAAGTGGCACCAAACACACTCAAATTTGCCGCTTCATCCTTGGGATCATAATCAACATTCACTTGCCCAACAATCTTAATGCTGGTTGTTTGCTTTGAGCAGTGTGTGGCCTACTCGACTTCTTATATCTCGCACAATACCCTTATCATAGCTCAGAGACACTTCACTCACTAGACAAGGCATTGGATCTTTTCCATCAAAACAAAGACATTTTTATTCAACTCAGTATCCATAATAATTTCAACTTACCAAAGTTGCACACAGTGCATCATTACCACCTCATGATCACATTGTTTGGTACAACAGACAACTACAATACTGAATACACTGAGCACCTCCACATTGACTTAGCAAAGGATGCTTATCGCACTACCAACCACAAGGACAAGTTCATTCAGATGACGCACTGGCTCAAATGAAAGGAAAATATTCTACAGCACCAGAAATTTGTTAGTTGGTGTCTTGCAGGTGGTCACCACTTCAAGCCATACCATTTGCATCCTCCTGATATGACTTTCTGTTGAGAACAAGTGATGATGAAACATCCCACTGTGAAGGCTGTCAGCATTCAAAAATTGGTTGAAGATTACGGCATGACTCATTTTCGTGAGGCCCTTGCATGCTACATTGTGCACAAACATCAAGGTGATCATTCAGTGCCACTCCATGATCGAGAACTTGATCATTTGGTGGGTGACATTCACTTTCCTTTCTACCATCTGCCTGTCTTTCACAAGATCAAATGGTGCTCTATTGATACTGGTGGTTTAACCAAGGGACATGTTACCTTGGACAGTGTCCACACAAAACCTTGACAAAAGTTGGGCTCTTGGCTCATTCATCGGCACTCTGACACTGTTTTTGTTAGACTTGGTGAAGACTTGGTTACAAATGATCTCAAAGGTGCGTGATTTGGCTGTTACTCAAGGACTTGCAGCTCATTGACTTGTTAGGTTTCAGTGTGGGGCAAGTTCAAGTTATATTCTCCTTGCCCCCAAAGTCTTTACAATTGCTCTTCCCACCCACTGTCAACATTCCTCCTCACCTCGCATATATCAAATGGTTCACTCCCTTCCCTTCTGCACCTGACCAAAACAACAGACTGTATAAACTCTCAAGATTGTTGTGAGGTGGTGACAGAGTTAGTAGTATCATGCCAGTGGGTAATGTTACAGTTCTATTCTTTTCTCTTTCACTTCTTCACTTATTCACATTATCACATATTCACAGAACATTCTACAACATTCTATCGTACGATTTCCTTTTCTCTTTTCTGATTCGCTATTTACTTTCCATCTCCGATTCATTCATTAAAGCTCCGCTTTAAACCCTTTATATATACTCTATCTCTTATGCTTGTATTCTTTAACTTGACCTACGCAGACCAGGGCCTGCAATATACTGCTTAACTCGCACGACTCGTACATAGGTGTACGCTTTAGACTCTTTGTGACCATTTAGTCGTTCTTACGAACGCCGAGCGTAACAAAAGGTCAAGTTAATTTCTACTCCACGGTTCCTTCGAACTCGTAACCAGACCAGAACCCAGAAGCTCCTCCCTTTGTGTAATCACAAGGGACGAGTAGAACCCAGACACCATACCACCGATCGCCCCGACTCCCCCTGGTTTTACCTGGGATGAAGAAGAACAAGAGTTCTATCAGATTGACGCCAAAGGCACCAGATACTCCATCGACCAGTGGGCAGCATACTACGCCAGTATCGCACCTAAGAACAAAGTTTGGAACTTTCATACCCAAACATACGAACGATCCCTTTCCGCTCCAATGCCTAAAGAAATCGGAAAGACCCCGGCACCCTTCAATGGCGACACCCGCCTTGCTCAGGGATGGACACTTCAAGTTGAGGCGTACCTAGACATGAATGATGAAGTATACGACAATGACAAGAAGAAGGTCATCTTTGCCCTCAGCCTTATGACTAAAGGAGAGGCAGCTAAATGGGCCGAAGGCCAGCTCAAAGCTGCGGCCACGAGCAAGAACTATGGAACGTGGTTAGATTTTGCTAAACAATTTAAATCTACCTTCTTTCCAAAGAACGTTGAACAAACCGCGATCCGTTGCATTTCCTCTCTCAGACAAACCGGCAGTGTAGCTGCATACGCCTCCCTATTTCGCACTATCCTCGCCAATACTGGTATCTCCGAGGAGAATACGAAGATCATGTTCTTCAGAAACGGGCTAAAGCGTGAGATAGTCTCCGCCATTTACGCCTTTGAAACAACTCCCACCACCATCGAGACGTGGCTAGAGAAAGCCCTAGACGTCGAGGTACGAAGGACCTTAATAGCACCTCCAACATACACCAAGGCGAAGGATCCTTACGCCATGGATATAGATAAAGTAGAAGTAGATGACGAAGAGGGAGAGAAGAGGACTAGAAAGACTTACTTAACTCCTCAAGAACGGGAGCGTAGGCGCAAGGGCGGCCTTTGCTTCAAATGCGGTAAGAAAGGCTTAGCCGCAGATTGCCCTAACCACCCCACGGTTACGACCAATACTAGGAAAGTAGTCAAGGAGTCATCTGACGACGACTACAAGGAATTCCAAGAGTGGAAGGCGTTCAAAGCACGCCAGATGAAGAAAGCCGGTAAGAAACCGGTTAGGAAGGAAGAAAGTAGCGATGAGGAGGATTTTGCGTAGGGGAGCCTGCCACGGTGTCAGAAACTCCCAGAATCGGACTTTTAGTACAGTCTATTGGTGATACTAATTCTATTCGTCTCCCGTTAACCATAAGATCGAAAAAAACCGAAAAAACCACCGTAGCCACCGCTCTAATTGATTGCGGCGCAGAAGGCGAATTTATCGACGAGAAATTCATACTCAAAGAGAACATTCGTACGCACAAACTTGAAACTCCGATACCTGTGCGAAACGTAGACGGCACGTTAAACAAAGCCGGAAGAATCACACGGTACTGTGAACTTTCCTTTTTAATCAAAGATATCCCTATGAGGAAGCGATTCTTTGTAACCTCTCTAGGAGGAGAAGACGCTATCCTGGGAATGACTTGGCTAAAGAAAGAAAACCCAGATATCGATTGGACTAATCAAGAAGTCCGCCTAAGGGAGCATACCCTCAAAAAAGCAACAATCGAAGAAATTGAAGAAGAAGACGTCTTTTACGACGCTCTAGAAGACTTAGAACCGGAATGGGACCCCGCTAACGAAACTCTCCCACATCTTCTAAATCCAATCAACGATGACGATGATTTTTATACCTATATTCGGAAAACTGACAACATCTCACAAACACTCGCCCAAGACGCCGTTAAACCAAAGAAGACTTTTGAAGAACTTGTACCCGAAGAGTTCCGACAGTATAAAGATGTATTTGGTGACGTAGCTAACGGTACCCTTCCCCCAGAACGAAAATACGACCACAAGATCGACCTCAAAGAATCCTTCGAACCGCGGAAATGCAAAATCTATCCGCTTAACGCCAAAGAAGAAAAGGCAATGAACGATTTTATTGATGAACATCTAGCTAAAGGAACGATCGTTCCTTCCAAATCTCCTCAATCCTCTCCATTCTTCTTCGTCGGGAAGAAAGACGGTTCCCTCTGACCCTGCCAAGACTATCGCTATCTGAACGAACACACGGTTAAGAATAACTATCCATTACCGCTAATCTCAGATCTTATAGATAAGCTAAAGGATGCCAAGATCTTTACCAAGATGGATATTCGATGGGGATATAATAACATACGTATGAGAAAATCTGATCAATGGAAAGCGGCTTTTGCCACTTCCAGAGGACTTTTTGAACCCACGGTTATGTTCTTCGGAATGTGTAATTCGCCCGCCACCTTTCAATCAATGATGAACGACTTGTTCGGAGATATGATTCAAGAAGGATGGATCATTATCTATATGGACGATATACTAATCTTTTCTAAAGACGACGAAACTCACCATATCCGTACTCACAAAGTACTTCAACGACTCCGTGACAACCTCCTCCACCTAAAACCCGAAAAATGCACCTTCAACGTAACCGATATCGAATACCTCGGTATGATCATCAAACCTGGTTCTATCACTATGGATCCCGCGAAGTTAAAAGGTATCTCCGAATGGAAGACTCCCACGAAAGTGAAGGAAGTCCGATCATTCCTCGGATTTGCTAATTTTTATCAACGGTTCATTGCCGATTACTCATCTATCGCTAGACCCTTGATCGATCTAACCAAGAAAGACGAAGACTTTACTTGGACACCCAAACGCGAGGAAGCTTTTAATAAGCTGAAGCGTATTTTTACCTCTTCCCCAATCTTACAGATACCCGACAAGAATTCTCCATTTGCGATAGCAACTGACGCATCGCTCTACGCTACCGGAGCTGTACTCCTTCAGAAAAACGACAATGGAGATTGGCTTCCTTGTTCCTTTTTATCTCAATCGTTTAACCCTGCTGAATGCAACTATCAGATTTACGATCGAGAATTACTCGCCATTGTCTGCGCTTTGAAAGTGTGGAGACATTATCTCCTTGGATCTCCATTCCCTGTAATCGTACAAACTGATCATAAAAACCTTACGTATTTCAGAGACGTTCAAGACCTTAACCGACGCCAAGCAAGATGGCAAACATTCCTTTCCCAATTCGAACTACAAATCCAACACGTACCTGGAAAAGACCTTACTATTCCTGATTTACTTTCTTGTAGAACGGATCACCTTCCGGTCGATAGTGATGAAAAGGACAATATTAGCATTCAACTTCTCCCTGACTCGATGTTTATTAACGTCACTGACACTTCATTTACGGACAGATTATGTATTTCATCTTCTATTGACCCCATAGTACATACCGCGCTTCAAGCGCTTACCGACCCCTCCATCCCTCCTCCTCTCCGATCAGCTCTTTCCGATTGGAAATTGAGCGATGGAATTCTTTCTTTTAAAGGACTCACTTACGTACCCCCAGGAGATCTCCGCCGAGAACTCACATCCTTACATCACGACTCCCCTACCGCTGGACACCCTGGACGTTTCAAAACCCAGGAACTCCTTTCTCGCGACTACTGGTGGCCAGGACTAGCTACCTTCGTCAAGAACTTCGTAGAAGGCTGTTGCATCTGCCAACAGAATAAAGTAAACACGCACCCTTCTACTCCACCCCTCCATCCTATTCCCGCTCCCATTTCCAATCGACCATTCGCACACTGCTCAGTCGATTTAATCACGGACCTTCCTTTCTCTGACGGCTTCGACTCTATCATGGTCATGGTCGACCACGGACTTTCGAAGGGGGTAATTTTCACCCCTTGTCTCAAGACCATTGACGCTGAAGGTGTAGCGAACATTTTCTTTTCTAAAGTTTTCTCTAGATACGGACTTTACGATAAAATTATTTCTGACCGCGGACCTCAGTTCGCTTCTAGATTCCAGATTGAACTCGGAAAACTCCTCGGATATAAGAACTCCCTCTCCACCGCCTTCCATCCTCAGAGTGATGGAGAGACCGAACGAGTAAACCAAGAACTTGAAGTCTACCTCCGGATCTTTTGCACTAATGACCAAGCCGGTTGGGCATCCATGTTACCACTAGCCGAATTCGTTCATAATTCGCGCCACCATTCAGCACGTGGTACTTCCCCTTTTTACCTCATGATGGGTTATCATCCATGCCATCTCCCTGATTCTCATCCGAAATCCGACATCCCTAATATTGAACAACGACTTTCCTTGCTTAGTAAAGCACGTGATGAAGCGCTAGCCGCTCATGAACTCGCACGTAACACCATGCGTCAACGAATTACGTCTAAATTCATACCATTCTCTAAAGGCGATAAAGTATGGCTCGAAGCCAAAAATCTACACCTCGGATACCCTAATCGGAAACTCGCGCCAAAACGCGAAGGACCATTCATAATCACCGATGTTCTTTCCCCTATCACTTATCGACTCGCGCTACCGTCACAATGGCGCATTCATCCTGTATTCCATGCCGCACTTCTCTCTCCCTATAAAGAGAACGATACCCACGGCCCTAATTATATCCCGCCTCCTCCTGACTTGGTTGACGGCGAAGAAGAACACGAAGTTGAAGCGGTCGTCGGACACTGCAGATCTTCATCTAGACGCCAATATTATGTAAAATGGAAGGGATTCCTGAGTTCCGAGAACGAATGGATGAAGGAAGCCGAACTAGGTAACGCTTCCGAACTTCTTACTAATTATAAACAATCGCATCGTCTTCTTTGATAGTAGTCGGTGCCTACTACCCTTACAACGGGGGTAATGTTACAGTTCTATTCTTTTCTCTTTCACTTCTTCACTTATTCACATTATCACATATTCACAGAACATTCTACAACATTCTATCGTACGATTTCCTTTTCTCTTTTCTGATTCGCTATTTACTTTCCATCTCCGATTCATTCATTAAAGCTCCGCTTTAAACCCTTTATATATACTCTATCTCTTATGCTTGTATTCTTTAACTTGACCTATGCAGACCAGGGCCTGCAATATACTGCTTAACTCGCACGACTCGTACATAGGTGTACGCTTTAGACTCTTTGTGACCGTTTAGTCGTTCTTACGAACGCCGAGCATAACAGGTAATATCATGCATAGTATTCACCTTATACTGAAGTTTGGAGACTCAGCTCCATGAGAATGGATGAGTGAGTGTTAAGAACCATGTTGCTCAAAGGAGGGAGACTGACTCAGAGGGGCTTGGCCTCAGCTTGTACACTGTGCCCCTTACCCAAGTATGTGCCCTTCATTTCGTATGAGGTCCAATGATGGTCCGATGAAGTCCAGAGGACTTCTGGAGGCTGGCTACTCTGCTGGAGAGCACTAGAGGACTTCCAGAGGAGCGCGGGAAACATCTGGAGTAGCGCAGGAGAGTTCCCACTGCAAGGTAATACTTCTACAGGAAACAGGATGGAAGGATAGGAGGACAGGAGGACAGGAGGACAGGAGGACAGGAGGACAGGAGGACAGGAGGACAGGAGGACAGGAGGACAGGATGACTGAAGGTACAGAGGGCAGGATGTCCAAAGGACAGGAGGATAGAATGTCCAAGGGTTAGGAGGATGGAACATCTGAAGGACAGGATGCCTGGAGGTACAAGGGACAGGAGGTCTGGAGGTCCGGAAGGAGTAGGGGCTACATCGGACGAAGTCCGATGTAGAAACAAACAGAGGTAGACTACCCTAAGGTAGAGTTGGAGAGACAGGAAGTGAACCAAAGTCTGGAAAGAGGGTAAGTGCTGGAAAGGCATAGCTCTGGCCTAGGGAATCAATCCCTAGGCCTGATGAGTAGGACAGACTTAGGTGGACCAAAGTCCGAGAGAGGATTGGGCAAGTCTAAGTTGATATTCAAACTAGGGAACTACAGGAGTATCTACAGGGGTTATATACTGAACAATATCTGAGGGGATCAGTAAGCAAAGGAGCAAGGCTATGTACGAGCATGTGGAAACACATTAGTAAGTAAGACGGAACATAAGTAAATGAACTCGGAGATGAAGACTTGTACAAGGATCAATAAGCAAGACGGAAGAAGAGGTAACCAAAAGCCAGAAAGCAGAGAATGCCTAAATGGGGATAGGCGCAGGATATCAGACAGAGGGTGGGAATAGGTCCGGAGCTAATATCCGGAGGTCCAGAGATCTGGGGATCCAGAAGACAAGGTGGATACAGGACTGGAATACAAGAAGGTGGATATAGTTCTGGAATCTGAGATGAGGTGAAGTCTGGATATCTTGCTGGATGAAGTGCACATAGGGTGGACAGGATAGGGTTGTACAGATCAGGCTAGCAGTGAGGATCCGATGGTCCGGAGCTCAGGGGTAAATCTGGAGCATAGTCAATCCTGCTGAGGTGTGGAGCACAGCAGAAGGGGATCTTGGAATGAGCTGGATATGATGTGGGGTCCGGATGTAGGCTCGGAAGGCGTGGGAATATGATGGAACATGGGTCCAGATTGTGGGATATGACAGTGAGACTGTTCTTGAGGACTGTAACATGTTTTGGGTCAACTCTTACATTGATAGACACACTTTCTCGATATTCAGATAATACTCAGTAATTCTCTTCTGTTTCAAAACAATTTAATATTGCTGCTACATGGTTATCTACTTTGTTTCTAAATAAGAGTGATTAAGAAAAATTATATGAAGTTTCAAAATCACTCGATTTTAGCCCAGGAGGCTTTTCCTGATGCAGTCTTGGCCCTCTTGGGTCTGCAGCATATCTCTCCCACCCTGGGTCTGCAGCCAGCCTCTCCCACCCTGGGACCACAGCCAGTCTCTCCTGCTCTGGGTCTGCAGCCAATCTCTCCTGCACTGGGTCCACAGCCAGTCTCACCCACTCTGGATCTGCAGCCAGTCTCGCCTACTCTGTGTTTTGCAGCCAATCTTGTCCATTGGAGGCATCCAGCCAGTCTCTTCCTCCCTGAGTTTGTAGCCAGTCTCTTCCAATCTGGGTCTGTAGCCAGTTTTGCCCGCTGGAGGCATTCAGCCAGTCTTGCCCACCCTGGGTCTGCAGCCAACATCTCCCACCCTGGGTCCAGAGCCAGTCTCTCCCACTCTGGGTCTGCAGCCAGCCTTGCGTGCTCTGAGTCTGTAGCCAGTCCTGTCCGCCAAGGGTCTGCAGCCAGTCTTGCCCATTCAGACCATTAAACCAGTCTTGTCCAGCCTGGGTCTGCAGCCACTCTCTACTGTCCAGCCAGTCTCACCAGCTTCCTGGCTGCACCCACTCTTGCCTGCTCTGTGTATTCCACCATGCTTGCCCATGTCAGCTGCCTGGCCACTCTCCACTCTGTGGCTGTGGTATATCTCCCCTAGCTTTGACTGGCAGCAGCATATTGACCTCGCCCTGCGGCCAGGCTTGCCTGCCCTGATTCCCCAGCCACTCTTGCTCATTTGGTAGCAGCGGTACATGTGGCCTAGACATGACTGACGATGGATCTTCCTTATCCAGAGTCTGCAGCCAATCTTGCCCATCTGGAAGCTGTAGCCAGTCTTGTCCCCTTGGCATCTGCAGCCAGTTTCATCCCCCCAGTGTTTGCAGCCAGTCTTGCCCACCTTTTCACAGCCACTCTCATCCGCTCTTTGTCTGCAGCATATATTGTCCCCCCTGAGTCTGCAGCCACTCTGATGATACTTTGCTGACATCCTTGACTTGCTGCACTGAATGTTGAGTAGCATCAGCCTAGAATGGTAATGAGATCAAAATCAGATGGTTTTTTTTATAGACATATAATATACATTGGGCAACAGCTTGTAACCATCCTGCAGGAAGTGCACTCAGTTCCTTGAACATAGATGCAATGAGAAGAGCTATCAAAACTCACATTTAAATTCAGGAGGAGGCCAAACCTGTGGGCTGCTTGAGGGGAGGTGTCTCTAATGACTGTCCATGCGTACACATTATGGTCATGACAGCCAGTGGCTACTAGCTGTCCATCTGCTGAAAATGACACACAGGACACTGCATCTGCATGCTTGATGGGCGAACTGATTGGCTGGCCATTGTCAAGGTTCCATAATTGTGCTGTCTTGTTGTGCAATGTGCTTGCTAAGATGCAATCATACACTGCAATGGCATTGACACCAGCAGAGTGCTCATCCAGACAGATGATCTGCTCCCATGTGGAAGTGTTCCATATCCTAATCCAGTGATCAGCTAACCTGGATATAAGCTCCACACCCCAGGTCAGGCAGGACACTGTGTCTGTGTGTCCTTTGAGAGTGGTAACCAGCTCTCCTGTCATGGCATCCCAGACCTTGACTGAACAGTCCCTGAGTCCAATAGTCGAAGACTCATCAAATCCAGCAGTCACAAACATATTTGTGTCTGGCAAATAGACAACTGCCTCCACCCTTGTGTGTCTGGTCTCAGTTAATGCAAGGAGAGTCTCTCTGTTTTCCACATTCCATTGCCATGCAGTACCATTGAGGGATCCGCTCACCACTTGAAGCCCATCCTGATGCCAGCAGACAGATGTCACAAGCCCTTTGTGACCAGTCCATTTATTGATAACCTTGCCTGTGTCAATGTTCCACAACCTCACTGCACCATCTTTGCTCCCACTTGCTAAGTTCTCCCCATCTGGAGACAATGCAATTGTGTGCACATCGCTTTCTATGTCCCACCAGTTGTCCCCTATCTGCTCTCCACTCTTCAAGTTCCATACTTGCAGTGAGCCATTGATCAAACAAGTGATAATCCACTGTCTGTCAAGCAGGTGCACTACATTGGAGACAGGTTTGGTATGTCCTTCAAATTTCTGGCAGGGAATTATCATTAACATCTCGGGAGTCTCAATGTTTGATGAAGAGAAATTTGAAGGCAGTTGCAATCGCAGGGACATCTTTGGTATCAGACTTGTCACAGAATGGGGTGCTACCTGGAACACCAGCAACAATCTGGGGGTAGGCAAAGACATGATGATTACTTGATATGACTGCTGTTTCAAAATTTATCCACTAACTTAGGGTCAAGGTCATCACTCACAGGTGTTTTGTTGGCACACTATGAATGGAATGAACAATACATGGAGGTTGAACGATGGAAGTTCGAGTTTGTAAGTATGTTATTTATTCATGTTATCTTCTTGTCTGCCACTGGATGATCAAATCATAAGTAGGCTGTGTATCAATGTACCTCAAAGCGCCTAACCTTATTGGTGAGATTTATGTATTTGGGTACCTGACCCGATTGCTGTACATGAATGGGCAGTAATTCATTCTTGCTGACCTGTACATATCTTCTTGATCGTACAGCATCAGCAATGTGTATATCCAACATCAGCAAATCCAAAATCCAGAAACGAGCCTTTGAGGTGCTGTTTGGGAACTATATTTAGTCGGTGTCAGCTCATGCACCTTTTTAGTCATTATTGCACCTTAGGTGACTCGGCTCCAGTGCAATACAATCTGCAACCACAAAAAATGGGCAAGAAACAATAAATAATATATTGTAAACCTATCTATACAGATGAATGTAAACTACAACCCTAAATCTGCCTCACCACGCGCAATGATTAGATTACATAGAGAAACATACTATTCTCTCAGTGCATCATCAAGATGGATTTGTCTTATCAGCACTATGATAGAATTATAGATATCATAAAACTGTTCAGCGGATGTGTCAACATTTTCATATGTACCCTCATGATATGCCTTGATGGCATTGTGAACTGCAGCCCCCGCAAGACCAAAGACACAGTCAAGATTCTCCAAGTTGATGTCAGGATATAGCCCTTCCTGCCATATGACATCTACAATCATGTTCATTAAGTACTTGGCCTCCAAAAAATGTGTGGTTTCGACCCCATTGACCTATCAGTGTAATAATAAGTTGCTTTAATGTCACATGACGAGACACTTACTATTTCAATCTTGTGCAGGAAGTTGAGTCCAGAGGAGAGGTACCCTTGTGCTATGCCAGCCCTCTCCATGGGTGGGAGGCATAAATTCAAAGCATCTAGAACATTATGTGAGGCATATGTCTTGAATAGTCTCCGCATATGTGACATTGACATCACCATCTCTTTGCGCACTTTCGGTATCTCAAATGATTCATAGGGAACTAAATATGTATATATATATCAGCGATGTTCTTCATACAATCGTTAGTACTCACCTTCTCCGATTGTGTTGATTCTGGCATCCTGCAATGCATTCGAAATATGTGCATCTCATTGCCTGTGCATCAATGAAATGCCCTCTGTTTGCAACATCATGCAATGGAGAAGCATTTTTGCCTCAGTCTTGATTGCCTTGATCTCGTCCTTTTTGAGTTTGACAGGTGCTACCAGACTAGCTGGAGGATTAGCTGCAGATGATGGAATCTCTATCTGTGCTGGCCTGGGTGCGGGTGTGGGAGGGAGATGTTGTTCAATAGTGCATGGTTGGCCAACTGAATGTGTCGTCTGTAGCTCCTAGCCAAAGTAATTAGTATTAGCCATAAAAAAGAAAAAGAAAACATACATGAATTACACCACCACTAAATTTGCCCTGCTGAACCTCTCATTCACGGGGCAACACAACACCTACTATTGTTGGTGTTGGTGCTGGTGCTGGTGCTGGCGTTGGTGCTGGCACCAACGCTTGCCCTGGCCCTGGACTGGGTGCACACAGTGCAGTGGCATCTCCAAGGTCCAATAGCGTATGACGCGCCACCCCAGAGCCTCCAAATTCGAATAAATCATGGTATTGAGGCTCCAGCTGATTGTAGAGGTCGTCTTCCTGATCAAAGAGCTGATTGAAGAAGTTGGGCTGGGGAACGTGATCATTAGGGTGGGGAGGGTGATTGTTGAGCTGGGGAGGGTGGTAGTCAGGCTGGGGGGGTGGTAGTCAAGCTGGGGAGGGTGGTAGTTGAGCTGGGGAGGGTGGTATTCAGGCTGGGAAGGGTGATAGTCAAGTTGGGGAGGGTGGTAGTCGAGCTGGGGAGGGTGGTATTCAGGCTGGGAAGGGTGATAGTCAAGTTGGGGAGGGTGGTAGTCGAGCTGGGGAGGGTGGTATTCAGGCTGGGAAGGGTGATAGTCAAGTTGGGGAGGGTGGTAGTCGAGCTGGGGAGGGTGGTATTCAGGCTGGGAAGGGTGATAGTCGAGTTCGGGAGGGTGGTAGTCAGAGCCCGTGTATGTAGCCATTGACATACAGTGGCTCAAAAAACTGTCCACATGTTTTTGCATTTTTTACTATTTACAATATTGTGTGAGAATACATAAAGACCTCAGTGACATGCTAATACCATATTGTAGTGCTGCTTCAGGGCTTTGGATTGAGCACCACATCGTGAGAATCAGAGGAGATATGGTGGAGATACAAGGCTTACAAAATCATAACTCATGCGGACAGTTTTTTGAGCACATATTAAAACTATATAAATCATCATTTATGACACCATAACAATCATGCCACCATTAAATAAATTATAAAGTGGTGTCATTATGTCATTTTAAAACCATATCTAACTATACAAACCAAAAATTTCCATATGTCATGGTTATATTCACCGTGAAAGCCACCCCCCCTGCTCAAAGGGATAATATCCTCTCTCTTTCCTATTCTGGCCTCTCTGCTTGTCAAATTTCCTCTAGAACTGGAGTATCCAAGTCCACTGTGGCCAAGTTCATCAAAGAAAGTCACACAGACAAGGAAAACTTCTGTGAAGGGTGTCCATCCAAGCTCACCTCTACTGATAGGAGGGCTATTATTCAACATATCACTACAGGAAAGGCTGATAATGCTGTCCAGGTCACCTATTACATCAATTCCACCATCACATTCCCTGTCTCTTCACACACTGTGAGAAACATTCTCAAGACAGCTCATCTCAGGTCAGTAACAAGGAAGAAAAGGCTCTCCTCTCTATCACACATATGCAGAGAGGACTAGCACCCTTCTTGTTTCACATATATACCTTGCCATCTGACCCAATCCTATTTATTGTGGTCTTATATGATCATATAACATGCTTCCAGTCCATGTAATCCAATTCTGATGGGCTAAGGCAAAGGTTAGTCATCTCTGCATATGTGTGATAGAGAGGAGAGCCTTTTCTTCCTTGTTACTGACCTGAGATGAGCTGTCTTGAGAATGTTTCTCACAGTGTGTGAAGAGACAGGGAATGTGATGGTGGAATTGATGTAATAGGTGACCTGGACAGCATTATCAGCCTTTCCTGTAGTGATATGTTGAATAATAGCCCTCCTATCAGTAGAGGTGAGCTTGGATGGACACCCTTCACAGAAGTTTTCCTTGTCTGTGTGACTTTCTTTGATGAACTTGGCCACAGTGGACTTGGATACTCCAGTTCTAGAGGAAATTTGACAAGCAGAGAGGCCAGAATAGGAAAGAGAGAGGATATTATCCCTTTGAGCAGGGGGGGTGGCTTTCACGGTGAATATAACCATGACATATGGAAATTTTTGGTTTGTATAGTTAGATATGGTTTTAAAATGACATAATGACACCACTTTATAATTTATTTAATGGTGGCATGATTGTTATGGTGTCATAAATGATGATTTATATAGTTTTAATATGTGCTCAAAAAACTGTCCGCATGAGTTATGATTTTGTAAGCCTTGTATCTCCACCATATCTCCTCTGATTCTCACGATGTGGTGCTCAATCCAAAGCCCTGAAGCAGCACTACAATATGGTATTAGCATGTCACTGAGGTCTTTATGTATTCTCACACAATATTGTAAATAGTAAAAAATGCAAAAACATGTGGACAGTTTTTTGAGCCACTGTAGTTGATGAACAGTGAAGGTTTTTGGGGGCCTCTGGCCGATCTTCAGTGAGGCCAAGCTGGGTCACAATATCCCAACCCAATGCATTTATATCTGAATTTCTTTTTGGTCAGGGAGGTTCCTAAACATTGTGTCAGTGTGTGCTTTGGATATAGTTCAAACACTTACCCTGTTTCTGTTGGATGTTTGTCTTGCTTGTTGTGAGTGTTTTCGTGGGGGCATTAGTCATGGACAGTCATCTTCCTATCTGTTTACAAATAAAATCACTTGCCACATTGGATTCATGCATAATTGAAGGGCACAACAAATGTATAAATCATATACATAAAATGTACAGATGAGATCAATAACAGGTCATAGGGGGCAATAATACAATCAAGATTTGAATCGAACAATGTAAAATGAAGGCTGCACTGTACATGTATCATCAATAAATCAGTACACAAGGTAGATTGAAGTAGGGTCTCACACTCTTCCTATTCATTGATAAGGCTGCATGCCCTAAATTCTCATTGTTCTGATCGATAGATTAGGCTATCATCAGACTCTGCATCACTGTGAGAGTCTGATGGTTTGGTATCGCTGCTGTTTGGGAAAGGGGTGGCACACTTTCCAGCATGAGTCATGAATTGGTCGTATTGCTCACTGGCAACATCATAGTGGTCCAGTTCCTCTGCAAAGACTGCCTCAAGGTAGTCTTTGTCATCCTCCAATGCTGGGAGCCCCTGGGCAGTAATGAATCCCTTGAATATCTCCATTTCTGTCTCCACCATCTTGAATTCACCTTCTTGCTCCTGTTGGAGAGATTTCAGGAAAGATTTTTCCCACCTATTACATTCAAGCCTCCAGGTGGTGTGCATGAGCTGGTGTCAGAGGTCTTCCCTGGTGGCTTGTTTCACACAAACAGCCTTGTAGAAGGAATCATCGGACATGAGAGATAAACCTCTTTGGAGAAGTTCCATGCCCTGTATATTTTATTAGTCACAATACATTAAGTTCAAAAAAAAAACTCTAACCTCATGTAAGTCTTGAAGGTTTAAAGCTTTGCATGAGCTGTCAAGAGTTTGCTTCTTTGTGAACTGGAGCTCATAGGGGGGGGAGTGATGGACAAGGTGTGGCCTGTACCGGGCATGCAACTGTTCATGAAAGCAAGAAATACAATCTTGCTTCATAAATGGTCATACTAAGGAGAGGCCGCAGCTACCACTGCAGCTACATTGAGCTCGTTTCCCCGAATGACTCAAGTGATCAAAGTCCAAGGAAGAGGTGACACTGGACTGTTTCAAAGATCTAGGAGGGGATAGCAACATGGAAATAGACTGTGTAGAGGGGGATAGGTCGACACAAGTTGAGCTCATAGTCTCAGAGTCAGACAGAGGAGGTGTAGACCTCTCAGAGAAACCATCCATATTGATGCTTGTAACATCAATATCCTGGCTGGTATGAAGATGAATGACACATACCACTATTTCCTAGCTAATCTGAGAGGGAGATTACAATGTGATGGGAGTATGTGCCAACCAGAGGGCGGAGTTTGAAGGACTTGGACGTTTTTCTTGCTGTGTCGATACTTGCTGAGCTGTTACCACTGGTATGGAGGTCAATAATTCCACTGTATTGTCCAACCTTCAGGGAGGACAATCTGGACAATTCATTCTTGATAACAATTTGTAAGTTTTATGTCCTGAATGTACTCACCATGGTAAGCATCTGAATCAACTGGCAGATCATCTTCCACAAAATGCCCTCAGTGCCTAATCGATCTGCCCTCCAGTGAGGCAATAGTAGAACACCTGCAGCAAGGCAATGGTTGCTGGCCTCAAATTGAAAATTGTCATATTCCTGTTCTACCCGCATTCCTTCATTCTGCCTTGGAAGCAGGCAAAGACCATGTCTTGGGACAGTACCACCCATCTTCTGGTTATATCTTTGGCAAGGTGCCAAACATCCTCAAGGCCATTGAAAGTGACCAATTTGCTTACCGGCGAGTGAACACTCCATTTTACCCCTTTCAAGACCAAGCAGAGTTTGAACTTGGCAAATTCCTCTGCGAGTGGCTCACACAAAGTGATGTTGACTGATTTCTCAAACTCGAATGGGTCTGTTTGGTGTGAAATTCTTCTATCCACACATAGGACTAACTTTCAGCACACAGGTATGCTGAGCTAAACCATTGTTTGGCTCAAAAGACCAGCTGCTTGCATGGATGGGTTCTCTTCCCACCAGACCAAAATGGTGTTCAATGACACTTGAAATAACAAGCTATCCAACTGTCCAACCAGTACAGCTCATCTGGTGTGATGGCTTAGAAGTAGTGGAAGATCTCTTCACCAATCCAATTTTCGTAAACCACATGACATATGACCCACACATCGTGGTTGATGGTGATGAGCATGAGTATAGTGAATATTTTACAGTGCGACAAGCATTCAAGATTCAGGTAAAATCCCACAACTTACTTACAGTGATTGACTGATGCTTTGGTACAGGACCAACTTCCCAAAGGTGCTACCATAGTTCCAATAGTCATTGCATCTGACAAGACACCCATAACATGGCACACTGGAGGGCTTGAAATGCACCCTATCTTCGTCTCAATTGCTAATATTCAGTCTGATGTACAGATGAGAGTAATGAGTCATGCTTGGCAATGTGTTGGCTTCATGCCAATTCCAAAATTCGCTGACATCCATTCTGACTACCAAATTATTCTAAGTCAATGGCTGTTTCATAAGTGCATGGATATTATCTTCCAAATGCCAAGGTTGCAGCCATGACAGGCAAATTTATGCCTGATCCATCTGGCCATGTACAACACTGCTTCATGCCTCTGGCTGCTTACACTGCAGATTTGCCAGAACAGCAAGTGATCACATGTGTCTCGAAGGTCACTTCTCCTATTATGTTGGCCACCTCTCAATCCTTTGGCGACAACTATCGCCACGCACCATGCACAAAGGAACATGCCCTTTCAGTGATATACGACATCTGTCAATGCATTGATCCGTGGAGGTTACACGAATTCCAGGAGGAAGCGAAGGCTCATTCATTAAGTGGTGTTCACCAACCATTTTTGCAGAACTGGCAGTTCACAGATCCTTCTCACTTCTTAGCAGGAGAAGTTCTCCACACCTGCCATAAATTCTTTTTTGATCATCCATTCAAGTGGTGCAAAGAACTAGTGGGTAAGGACAAACTCGATGCCCAATTCAAAAGTCACCACAAGCGAGTAGGAATGTGCCATTTTTCATCTGGAGTGTGCCAGATGAAACAAATGACTGGCCAAGAACACCAGGACTTGCAATGCACCTTGGTGCCTTCCATTGCTGGGGTTGTGCCTCCCCAGTTTGTCCATGCGATCCGCACTTTGATTGACTTTGTTTACAAGGCTCAAAGCCCTGTTTATACAGATACCTCCATTGATTCCATGGTTGCATCTCTCAAAGAGTTTCATGACCATAAGCAAGCAATTCTTGATGCAGGAGCTAGACGAGGCATGAAAGGAACGATTGACCACTTCCTCATCCCAAAGCTGGAGCTTTTACAGAGCTTCACTATGTTCACAAAGGATATAGGTGCTCTCATTCAATGGATGGCTGATGTCACTGAGCACCTTCTCATCACTCATTGCAAGCTTCTGTTTGAAAGGACATCCCGCCAGTCACGCACATTTACAGAGCAGATTGTCAATATTCTCAACCATGAGGAGTCAATGCGACAATTTCAGCTGTATCTCTTCCTATGGATGCACAACACCCCCCTCACCAATGCTATAGTCACTGTTACGAACTAGGATAGTCGCAACAACCAGCTGCTCAATAAGAGTGACGGCTGACGTTGAATCAAGACCTCACAAATGTAAGGCTTCTTAAGACAAGTCAAAGAGAGTGTCTTTGACTTGAATATCAGTATCCAGACAACTTAAGATTGGGGGTCTTAAGCGAAGGAAGTTCAGGTATAACCTAGTAAGATTAAAGTGAAGATCTACTAAGTACATGACCGAGTTTATATAGACGTAAGTACTTCAGGGCAGGTAAGCATACATCAGTGACAAGTCAGAGATAAGGGTGAGTCACCTAGCGACAGCAGCAGCGATCATGGTGTAATACAGATTAGTCAAGAGATGAGTCTAGTGATGGCACGATAAGAAGTAGCGCGGTCATGACGTAATACAATGGAAGTAAGGAAAATGAATAAGGGTATGCTTAACTGTAACAGTCACAGAAGAGCAAGAGATCACCAAAATCAACCCTGCCCTTGCATGGATCACCCGCATCGCACCTGGTGATCCCAATCAGTGTTGTTTCATTGGACCCCGTCTGGTTCAAAACCATTTTCTGAAGGGCATACTGTCTTCCACTGCAACAACTGCCTTCCATGTTACCATCGCTCCTGATAGAGCCAAGATGTCTATCAATGAAGTTCAGCAACTCTATACATTGCCAGATTTTGGATGATTACTATCCAATTACATCACGAAGGCCTCTAATGGCCAACCTGCAATGTCATGGAGCTGTGATCATGGTTGTGTTAAGACTTTGAACAAGTTTCAATTACAGCTGCATTCCATATTTCACTCACGGCTGATTATGCCTAGTCAGGTCATTCAAGCCAGTCCACCTTCACAAATATTTCCTCTGGGAAATTGTGATGCAGTTATCGTGCAGTCATCACATGGCGACCAGACGGGTAAGATTTATTTTATGCAACTATATATCACTAATTGAAGTTTATGTAGTAAATCTTATTGCACAAGTGCAAGCTATCTTCCAGCCCATTCCACCTCATCACACCACACTTCCCCACTACCTTGCAGATCAACCACTGATTTATGTACAATATTATGAGGTCGTTGGTCATCTGTGTGATCAGCCTGCCATCAGCATGTGTATGGTAGCCCGAAAATATCATGATGGGCCTGGCAGTCAGAGGATGAGATTGGGCGTGGTTATCCCTCTAACAGATGTTACACATGCAGTAGAACTTATCCCTAAGGAACTAACCATAGAGTGGGTGCAGAAACTAGCATGGAGGTGTACAAGTGCTTTTACTTGAATAATTTCTCGGACAAGGAAGTGTATCATACCTTGCACTCAGACTTGCACTAGTTACATTTTTTGTTAGCTTGCAGCTCACCTGCATTATGTTTTCTGCTTTATCTATCTTCAGTGGAATGTGAGAGATTACATGTAATCAAAATGTTCGATTCTCCATCTCTCGTAAGTTTAGAATAGTGAAATAAAATGATACCAAAGAAATAAAATAACAACTGTAAAAGCATCTCCACCAATCGCGTGAGTGTGCTACTGAAGTTGTAAGTGTTTGTAAGTGTCCGTAAAGTGCTTAAGCTAAGCGTTCATTTCAGTGGTTTTGCAGATGAAACACTATCTACTGCACACCGTATTCACTACCTCTCAATGTCCTAGCTTTATCTCCTATTGCACATGTAGTGGCGCGAGTGGCCTTTCGTAGAGGGTGCTTGAATTATCAGAAGCAAGTGAAATGATGGAATAACGGGAAGATCCGGGCCATCAATACTTACACATTGATGAGGCAAGCGTAAGTAAGTAACGTAATGTCCGTGAGACTTGGCCATTCAAGAGTTCTTTGTACAGGAGTCGTCCTCGATGATTGTCAATATGCCTGGAGGACATCACACTCGCATGTTCATTGCCTGGCTGAGGCTCTCTATCAGGACCACCGTATCTTGCTCGTATACGAGTCTCCTCGCCTTCCTTCTGCGGCTAATCCAACGCTGTCAGGTCTTTGTTGGGGGAAAAGAGGGAACTTTTCGAGATCCGAGTTTAGCATTCAGCTCTCATCCGGCCGACCAAGAGAAGAAGACCCATGGGACCCTCGCAGTACCGTTGCTTAAAGTACCTCTGCAAAATGAAGGGCCGAATCCCTTAGCTTCCAATAACCAGACTTTCCCGACCGAGCCGACCACTTCTGTGCCATCGACACCAAGCTCGCCCTATCCTGCGGCGCCAGGGCAACTCTTTGATATCACTCTAACTCCCATCATACCTGGACAAATAAAGAGATACGAGAGGAATAAATTGTATGCAAAATATATCTGTCGGACGCATTACCATCTTAACCCCGTTATAAATCATATCGACAGTCAAGATCACAATGAAGATTTTGAGATTCAGAAAGGTCCTTTGGACTGTTCAGAGTAAGCATGCTGGTGACAGAGCACTCGATGAGATTGAAAGGGGCTGTCAGGGAGCTCGCTTCGGTGTCAGGATGGGAGCTGCTCACGCACCCAGAAGGCGCTTTGTTTTTCTATCACTCGAGTGATGTATGTCCGGCTGCTCCTGCATGAGTTTGCTCATATCTCCGTCCAGCGAGTTTTCACTGATGTTGATGTCCGAGACCCTGGAACTGCGGTCACAATATGTACAATGGGTGAGGTTGTTAAGCAGGCGTACGAAGAAGCCCGCAAGGCAGATACCTTTCATACGTCTGTCGAACTCACCTTGGAGCGCGTGGAGGTGGATGGGGAAAAGAAGTGGGGCTACTACTTTGCCGATCATGACAGACGTGTCATTTTCTGGCTAGAGCCCCACAAATCTAAAGATCTTTTGGATAATGTTCGAGGAGTAAAATGGAAAAGCCATGTCAGTGAGTTTATTCCGTCCGATATTCATCCGAGCTTCTCCCATTGTATCACTCCCAGGGTATGCACTAGAATCACAGTACTGGTTCGTACGGTCTCAGAAGTATGCATGTTCCCTTACCGACCGAAGTAAATGTGCTGATAATGTGTAACAGTCCTTCTTACCTCCTATTGTTACACATTATCATCATCTCGACAGGATGCATGTTGAATCGTTTCCAAACAAACGCTTCCTTCCGGAAGATGTCCTCGTAAGACTTAAGGAAATTGTTATGTTTACTCAGGCAGGTGGGTAAAGACTAAAAATCATCTGTGACGTACCGGAATGATTCGTAATAGACAGTATCACTTCTGAAAAATGCCTAGCACCTTATGCTTCGGACGAGGTTTCAAGTATGCTCGGCCTTATGGATCCTCTCATGAGTAAATTATTTCTTGATATGAGAGGTCGTCGCTGATCATCTGTTCAGGCAGTGTTGACAAGGAGCATGAGCATTCTGTGTGGATCGTCGGTAAGTCTAAACACGGAAGCTCTGTTGATTGTTTCTGATACCTTTGTTGATAAAATCAGCTCGGTTTATGGGAGATTTCTGTGAGCTCAGGTTAGATGCGAGTGCAGGCTTTCTGTCTAACTACTTGATTAGGCAGCGACAAGTTTGCAAACTTCTGCGGACAGCCGGGCGCCCGACTTGACTCAGACCAGTCGTTATACGACGATTCTATTCCCCGCCCGAAAAGCATCCTTTTTCGCTTCATGAACGTCATTCTGTTTGGATCCCCTGATGCTCAAAGCAAGGCCCTTCACAAGATATGGGTCGATTACACCATTGTTCAACGGCGTTGGAAAAACTTTATTAACAGGCTTAATAATGAATGGAACGGATACACGATATTCGTGAGTTGTACTTTTACTTCATATCGTCAATGCATTCGATGTCCGTCCCAGTCTACCGTGATGCTTGCTGTTGACATCAGTTTTATGGCAGTTCCATCTGTTCAGAATCAAGCGCCTGTAATCATTGTATTGTATATGTCTACCCTCTGTGCCTTGGGCTCGTTAGTGGTTTCACTAGTCCTGGCCGGACAAGTCAATGACAGTCGGCGGGACTCCGCTAAAGGCGTGGTATGTTCCCTGTTCATCATTCGATTGATTTGAGTTGCATTCTTTACTCCCACTAGGCCTCATTCATGGTAGAAATGTCGCATTCTATACTCGGCCTCGAGAGCCTTGCCCTCATGCTCAGTCTGCCGTATGCTCTTTTGATTTGGGGGTACGTTTCTACTTGCGCAGATGAAGCGGTGACTTACTCTTTGACAGAATGGTATTCTTTGCTGCAGCCTTGTCCGTTGTGATTTACCGCACTTCCGACGTTGTCACCATCTCGGTCGTCTCTCCAATCTGGACCGCCATATTTATCCTGTCGACGTGGCCGGTACTAGCTGCTAATAATATTCATGTATCCCACCTGAGTTCCTGGGTCGCAGGACAGATGTCGTATTTCAGATCATTGTGGGTCGCCACCAGGTCTCATTCCTAATCTGTACAATTACGTCTGGTGTTTGTTTTATGTGATACCTGTCTCTTCCTGGATATTAACACGTTATACACAGTCCTGTGCGTTTACGAATGAACGCGACGCTTGCAAGTTGTCCTACCCCTCCATCAGCCACAGAAATGTACACCATTGGTATTATAAGGAACGTTCACGGGTTTCCCTTGTGTTTGCTCGTTGCTATTTTCGACGTCTGTTTTGCGAATTTCTAGAGGAAACAGGTGCTAGCTTCATCTTCAACATTTCTGACGCAAGTGGGGGTTTCGGCCTTGACCTCAGGCCTAGTGTAAGCAGTTAAGATTGTTGTCCCTTAACAGTTGCGCCAAAAGGCAGTGATAATCAAAGCTCACACTTGATTATCGCGGCCAGTAGTTATGCTGAAAAGCATCGGTGGAGAGCACATGCGCACGGGCGCATTTCGTACTAATCCCTTCTCCACCGACATATTTCACTGTACTGCACACATCGCGTTCACTTTGAGGTCTAGGCGGTGCGGAGGTGTATTTGGATGGGTGAGCATGGTGAGGTGATCAGGAGTTTGTTCAGGCGCATCAGCTGGCTCTTGATCAGCTTCTTTAAATATGTCTGAACAGAAGTAAGATTCTTTTTTCTTCTTGAAATCAGACACTGCAAACGGGCATGACGGTAAATTCACCGTAGTCCCCTGGCATGCTTCGAGAACGACGTCCTTGAACTCGTCTACGAATATGAACCGTCATCAGAGAACCGGTGAGAAGAAGATCTTGTCATATATCGTTATCTACATGTCGTCGAATATGCGCTCGATCACCTGAAACTGGAGCGCTAAACATGTCGTCAGCAATAGGAGTTCAAGTGGAGCATAAAAGGGGCTCCAGTGGAGCGTGCGCATAGCGGCTACGCGAATTGGTTCCGTGGGATCAAACGCTCCATTGTTACAATCAACGGGCTTCCACCTAGGCTCGAGAACAGCCTGGTTTATACGACCAGCAAGTCGAGAGGCGTCATCATAAAAACACGTATTTCTTGCATTGATGCTTCAAAAGGTAATGCAAGTGGGATGAGAGACATGCACAAATTGGAGAAAAGCAACAAGGATGAACGACAGTGTACCAAGCACAACCATCAGACGATTCATCGGAACCGCGGCAGATGCTCCAGCAGATATAATGGCGGATGCAATGACGGGCACGATCTTTAAAGCGAACACAGTTTGTTTTGTAGCAGTGGGTGGTGGTGAATTTGACGACGGTGATGGCAATGACAAATATTGTAGTGTCCTGCGGAGTTATAATATCGGTGTGTCGATCATACGCTTTGAACACATCCCCAACACATTCAGATGTAAATTTAGCGCCTCATCACTTAACCGTGGGTCCCCATAGTAGGAGCTCAGATTCGAATGTTTTTCATTATACGTGAGCGATATATAGACAGTATATATATACAACCTACTGGACAACGGGGAGAAAATAGACATCCTGTTGGACGTGGGTCAAGACATGAGTGATCCTATGACTGATGATCCGACAATGTAATGCAGTGTATGAGACGAAGAACAATTGGTGTTGGAATAGTGATGTAGTACCAGATGAAGATGAACGCGAGTAAGAGAGAAGGGACTAGAGGGTGGTAGGCTCGTGCACTACTGAATATCAGGGGATCTAGTGGTGGACACACAGCAGACACAAGACCAAAAGCGAGTGCAGCACCCAGCCTCTCTTGTAGAACCGTCAAGGGTACCTGGTACGTCTATGGGAGTGATAATTGCAGGACGGGGTGTCAGTGGTGAGGTTGTAGTGGCATCTGCTGCCTGTGGGCGCAATAACGGCAATGACAGTGCCCCGCCTTGATTTGGGTGTTGCTTCAGTTGTCCTTTGGAGGTAGCTTTAGTGTTCGGTACCGGAGCGACATATAAACGCTTTGGGATAAATGAGTATAGGAAGGAAGAGAGTGGGGGGGAACAAACCGATTTGCGTTGACCAACAGTACGAGCACTAGGAGCTCGTCGAGAGAAAAACCCTAACCATGGGCGTGGCGAGAGGTGTGGCTCGACATCAGGATCGAGCCGTGAGCGGCGAAAGAAGGATGAGAAGCGGTGCGAGGTAGAAGATGGCACCAAGGTGGCAAACTCGTGTGTGGAGGAAGTCGGGAGATGGTCTAGGGCGGGGACTGAGGTAGCATAGATAGGTTGATGTGTTGGAGGAAACTGAAACTAAAAACAAGTTAGAAGAAAATCAACCGAAATGTGGGGCACGCACATCGACGCGATCTGGGGAATCGCCGACAATCTCTGGCGGGACTTGGATGTCATCCCGGATTTGTTGGGCTGGAGGAGCCATTATCTAATCCGGAAATAAGTGTCTTTCCGTCCGCGGTCCAAGCGAGGCATTGCACAAAACTCGTCTGTCCTCTGAGAGTTGCAACCAGCTTGCCTGTGTTCGCATCCCGAATTTCAATCATGATGAACCTGCCTGATCTAGCAGTCGCAAACATGGTCATGTCTGGTGAGTAGACAACTGCATTCACGTGGGTGCGCTCTGCCTCGATTGGTTTGAGGATGCTTGCCCCGCTCTTCACATCCCATTGCATTACAGTCCCATCATTAGATCCGCTCGCCACTCGCCGGCCATCTCGACTCCAGCAGACAGACGACACTTCCTTTGTGTGACCCGTCCATTTAACAATGACCTTACCCGTATCGATATTCCACAACCTCACTATACCGTCCAGACTTCCACTAACCACTTGCGTCCCATCCGGAGACAACGCTATGGTCCATACTGCACCTTTTCCATCCCGCAAGTCGTCCCCTATCTGTTTCTCGCTCTCCAAATTCCAAATCCGCAGCGAGCCGTCCCCTGAACAAGCGATAATCCGATGTCCATCGAGCAGGTGTACAACGGCCCACACAACTCCACTGTGTCCTACAAAGTTCCCGTGGGGCATGATGTGCGGTGCCTCTTCCGCACTAGCGTAAGGATAAGATATCTTTGTTCGGGGTTCCATACTAGCACTGGGTAGAGAAATCTTTGATTGCCGTTCCGCCTTAGCACTGGGCAAAGGGATCTTTAATGTTGGTTTTGTTTCAGCAGCAGGCACAGGTATTGACGGAGATATCTCCATCTGCAATGACGGTTTTACTATCTCAGCGGCAGGCAGAGATATCGACGGAGCCTCTATCTTCGGTATCTGTTCCTCCCCAGCGGTTGGCAAAGACATGGCTACTGTTTTATTTGAGGATTGTCATCTCAAATCTTTTCCGCTAAAGTCTAAGTGATCACTCACAAACAGGTGTTTTATCTAACAATGAGCCAGAGGTTGAAAGATGTGACGGTCACTGGCGTTTGTGGTTAATTCAGAATCGAGTGCACTGGAAGTTCAACTTGAGTCCATCAAGTATGTTGTTTACTCGCTTCGTACACCCATCTACTATAGTACTAGCACTTGAAGAAGCACAAACACAGCATCACAACTCCTTAGACAATGACAACGACATTCTAGAATTGACCAGGCCTATATACAACACTAGTTCTATATTTTTTTTACGTGAGAGACATGTCAGTCGCACCCCAGATTTCAGTCCGCCTTGCCATCGTACGGTTCACATCTCACACAGTATCAAAATCAGTGGTCAAGCAGCTCATCACTTGTTTCCTCCCTAGGCATTCACCGTCTTGAAACATAAGCCGAAGGACCAGTCCATCCCAAGTCGGTTGCTTCACGTTGCTGCCTCAGTTGAGGCTTATTCACAGATATGACGCGGCTACGCAGGTTATCTCCTGGGTCTTCAGTCCCTTTTTTCTCTGTCCAACGATAGCCAGGCAACGTGCGGTGAGGACGCGTGGAGGAATCATGCGCTCTCTCTAGAAAGAGAACTTGAGTCCTTGAAACAAAAGCGGGAAGACGATGAAACAGGTGTGTTTGAGTCCTCGAATATCATTCCCTCCGCAAGCCTTACTGTCATTTTGCAGAACTCATTCGTCTGCGGCAAAACGCGACCAAGGACATGCCAGACGACTCGGACGCTGCTCCCTCAAAAAAGAAAACGAAGAAGGGTGGTAAAGCTCAGGAGCTTCAACTTCAGGACGATGACTGGCCTGCAAAACGGGAAGGTGCGAACCTCATATTCGCCTCGTTTTCCTTGACTCACGCCTCGGGGAAGAACGCCTCAATGCGACGGGCCAATCATCACCGTCCCTCGCCGCAGCATTCACCTCCCTTCGAAGTGTTCTCAACTCAGTAAGTCCGCAGACAGGTGACGACCCACCACACAACTCGCGCCTACTAGCTGCGATTACACGCACAATTGACACCATTGGTAAATTCCTAGGCCTCCAAAATATTTCGACGTCTTCTGTTCCATCAGAACTTAATGAGTTGAGAATCGCAATGGCCTCCCCACTCCTGGTGTATGTCTTGCGCATCGCTCTTCCAGCCCTCTTCTACCAAGACATCAGAAATTCCTGCAGTGTTGCTGTATCCCGCCTGATCGATGCCCTATTCGTCCCCGTTGTCTGCAGCTTCACTCTCGTATCCCGTGCACACGTCATGCACCATGTAGACACCAGCTTGGCTAAGAAGACGTCGAAAAGTCGCAAAGGAAATGAGAAGGTACCGAAACCTCCAAGCCAGATACCTGACGTTCGTATGGACCTCTTGACTCTTCTCGACGAGGCGCTGAACACGTTAGACTCAATATCACCCTGCCACTCTGGGTATACGGCTGGCATCAGGGAGCGCATAGCATTAGAGTCGATTCGGTCTCTAGAGTCGTTGTACTCTACAGGAATCACTGTCAGTGCCGACGGAACTATGGACAACGCAACCCTGGAGGACGCGTCTCATGGTCCAGAATCATCGCAGGCGTCGCATCCACACAGACGGAGAACTGTGCTCAGTAGAAAGGATAGGCTCGAGGCTCTCGCGCGGAAAGATGCGACGTGGTATCTGTGCCACATACTCAACTCTTCCATGAGCACAGGTGGACCGAAAGACGGGCCTGGATCTATGCTCAACGGTGCTCTTTTGGATGGTGCTGCAAGAATTGTGAAGATGTGCATCTCGATGGACTGTGACGGTGTTGCGCGAGTTGGAAGGAGTTGCGTCATGGATGTGATGTGTCGAAATATGGTCTTGGCCGCTTGTGAAAAGATATTCAGTGCCCTACCTCAAGAGAACCCTGGGCTGTAATGTATTATAGATTTCCGCAGGCCCTTACCTGTGTTAATATTTAGCAGCGTGTGGACGCAGGCATCCGTTTCCCAGAGTAGCCACGTGCGATTGTCCAGCTGTGATAGGGGTACTACTTCCAAGTAGCTTCGGTGAAGGAGGATGTGGTCTCAATATTTGCAATTCAGTCTCCATTGGTCTCAATCTACGGCATCTTGTAATTGTTCTTCTGAACGCTGCTCCAGCACTCCGGTAGCAGCTGTTGCTCAGCATTTAAATACTCCCGCACCTGTAAGTGTTCATAACACTCATACATTTCACTTCTCGAAATAGAACCTATCAATTCGGAATCGATCGTACGTTCCAGTGGCTCATCTCGATCGCCGGGCGGCATACGACACAGCTGGAAGAGAAGGACGAAGTGTGTACATTTTCTCTATTCGTTTATTCTTACCCCGCCGTTGACTTGAGGCATGTGCTTGCAGGCAGAAGACGATTCAGAGGGGTCCGAATGCCAAAAGTTGACCAGGTAGCAAAAAATACAGTGAGCTATGAGGGACATAGTTTGCAACGAGGCCGATTAGATTGGCGCTAACATATAGGCAACGCAACTCGCTGCTATGCTAATTTATCCTCCTATCCAACAACAGACATCAGGGATGCACGAATGCGCTTCGCATGGAACACTCGTCTTCTCTGGTGGTCGAGAATTAAGTAATCAGTGCTTTGGCTGCGCAGCCTATGCTGTGTACAAGCTGTGAGGTGAACACGAGGATAAAGGTACCAGGAAGTCCAGGAAACAGTGAACTCGACTCTGACTTGATCCAAACAGTCATTGCTCCCTACCGTTCGCCCGCCACTGCTGTCCTTGTAAGTAATAGAGTTGGAATTGATTGATGAAAGCTGAGATGGCACTGCACTGGGTAGTAGGAAGTCTGGAGCACGTTTCCACCCGCCACCAAAACGAAAGAGACATCAGCAATAACACCTCGCCCGATATTTGAAGGACGCACCGATTGGGTCTGGGGCTTCATACACCTCCAAGACGGACAGCAGATCATCACTTGTTCATGGGACGGCTTGCTGTGGAAATGGAACTTGGAGACCGGCCAACAAATAGGAGAAGACTGGCGGGACGGAGAAAGTGAAGTGCACAGGATAGCGCTGTCTTCGGGCGGGACGAAACTGGTTAGCGGGAGTAAGGATTGTGTATTGAGGACATTGACACATGCAAGGTCATCGTTCGATGGACGGGTCACACAGAGCTCATATCCTCTCTATGCTGGAGTCGAGATGGTCGACGAGTGGTGAGAGGATCTGACGATGGGACTGCAAGGCAGACGTGACTCAGAATGGAGACTATAAACTAGCAGCTGATCGGATTTTATCATGACTCGGAATGGCTCAATGAATAAAGTATATGGTATACTACAACGCTTCTCACATTCAATTCTCCTCTGCAGACACCATCTTCAGGAGGAAACCATAGTGCATGTCTGGTAGTTCACGTTCAGGAGTAAGTATTATATGGACCATCGCAGCGCGCACCGGTACGTAACTTTCCCATCAGGCACGGAGTAATCGAGCACCACGTAAAAGGTGAAACTTAGAGAGACAAGTGTGCTTATGTAATGGGATAATCTCTATCCTTTGGCAATGAGCATACGAGCACCACGGAAAGGCGAAAACTATGAGCTCAGTGTGGATCTCAACAGCGAGTACCGCGATAAACGAAAAGATGCGATCAAGCGGGTCATAGCATCTATGACCGTTGGCAAAGGTGCCGCACTTTCTCGTTCGATCTGCTCACTGCGCTTAACACATCCCCAGACGTCAGCGGCTTGTTCCCCGATGTCCTCAAGAATATGCAGACAGATGACCTGGAACAGAAGAAGCTCGTGTATCTATATCTCATGAACTATGCAAAGACACAGCCAGAACTCGTCATATTGGCCGTGAACACCTTCGTCAAGGACTCCGAGGATCCTAACCCTCTCGTACGCGCACTGGCGATTCGAACCATGGGGTGTTTGCGTGCAGAGAAGATTATAGACTATCTGTGCGACCCTCTTCAACGCGCCTTGCGAGATGACAATCCGTATGTTCGAAAGACTGCTGCGCTCTGCGTTGCAAAGTTGTATGATCTCAAGCCCGAACTTGTCATCGAGAATGGTTTCTTGGATCAGCTTCGTGATATGATTTCAGATAGCAACCCTATGGTAATGTTGTAATTTTCTGTCTTACCGAGCAGGCTTCTTATCTGCGTTTAGGTCGTAGCAAATACAGTTGCGGCGCTCACAGACATCCACATCTCAGCAACCTCCAACCAACCATCTGATTCTACTTCCGATCCCGCTGTATTCTCCATCACCTCCGCTATACTGAACAAACTACTCATCGCCCTCAACGAGTGTTCAGAATGGGGTCGAGTCGCAATCTTGAATGCTCTGGCACGGTATGAGGCACAGGACGACAAAGAGAGTGAGCACATCTGCGAGCGCGTCGTACCTCAATTCCAGCATGTAAATGGTAGTGTTGTTCTTGCCGCAATGAAGGTACACAGTGTCGCTCATCCGGCCCTTGTCATGACTTGACCTTCGCATCTCAAGGTCATCATGATCCACATACGCAATGTTCGACGAGACGATCTTGTTAAGCAGTTGATTCGCAAGATGGCACCACCACTCGTCACCCTGTTATCGTCCCCGCCCGAGGTACAGTGGGTCGCGCTGCGGAATATCAACCTTCTCCTTCAAAAACGATCCGACCTCCTTTCGAACGAAATGAGGGTATTTTTCTGTAAATACAATGACCCGTTGTACGTCAAGATCGAGAAGCTTGATATCATGGTCCGATTGGCCAGTGATAACAACGTGGATGCTTTGTTGAGCGAGCTGAAAGAGTGAGTCACCCCAATTTCTGTAGTTTACATCGCTGACCGTGCTGGTCAGATACTCGTCAGAAGTTGATGTCGATTTTGTCCGGAAGAGCATCAAAGCTATCGGCCAGACAGCTATTTCAATTGAGAGCGCAGCGGAACGTTGTGTGAACGTACTGTTAGAGCTCATTAACACTCGCGTCAGCTATGTGGTCCAAGAAGCCGTAGTCGTCATGAAGGTGCGCAGTGATGTGCTGTTTCTTATAGCATCCTAATGATATGCCTTTTAGGATATCTTCAGGAAGTACCCTTCTACATACGAAGGTGTAATTCCTACACTCTGCGCTAATTTGGAAGAGCTAGATGAGCCAGAAGCGAAAACGTCCTTGATTTGGATTATTGGCGAGTATGCCGACAAGATTGACAACGCAGATGAACTGTTGGGGATATTTGTGGACTCTTTCATTGAGGAGTCGTACCAGGTATTTGACTTCAGCGTTATCTTATGCTTTTGCCATAAGTCCTGATCTTACGCAACAGGTTCAGCTTCAAACGTTAACTGCAGTGGTCAAGCTGTTCTTGAAGAAGCCTGACTCGTCCCAGGGAGTCGTTCAGCGTGTGCTGAATACAGCAACGAAGGATTGCGATTCACCGGATGTGCGGGACCGCGCTTACATATATTGGAGACTCTTATCAACAGACCCTGGCGCAGCCAAGGTGCGAATGATCTCTGAGTCTTAGTAAATGGTGCTCATCAACTTAACCTAGGCTGTTGTCCTTGCCCATCGGCCACCAATATCTATCCCGAGAACAACAGTTTCGCCCGCGTTGCTTGAAGAGCTCCTCGGCGAGATATCATCATTAGCAAGTGTTTATCACAAACCTGCTCAAACCTTTGTTGGTCATGGACGGGTCGGTGCCGATTCAGTGCAACGCAAAGGATCAGAGTGAGTGCCCACTAACCAGTTTTGTCTGTTTCTACTGAGTTGACGACACTCATCATGTAATTATAGAATCTCAGATGCTCAGAAAGCCCTCCAGACGGTTGTTGCCGGCCAACAAGCAGAGAACCTTCTCGACTTTGGTGATGATTCTGCTCAGGATGGGCAGCCTTCTGGGCTCGCCGCCACCCAAATACTTCCTTCGACACCCGCTGCAGCAAATTTCCTGTCAGGCACTTCTGCGAATCCACTAGACGATCTCGTGTCGATCTTCGGTGGTATGGAAACTATGGAGACAGGTGCAGGATCACTGTCAACGGCGCTATCGCCGACGACGACAACCATGTCCTCACCTTTCGAGGGATTCGGAGGGTCACCAGCGCCATCCTCCCAGCCGGCTCAGAATGCGCAGCCCCAGGAGGATTTGTTAGGGTTGTTCTAGCATACTTGGCATCGCCATGTGCATGTACATATGATATTTACTCGGTGGCGTTAGCAGCTTTCCACGTATGGTACACATACATGTCTAGTCGATATTTTCTGTTTGAGGAATGGATGGGCTATTCATACGCATCACGAGGCGTTCGTGGCATGCAGTCAAGCACGGAGTCTAAAACTGCGTTGCCCTTCTACTTCAGAGTTGGAAGTTTTCTCACCCCGGCTCAGCTCTACGACTGTGATCCTGACCCTCTATCGGTTCCGAGATCAATCGATCATGATCCAAACGGGTGATGTCAAGCTTCAACGAATGATTCTGTCGGATGTCCGTGCCCTGTCAAATTGGTGATGTGCCACTGGGGCTGTGCGGTAGCACTTCCGTTTCGACCTTGTGTTATTTGCACGTGGTGGATCAAGGAACTGAGGCCTGAGGCCTGAGGAACAGCGGCCATTACGGAGATGGATTGCGCATTGCATGTACACGACGGTCCCAAACCGCTGACTGCCCGACAGGCTACAGCTTGTTCCATGTGTCGTAGCGGATGGCATATCGGGCAGATCATGACTCTGCTTATTGAACTGAGTCACCCATTCTGTCGTTCGCCGACTTCTCTTGTATCAATCGACGTCGATTCGAGTTCTTCCAGCAGGTCATCGACCTTTCCGCATCCATTTTTCCAATTTGTATTTGTTTCCTTCCTCGATCACTTTTTGTCCCCATGCATTTCTGCTTCTGGATGGGTGTTTTCTTCACGACCCTACCTGAGACATCTCTCGGAGTAGCTTAATGTTGATTGCCAAGATTGGCCGCTGCATGCCTTTGGCATGGAAAGCTATGTTTATGGACATGCAGTATCAGATACCTGCGGCAGGCAGGTGAGTATATCTTGGGATGTCTCTCAAATTGATCTAGGTTGCTCCATGCCCTCCTCGCGCATTTTTTTTGCACGCTGGCCTGAGGAACCAAACGAGCCTGCCCTTGCAGCTTCAAGTGTAAGGGGGATCTATTTAATGTCTGCCGATCTGATTTGATATAAGAGCCTGTATCTGTAAGTTCATTCGTCCTCCCTTGCACGCTCAGACGTAGACGCCAAACGTGAAAGGCTTTTCGTGCAGTCACGATGATGAGGTCCCTCCAAATCTTTTGTTCCCTGGCGCTGTTGCAGGCAGTTGCGTCGCAGCAGATTTGGGACATCGTAAGCCGACGCGTCCTTGTGCTGTTGTGCGGTGGATTCACATCTGTGTGCAGTGGCAAACTACATGGGATAGGGACATGCTATTCACGTATTCCCAACCTACGCCGGACCCCATTAATTTCGTTACTCCTGGCGCTATCGGGAGCGCGGACATCGCCGTCGATGATTCCTCAGTATACCAAACCGTGTATGGTTTCGGAGCATCATTGAGTAAGCTTTGCGGTCGTCTCTCTGGACTGAGTGTTAATGATATTGTCTCAGCTGATTCTTCTGCTGAGTTGTTAAACAACTTGAAGGCATGACGTGTGTTCTGCTCCCTGTGTGTGGTGCACTGATAGTATTCATTAGGTACAGAATGCTGGAGGTTATTGGCAGCTCATGGATTATTTATTTAATGGTGCGTTGCTTGCCTTCATATCGGCAATTTACTGACCCCTTCGTCATCAGCTACGGATGCTGCTAACTCAGCCGGGTTCTCCTATATCCGCGTTCCACTCGGAGCGACAGACTTTTCTGCAAATAGTTTGTCTGCTCCACAGTTGATGAAATAACTGACGAACAGGTTTATAGCCTACAGTTATGACGATATCAGTGGAGACACATCACTGAACGATTTTAACATCAATGCTGCACCATCTAACGTTTTCTCAGTTCTTCAAGATATTCTATCTATCAATCACATGGCCAGATTCCACATCGTGCCTTGGTCGCCGGTATGCAGATTACTTGGTGTACCCATCAATCACTCAATGTTGTCACCTAGCCCGGTTGGATGAAGAGCGGGGAAACTATGCGCGGAGGCTCACTAAATACTAAATACATTAACACAAGTGAGCCATTTGAGTATACACCTTCATGGATGCGCGGCTGACAATGATTGCAGTGGCAAACTACCTCTTGAAGAGTGTGCAGGCATTCTCAGACAAGGGGATTCCCATTTACGCAATCAGTATCCAGGTACGTTCATTACGGTCGACTTATTCCCTGGTATGACCGTCCCACCAGAATGAGCCGGAATACAGTGACTCCACATACCCGACTTGCAACATGCCGGTGGCAACTGAAGCACAGATTGGGCTGGCTCTGCGCACGCTGTTGAACAACTATGGCTTTTCGGGTGTCAAGATTATTGGTTACGACCACAATTGGGTGGACGCTGCCAACTATCCGGTCCAACTGGTGCGCGATCCCCCTAGGCTGATTTATATGCGATGCTGAGACATTGGCAGATGCAACAAGCCGGAAGTGCCTTTGATGGAGTGTCTTTCCATTGTTATCAGGGTTCCGTCAGCGACCAGGCTTCGTTCACGTCTCAGTATCCGAACAAGGTATTTGATTTCGGGCTTTTGGTCAATTCTTCCCTTAGTGAGTCGTTTAGGAAGTGTACTTTACGGAGTGTTCGGGAACCCTTGGCAGTGACTGGTGGAGCGATATCAAGGTATTCATTTACAATCCATCTTGCGTCAGACGAAATGAACTAATCCCGTTACTAGTGGTACATGGACAATATGTATGTGGCCAGTCCCTTAACTTGGCTATCCTCTGATCTTGTATGGCACTTTCAAGTTTCATCGGTAGCATCTCATACGGATCCTCTTCCGGATTGATGTGGAATATCGCACTCGATGGAAGCGGCCAGCCATTACTCCCAGGTACAGACAGCTGTGGGGGCAGTGGATGTCGTGGTGTAGTCCAAATCAACAACAATGGAACCTGGAGCGTAAACCAAGAATTTTACTCCATGGCTCAAGCCTCCAAGGCCATTCTTCCTCGCGACGTCGGCGGTCCATGGGGCCGGCGAATTGGCGTAAGCGTCGGCGGTTCGCTTGACTGGGCTCTTGTGGTCGGCGCCTACAAGACGGGCAGGGTTTCGTCGAGTGATTGGAACAGGTACAGCATCGTCGTACTGAATTGGTAGGGATTCTGTGATTCCAACTGCATGACAAGATATTGATCCTTCGTCAGGGATGACAGTGCATCCACCAGTTGGAATCCTCAGCCTGTGAAGGCCACTATCGAGTTCAGGGGTATGCAGGTGGGTGAACATTCAAAATATTCGTGGACAAAATTCTCTGATCATCATTATAGGCTACATACACATTTCCCGTCGGTGTCACCACCCTTTGGTGGTATGCTGCCAACTAGTTGTATCTTGATATTTTTGTTGTATTTTTTTTACGTTCCTGGGTGGCCGTGGGTTTACTTTGATTTCATGTGGGCTTTTCTGTATTATTTGTATCACTATCAGTAACTAATTATGTATTCTCATTTGTTCATGTCGTACGGGACGGGCGAAGACATCGAGCTAAAGGTTGCAGTGTAGATGTACATCTATGTTCTTGTACTAAATAAGCAAGCTACCTGCCTTATCCTTTGCACATCCCAAGGCGCATTTTATCATTACTGCCAAATTACTGCAGCCGGATGCCAATGATGTCAGTGTCGGTTGAGCAAGACAAATATTTCAGGCTAAGATTTATATATGATAGTTACGATATGTGTAAACCCATTGGGTATCAACTACCAGTACACTCGTTATTCTTTGGAACACAACTGCTCTCCGGCACTGCCAGTAGGGTTTCCTAAGACAGAAATCATCATCCCCCCATCTCCTAGTCGTCATTTGGTTCGCGATCCTCAGAAGCCGAAGTCAGAATTATCGTCATCTTCGTCATCCTCTGAGTCGAAGTCATCGTCGTCACCCCTTGCTTCATATCGTCGCAAAGAGACACCTAACTGCTCTTCTTGAGCGTCTCTGACGAGTCGGATGCCGCACACATTGCGTATCCTCCGCCCGACCCATGTCTCGCACAACCCTCCAAGTGTCAGGTCACGTGGCGGTTCGTCTTTCTCATCATCAGTGCACGCAACATCATATGAAATACCGACAGCGGCGAGAAGCAGGCGTATGCCCCTGACGAGTGATCGTCGGTATGCGAGCATGGCCTCGGGGTCGTTGTCAGCAGGTTTCTCCAACTCTCCAAACAACACTTCATGAACGTCCTGAACATTCTCCTCGTGCAAGTCCACTTTTCCACGTTCCACGGGACGCCACTCTTTCTGTCCGTAGCAGTCATCATAGTGATCGTAGAAACCCCAGCACAAATTCTGCCACCCATTGCGCGTGTGCACATATGGCGGACGGACCTTTTTGAGATCTTTTTTGATGACAGATACATCGCCCGCCGTCGCAGATGGGCGGCGGTATATCTTGAAGCCGAGTGAGTAGAACCACTGGGCTGATGAAAGACGCGAACGGAGGTAGTATTGAAAATGCACATCGATGTGCATTGGCGCACTGGGCGAGTAGATCCTGACTGTCATATCAACGGAACGTGGCTATCGATTACTTGATGTCAGTCATGAAATACAGTGTCAGCAAGCGTTACGCACTTTCGTGCCCTTGCCGGCGTCGAGTAACATTTCGTTGCCTGCAATAGTGATACATTTCTGGAGGGTACCATGCTCCAAATCCATCTCTTTCTCAATCTGAGAAACGGAAGCTTTGGCGTTGTCGAAAAGCCAGGAGCACTCGTCGTACTCATCCGCCTTAGGGCCATCTCCAGAACCCTTGCCTGGGTCCGAGACAAGTGTGCAGTATTTTTGATTGGTTTGGAGGCGATTGATGGAATAATTGGTCCATGCGTTCTGTGTTGCACGGGTTAGGTGAAGTAAGGGACCAAAGTGATATTCCGCTAGTTCAAGTCCTTGCAGATCGATTTTAGCTGCTGAAGGATTGGTGCTGTCAGCACTGTTTTCAGTCATACTAGAGAGTGAAATACGATTAAGCCTCGATGAGAAATTCAGGTCGACCGTCGTCGATAGAGAAGAGGGTGCTACGGGCAAACTTAAACATACTAGTCTTCACGTAACCGTGACTGGTTTCAGGATTGATTACTACCCAGTTTTATGGCTTTGAGACTATAAGGAAGTCCTGGTCACTCTCGAATGTCGAAAGATGTAATGCATGGGTGAATCAGTCCCAGAAATATCCCTTCTCGGTGTCAGGCTAGTTGTTGTTCGGCATAAGATCTGATTGAGATACTGTACCGTCTATGATAGCATTGTGTGTTTCCTTTTCGGCCCATGTTTTTGGTGATAGTATACTGTTGCCAGGCTGCGCTCTTATGGTGTCCAGAGATACACTCGTGGATCTCCGATGCGGTAACAGGGTCTTCATGTCTACATAGGGAATCTTCCTTCTCCGTATTTTGTAGTTGCTGAGTTACTCGAGAAGGGGAAGAATGTAATCTGCGCCGAGCTCGCTAAGCTGGATGCAAGAGATTCATATTGCTATTTCAGGGGTGTTGCATTGGAGGTGAATGAAGGTACTACGGCTCAGCGCTGACGTCGGCGAGAAGAGAAAGCAACGTGACAAACTTACTTAGTAAGCTTTACATATAGCATACGTATGGGGACTCCGATTTCGAATTCCTGTGGGCTTCTTCTTGTCTCTTCACGTTCTCACTCTCAACAACGCTGTGCACAATCGACCGTGAGGGAAGGGATCAGTCCGGAGGTCGAGCACAGTTTGCGCTAGCGTCAAACCTTAACATCCATTAAACGAAGTTGCATATGCGGGTCGCAGAGTGTTACGCTCGTTAAGTTTGAAAAGCCTACAGCCATCAGAGAACTCGTGAACCGAAGATATTGTCATATATGCCGATATATGATCATATATAGGAAAGATGTTCTTTACATTGGAATATAAAGTCATATAAACCCATGTATAATGTTGGAAAACCACCACAATCAATGTAAAGCACCCTGGGTAGACTCATGAATTCTCCGATGGCAGTCCCTGACTGCTACTGTAAACACAAAATATTGTCATAGAGCTGACTGAAGGGGAGTCCTTGTATTGATATAGAAAGCAAACAAAGCAAATGCAAAAAATACTTTGCTAGTCACCAAATTGAGTACACTTTTAGGATGCATCACTACAAGTCAAGAAGCTCGGGATAAGGAGATGATATTGAAAAAAATGTTCGCAGATGCCTTGGAAATTTCAAGAACATGCAGTGAATTATATGCTGGACAGCATTCCACAGCATACTGCATGCCTTGACTGGCACTCCTGCCAGTTGGGCCGCAAACACTGCTTGACTCATTTCTGATATTTTGATAGGCGTAGGGTGTCTGACTCGAGTGGGCTGCTATTGGTCTGAAATTCATTCAACTTGTGCTTTCTGGATGTGCCATCATTGAACACAGCGGTGTTGGCCTCGCAGAAGGGGTGGGTGATAAGGGTGGTGCAAGATGCAAAGTAGAAGGAGGATGCTGCAAGATTGGTTTGACAGGGCAAATATTAGTAGGAATGGGTTCCATGTGTAGAGTCACAAAGATATCTTCTGTGGGAAGAGTAGTTGTGGGAGTTGACAGTCCATTCATTATTTCAGTGGTGGACACATGCAAAGCCAAATGTCAGATATTGGGACTGATGGTTGGCAGCCCTTCATTAGGCTGCGCATTAGGGGGTTCAAACTAAGCATATGAGATTTGCAACAGATGGCACAGAACAAACCTGAAACAAGGCAGTGTCAGTTTGTTGGGTGGGTGAATTGTTAGAAAGATGCATACCTTTGCGAGTTTTTGCCCCTCAGATAGAATATCAAGACAAGACCGCAGACCCTTCAGGCACCACTGTTGTTCGAGCCAGGAAAGGAGGTGATGATTCCAGAAAGCCTGGAATAGATGGTTGAGTGTGTCATCCCATGGATTTGGGGCATGCGACAGATGAACAACCCAGTTTTGACATGTGTACTTGAGAGTGTCAGGAGCTGATTGACTTCGTTCTTGTGCCTCATTTGCAAAAGTTGTAAATGCATCCATAGCATGGATGATCTTCCTGCCAGGTAGAGAATGATCTTCTGGCAATGCAGAGGTGAAATGATCCTGGGGCATGAATGCCAGAAATGCCAGAAACATCAAAAAATCTGGCAAGCTTTTGAACTGCTGGATTACTTGGAACATTGGTAGTGAGGGCAATTCTGGGACAATGATATACTTGGCAATTGCTTGCAGCATACTTGAGAATTCCTCCATAGTCACCCAGATAGACACCACAGGAGTGGATTTCCATGCTTGGCCATGGGGCATCTGCAGCCAGTCTAGTCCTCTCTGTGCCTGAAGCCAGTTTAGCCCTCCCTGGGACTGTAGCCAGTTGCAACCTTCTGGGGTCTGAAGCCAGTCCCACCCTCCCTGGGTTTGTAGCCATTCTTCCCCTCCCTTGGTGTAAAGCCAGTCTTGTCCTCCCTGGATCTGCACCCAGGCTCTTATGCCAGGGTCCTGCACCCAGGCCAACCCTCCCTGTGTCTGCAGCCAGGCTCACCCCACATAGGTCCACAGCCAGTCTTGTCCTTCCTGGGTCTCCAGCCACTCTGGCCAATGCTGGGTCTTCAGCCACTCTAGAGCCCTGCACTGGGTCTGCAGCTGGCCACCCACTTCCTGGGTCCGCAGCTGGCCACTAAGTTTCAGCAGCAGCCAGCTCCACTTCTGTAGCCAGCCTCATCCTCTCCGGGTCTGCAGCTAGTCCCATCCTGCCTGGGTCTGTAGCCAGACCCTTCCTGCCAGGGTCTGTAGCCAGACCCTTCCTGCCAGGGTCTGTAGCCAGACCCTTCCTGCCAGGGTCTGTAGCCAGACCCTTCCTGCCAGGGTCTGTAGCCAGACCCTTCCTGCCAGGGTCTGTAGCCAGACCCTTCCTGCCAGGGTCTGTAGCCAGACCCTTCCTGCCAGGGTCTGCAGCCAGTGATGTGCTGTCCTGGTCTTCAGCCAGTCTCATGCTGCCTGGGTTTGCAACCAGTCCCTTTCTGCTTGAGTCTTCAGCCTGTTACAACCATGTATGCCCCTATTCATTTTCTCTCTCTTACTGTGTATTACATCATGAGCCACATGATGCCACCGCTAGACTCATCTTTGACTCATACCTTGTATTACATCATGATTGCTGTTGCCATCGCTAGATGACCTATTCTTGCTATCACTTACATATCCCTTATCTCTGACTCACATACATTCTCACATCTGCCCTAAAGCACTTGTAGCTCACTATAAATAATCCTCTTGTACACTTTAGTTCTTTACTTTAATCTTACTAGGTTTTACCTGGAATATCCTTTGCTTGAGACCTCCAATCTCTTGTCATCTGAATTGTACTTTAAGTTAGAAGCACTCCTTCTGACTTAGCTTACACTGAACACTTGACTTATCATCTTGCATAGAATCTTGGCAGAGGTCCTGACTCTTATCAAGTTGTTTGTTGTTAGAACTATCCTAGTTTGTAACAAAAGATTAAAGTCCTTATCAAACCTCTCCATCCAGGGAGGCCCCAGTAGCTCAAAGCAAGATGACCCCTTGGGTTAGAAAGTATTGGTGGGAGAGTGATTCAAACGACGTCCCTGCAGAACCAGAAGAAGAATATCACAAGGCCGCAGGTCCAGATATCACAGAAGACAGAGAGAGACAAACACCATCCCCTGTAACCACAGAACCTGATCATCATTCAACTACATCAGTAGACAAATTCCCAGAAGAACAGCCACCCTGAAATCTTTCCACACATCCCAGTATCAGAATGTCCAGCTCTTCATCTGAACTTAAAGCTGGAACACCAAAAGACTACAATGGAAGCCCTGACCATGTTTTAAGATGGTTGTTTTCAGTGAAAGCATATTTTGCTGTTAACGCGTTGGTTTACAACACTGACAAGAAGAAAGTTATTACCACACTTGCGTATATGACTAAAGATAGTGCCATGGGCTGGGCATTAATGTTTTACACTGAAGTAGACAACTTCACCTCGAAATCCTATGGAACCTTCACAAACTTTGAAGCTAAGTTCAAAGAAGTGTTCATGCCAGCAGACACCATTGGTACTGCTATGAATAAACTCTGAACCCTGAAGCAGACGGGCGACCTCACTTCCTATATCGCCAGTTTCAGGACCCTTGCCGCACAAGCTGCTGTAAAGCAAGACGCCATCCTGATTACGTTCTTCAATGATGGACTCAAGAAAGGAATTGGTAATGCCATTTATCAAATGGAAACCATCCCTACAGACTTCGACAAATATGTCCAAGCTGCAATTAGACTTGATGGTAACTGGCAACGTGGTGCAATATTCTGCAACAACAATTGCACAACCACAAAGCCTACCAGTCAACAATATGTCCCCAGACCCTCTGTTGATCGCTGTGACCCCAATGCTATGGAAGTCGACCGCCTCACAGAGGAAGAGAAGACTGAACACTACCAGAATGGCAAGTGCTTCAACTGTCACCAGAAGGGCCATGTCTCCTGTAACTGCCCAAAGAAGAAGAACAGCAAAGCTCCAGTGTGTTGTACTGAACTAGCCAAAGAAGATGAAGAGGAAGTCCATTGTATCAACAAGGATTTTTGATGTGGAAGACTGGATTGACGTCAGTATCTTCCAATGTACCTATTAGACTTGTCCGAGGTGTAGGAATCAGAAAAAAACTTCGCATTCCCATTTCCCTTATCTCCAAAACCTGTCTGAAAACCGTTGAAATGACTGCCGTCGTTGACTCTGGAGCTGCCAGAACCTTTATCTCTGAGGATTTTGTTAAGCTTCACAAGATTCAAACACATAAACTTACGAAACCATTCCAAGTAACCACAGCAGATGGAAGTTATGCAAAAGGAGGCACAATCACCTACTACTGCATCCTCATCGTGAAAATCGACGAATGATCCATGCTTTGGAAGTTCAATATCATGAAACTTAGCCATCATGACCAAATTTTGCTAGGAATCCCTTGGCTGCGTGCCATGGATCCAATTATTCAGTGGAAAGCTGAAACTCTAGAACTCTCTCAAACTGAGAAGAGTAATCTAATTGAAGAAGAACAGTCTCCCTCCTCTCTTTCAG